GACGGAATATAGCAGTACAGTACGTAAAGTGACGGCTTGACTCGTACTTTCTATTATTCGCTGTACCTTCTCGATCGTTCTCTTTTGTGTTCGGATTTACTTTTGGTTGTTTCTACACGGATGCGCCGTGTCTATATAAGTCCGTGAGTGGCAGTACTTTGGGGATCAGTTCTCTCAGGACGAGTTTTGGCAGTTTCGGAGTTTCTAATTAAATTATCGTCGGAGATGCAGTTCTCGCTTCGCATAGATTCGTAGACTTAGCTATGCCACATTGAGATTATCAGCTCATACTCTGTCGTTGAGTAGGTCGGTAGGATAGATTACGGTAATTATTCCTATCGTACTGATCTCTCCGTCATGGCGCCCACCGATGTTCGAACCTTTCCGACAGCCAAGTAAACTGTGATTGAAATTGTGATTGTGAATGTTGGCTTCTGAAAGTGCTCAGTCCGGGTACAACTGTACTGACTGGACGGATGTCCGGGCAGCTGGTCTGCCGTCTGACGCCTAAACGTTAGTAGTCCGGGTACTGGCGACGCTTTGGTAAGGAAACCCTGCTGATTCGTGCCTGCGACCCACGGCGAAAACCTGTAAATGTCCGGGGCTTTGCCCCGTCTGGACGCTGAGCAGTTTGTCCTGCCAGCAGGGCGATGCAGGGATAACCTGTAGATCGACCCATGAGCACTGAAGTGAATGAAATGAAAATGAAATGAATATTGAACTGATGAAATGACGAAAGTGAATTGATGAACTGATAGTGAAGCAGGTTCTCGTAGCCACTGGCCAGGGCAGAGTTACCTAGAAATCTGAAGCGTAGCGGTTACGTAACCGACTGTGAGTAGACAGAGTTCGAAAGCAGTTTCCTTGAGCTAAAGTTTTTATATGCCAGAGCAGTGCCTGCGCATATACAGTGTACACAATCTTGAGCTATAGTTTTGTATGCGAGAGCGAAAAGCGAGCATACAGGTGCACCTATCGTAGCGTAGCCATACAGCCAGAGCAGTTGCAGTGCTGTGAGCGGTGAGAGAACACCGACGATCAAAATCTCTTTCTGAAGTATCCGGTTAGAACAAAAGAGTCAACCCGGTAGTCAGCGTAACGAACACTGAAAACAAAAGCGTAGCTGAAGTTTCCGCGTAGGGACAAAAGCTTACCGGATAAAACCTGAAGCCAGTGCAATGGACACGGCTAAATTGAATAGAATGGAAAGTGATGCGTCGACTGCATACGATAATGCAGCAGATCGAAACGAAACTGAACGTACTGGTTTATTTCAAAATGGAAATGCCGTACAGTTTGGTGGAATCGCAGAAAATGAAGAATTCTGGAGTGATATGCACCCGTTGCAGGGGAATTGATTGAACTGTCGCTTGACCAGAATAGGTTTGAAGCAGCAGTTGAGTATTGGGATGTCAAAATTGATGATGAAATGAATGTTAATGAATTAAAAGAGATTGCTTGGGCATCTCTATATACCACTAGCCTTGCAAAGGAAGTACAGTAACGCAAATCGTATCTGTCATGCACTGAACGGCCGCAATACAGACATGGAAATAAGCAACAGTGCTCTAACAGCTGAACTGGTTAAACTGCGCAATAAAACTGGGAGTGTAGAAAATAAATCGCATTGAAAAACACGAGCAGATGAACTGATGAAACGTCAGCTAGCTCTGTTGACAAAAATGGAGGAAATGCAACAAAACCTGCTATCCGTGAAAAACTGCAGTACCCGCAAGTGTACGAAGGTATACAAGAAAGCGGTAAAGTAGAACGTTTCATAATGGACTGTGAACGATGCAAAGATTTGAATGGCTGGACTGAGAAACAATTGATTGAAAAAGGACTGTCGTACGCACTGAAAGGTGACGCGTATTTGTGGTATGTCGAAAACAGAAAATTAAATCCAGATAAAGACTGGATTTACTGGAAGACATTGTTAGTTAATCACTTCTCATCGGAGAGTGACCCGGCCGAAGTACGGCAAGCGATGTACGCACGTGTCTTCAAAGAGGAAGACACGGTAAATTCGTATGTCGATGGCTACCTAAATTGGTTTAATACACTTGATACGAAAAAAGAAGAAGAAAGAGTTTCAGTTCTCGTTCAGGGACTGAAGAAAACCCGAATGGAGTGGTATGGCAAGCTGGTCATATCAAACCTAAGACTGTTGAAGACGTTATGGCACAGCTGAAAACGCTGTACGCACTGAAAGTGCAACGAGAAATGCGAAAATGATGACTGTTGTGAGTATGAAGATGACTGTGAATATGTGTACAGTGAGTGTGAAATGGTAATTTGAATGATGACGACTGTGAATACGATGAAAATTATGAAATCTACAATAATAACGGTAATAAGCCGTACATGATCGGAAATGTCGAAATCGACGTTAACAAATGGCGAACTGACAGTGGTCAGCCGATCTGTTCTAAGTGTCACGAGCTGCACCCAGCAAAGTACTGTACATTTGAAGGCAAATGGAAAGCTGTTACGAAAGAACCGCCGCCTGAAGTATTGAAACGGTACAATATGAAACGGGTTGAAATGCGGTCAATGGAAATTCGTACTGTTCAGTGCGATTCAAAATTACCTGAAAATGTTGAAACTAAAGTGCTGCAGCACTCAAGTTTGCGGGGGCGAACAGTGCCCAATGAGCTACCGCCCGATGCGTCGCAAACGACTGTGTCTAGTCAAGTTTGCGGGGTAATACCATAATACTGGTAAAGCCTTATTGGCCGAAAATTTGGTTAATGAACAGTTTTGGAAAGCCGAGCAGCGCAAGTGCAAGGATATCAAACATTGGTATTACTTGTACAAAAATCCTGTAAAGCGAAAAATAAATTTCAAAATGAGAAATTATCACATGGTTGTGATAAATGGTTTGCTTTGTCGAAAGCGTTCTGGTAATGGAATTGACAGAATTGTAGTGCCTAAACAATGGCAAGAACAACTGACAAAATCAGTACACAAACGATATGTGAAAACGAATTAATACCGTGCGGAGTGTCAGTTCAACAGTATCTGACCACTCGGTATTACTGGCATAATATGGTGAAAACTATTGAAAATGTTTTGTTGAAATGTGGTAACGTTGAAGTAACTGGAAATGTTGAAAATGTGTCAGATTGTGCTAAAGTGCGTGATATTGAATGCGTAGCTGAAGTGCGGTGAAGCGCAGTTTGAAAAAGTTAAAATTGGCCTTACGCAGTCACAGGAGAAAGCCCTTGTACTACGAACTCAGTTCAGTATGGGTATGAGTTAGCTGGTCGTAGCATCGGCGCAGACAACTGTGAAAAACCTAAAATCGTAAATGAAACTTTAGCGGACTCTAAAAATGCAGTAACTGAAGTTGACGGTCAGGAAGTAAAATGGTGTATGACGAAAACCGTGTGTGGTTGAAGAACTTCCAAATGCGCCTGTAAATTTCTGAATTTATTCCCAAGATATCCTTTTGAATGCCGTCTTACGGTGATTGTACGTTTGCGGATTGAGTCGCATTGGTAACCGCCTTGAGTTGCAATGCTGACTGAATACATGCAGTTGCTGGTATTTCGCAATTTCAAAGTGGTGTTTATTTTATTTTATTTTCTCCATCGCGGATGTTTTTTTGCGTTGAATTTTTCATCGGCGATTTACATTAAATTTAACTTTGCCACTAAAAATCTTCATTTATTGCGTTCCGACGTTTTCTGTTTGTACTCCGATCTCCGACTGCCGTTCTGCCATCCTACTCAGTCTTCTGGCCTACGCTCAGTTCTCCATCCCGTCAAGGATCCTCTCCTCACTTTCCATCTCATTCAGTCACCCGTGGAGGAGGATCAGTCATTCGTTCTTGGACGGTGGATGGATATGCCCGCCTTTGCCCAGTCGTGAGCATGAGAACTCATTTTATTTAGTTTTTATTCCTGTTTTTCCAGTTCTTTCTTTTTGTGTTGGGTTCCCAAAAGCCGTTTGCGGGGTGACGGAATATAGCAGTACAGTACGTAAAGTGACGGCTTGACGTACTTTCTATTATTCGCTGTATGCTCGATCGTTCTCTTTTGTGTTCGGACTTTTGGTTGTTTCTACACGGATGCGCCGTGTCTATATAAGTCCGTTGATTGGGTATTGCGGGATCAGTTCTCTGTGGAACGAGTCCCGCAGTTTCGGAGCTTTCAATTAAAATCGTCGGAGATGCAGTTTCGCTTAATAATTCGTACACTTAGCATGCCACATTGAGATTATTAGTCCCTCTGAAATCCATAAAACAAATAAAATAAGAGGTCTTCCGAAAATTTCGTAATCCTTGGCAGTGTGACCTGATTAGCAAAAATTTTATTAGCTGAAGAAATTTTACATTAAAAATCCGATTAGGATAATAACTCACCTTGTCTTTAGGCATATTTATGGATACAAGGTATTCAGCCGGGACATCGACATCTGAAAATAACCGCTTAAACCAATACACATACAGATTGTAACACCGGAGGCTGCGGAGCTATGCCAAAGCAAACTCGGACACAAATTTGCGATTTACTTGGGTCATATAAACCATCATTTCTTACCTAAGTGGCAAATGTGTGCAGTGCATGCTTCATTAATATAACTGTGCAGGAATGGATAACCTTTGAAACGTTTTGGTGTAGCACTGCAAAAACAGAACTGCGGTTAAATCACCTTAGCGCATGTGGTACAACTAGTCTATATCGTTAAACTCTAGTTTGCAGGGTTAAATCCTTTAAACATAAGACTCGAACAGCAAGTCGCAGTAACGCACAATATGCCATCGTTTAATCGATAAAGCATGAAGCTGACTGTGAATGCAAACAATGGTAAAGTTTTATTACGACAAATCGATGAACGATCCCACCATGTTTCAGTTACCTAGAAAAATTCAGTGGACTCCTTGCTTATACGGCTACTTATATATTTTTATAATATAATTATAACACTTTATCGGGTTTGGCGAAGAAAGCTTGCAGCGTGCTACTTATTTAAGTACTTGTATTTTACTGTGATGTAAATTATCACTCTGCTCGTGACCGACAAACAGTCATTAAGAAGTACTGAGAGCCGGCAAAATTACTTAACGATATTGCTTTAAAATAAATACAATACCATAAGTACTTAAAAATTAAAAATGAGTACAGTTGTGTTTAATTTATAATGTTCTACACTGTACTGAGTGTGTTCTACAGTAGACTTTAATGATAAATTAATCATTAGTGATCATACTCGAGGGGATTAAAAACGAGTCCAAGTGAATGGAGATCACATCCAACGGACGCTAGCGGTACACTCGCATTTGCTGACCAGCATTTCATATACTGTAGATATCCAAACAGACCAAAATGATCTTGTATGATAGACGGTGGTACAAATGTATTCCTCGATCCTGTATGAGAAAATAAAACAATTGTAAGTAACTGAACACCAGTGCGCCTGGCAACGCTAATCGATACAGACTACAGACTTCGCAGTGCAAGCAAGGGAAACTGATTAAACTCAACAACTTACTGTTAATAGCACACTTACCCGACGAAGGTAGGATATCTTTTATATCATCTCTCCGCCTAACAGAAGGTACCGATGACATTAGCCTATCCGCAGTATCCGGTACAACCTTCCTAAATGGAAGCATTCCTTGGGATAATCCTGGTCCCGGTTGAAAATATGTATTCATTGCCGCCGCCGCTGATGACGATAATCCGTAGCTAAATTGCTGATTTATCGCCCCGATGCCGCTGGAAACGGATGCGGAATTAGGAGTAGCACGATCTCCGGATGACTGTGCAAAATTGCATACACTCCAGTTAGTCAACAAAGGACACACAAATTCTCTCAACAAACTTACATCGCCCGACATGCCTCGATTTTTTTCTTTCTCAAACGCTAAAATGCACGGAGCATAGATGTTAATTAAGGACACCTGGATAAAAATTGGCAAATTCGTACCTGGAAGTGAGGATCCACCTTCCGCACCAGGCAACGCTGGAAAATCTTCGCTATGCATTTGAAATTCTGTGTTCCCATCACTTCCACCTTGCTTGGTCAATCCTGAAATAATGGAGGCTATTTTTCTGACAAGGTGAGTTTCATTACAAGCTGCGCAAAACGTACACCACGGCAAACTACCAAGTAATATTAGCGTTCCTTCAGGCAAACTTGACTGACACTCTACCGTTCGTCGCTGCGTTCACAAATAAACTAGCCACTCAATTACCTAATGACACTTAAAATATCTAACAGAATCTTTCGTGCATTTTCTTGCTTCTATGTCGCTTGAAAATTAAAAAAATAATAAACATTAGTTATGATAACAAACAGGTAATGCCCATAGCACCATCTTTTTTACATTCCAGAACGCTTTAAAAATTGAAAATTAATTATCCAAATTGGTGAACAACCAACAACACACTCACCGTACGCTGATTTCGGACCCTGCGAGAGCACATTAGCAAAACTCATGGAATTCTCGAGACGACTCCTTGAGGATAACGAAGGAAATTCCGAGATATCGAACATTGGTCCGTCAGATCCTAGAATATCTGTGCTCGACGTTCTAATACATCCATTTTTTTCACAATAAAAAGTCAATCAACCGTACCATTCGTTGAGTTGAATGCGCTTCCACGCATAAAAGGCGACCTGCAAGAAAATAAGACTGTGTGTAACAAGCCACAATCGTCGCAAAAAAACGGTACCACATACGTTCCAAAATTTTGTACTCCCATTGTGCTGGTCGATCGTTTGGCTTCCTGTGTTCTCTTCAGTAAACTGTTTCTTATTGACAGATCATCAAAACCAGCTTTAAGCGCATTCATGTTAAAGGTGTTACTGCAAACAAGTATAAAATTTGTTACAGCAAAAGTTTTTGAGAACCCAGTATCTGTAACTTACTTTAACGAGGACTGCGACTGCGGTTGTACAGAATACTGACTCGTAAACGAGCTCGCTGGGTAAGACGACCCAAAACCGGAGGTTGATACCGAAGGTGTTTGTCCCACTGAAATACTCCTCGAAAACGCACCGTTGCTAGCCGTCAGCGGACGGGAACTGGCTGCTGGTGAATTGTAACCCATCGCGAAATTCGAGTTGGAGAGACCACCGCTACTGGAACTATGGCCTGCAGAATCAAAAATTACGTTTTCAGCGCTTAATGAAATTCCCACAACTTACATGTTTCAGAGAGTACTCGAATTATTCATGACTATTTCTACCACAGAAATTAAGCCTAATTTAAGCTAAGACAAAAGCAAAATTTCAATAAGAAAAAACTAAAACTCTACTGAAATTAAGCAATCCAACGACCAGCAACCAATACAAAAAAGAATATTTCAAACAAAAGCCAAGCAAAAAACGCTTTAATTCGTGTCTGTACATTATTTAATGGAGCTGTTTATGATCTAAAAGTCAAACGATTTTGTTTACAACTATTGTAATAACAATCTGGTTACAGATCATCGTTACCCAAATGACGGATACGGATCTGCCCTGATTACGATTACCACAATTGTAAACAATATCGCAACCGTTAATAAGTGTCGTAAAACAATCCAGGTTTGATAAATTTTAAGACCATCAAAAGAGGGTATTAATTTTAAGAATTAAATATTGCTAATTATGGGTCCCACTGTAAACTGTACAGCGAATGAAAATTAGCGAACAAATATTAATGATGTAATTAATGACTTTAAACTTTAAAGAAGCGAGATTCTTTAAAGAAGCGAAGATTCCGGTTGTAACGAATGCACTTACTTAGGGCTGACAAGCCGGAAGGACCCGACAAGGGAGAGCCAGCCCGTGGAAACTGAGGAAAAACGCACTTGTCAAAACCCAACACAGCATGGAAATCCATCAAAAATTCATCGTCAGGCAGATAAATCAAAGACAGACCTCGCGGTCGTTCCTGCTGCCTCCAAACACAGAAGGGGAATACGCATTGTTGAAGGAAGAATTGTACGAGGAGTCAGCGGAGCTGAAGTCGTTCGCTGATGCAGATATCGATGAGAATCCCTGATGGATACAAATAACATGCTTTAAGCACCGCTCCCTGCAATTATCCCGAAGGGCAGAGGCAGAGCAATTAAAACTCACAGGTGGGACCGATTTTCTTAGGGATGCGAAGGGTGACATATCCGATAGTCCGCTGGGTGTCCTTGAATTCATTATCGTACTGAGTCAAGCGTGAAGACAGAAAATAAATCAGAATTCCCAAAAAAGGCATGCCATCTAAGCACGATCTTTACCTTGATCCCGTTGATTGAGGCAAATCCCATATCGGGTCCGTGTACCTGAATAAGCAAAGTGGCACGCTAAATCACTTCCCCGGGCGCAACAGACCATTCAAAATGGGGATGCAAGCGAAAAACAAAAGTTCACAGGAGATGCGAATCAAATCAAAAGTCGACAGGAGGAAAGGAACACAGTCACAGAAACCAACACGGATCTCAACGTAAGCATGCAGCAATGATCGTCCTGACGCAGACTTTACTTACTGGCCTGAATTTAAATACTGCTCGTTTCTACTAAACGCCATGTTGTGTTGGTAAGTTAGAATCATATCCACATCATATCTGAAAACCTCACTGGTCAAAAAAAATCTCAAGAATAAGAATCTGCAAATCCAACGGATTATAATAACGTGCAAGGCTGCAGTAGACTTTAAACGCTCTCTGTAATGATGGAAATTTGTTTTTTCCGAACCTTCGCTGTAAATACAAACCATTTACGTACTTTTACGTTTATACAAAGCGTTCCCTGCAAATCGAACTGAAGCAGCTGAACAATTTTTCATGAATGAGACGCTGCTACGCGCGTACGTAAACACACGCATTCGTACGCTACGGTCAGGACGCATCGTAGTATGTCTGTTTACGGCGCCATTCATAAGTTGTCCGTATTTTTGGCGACAAAACTTGATACAGCACTAGTACTTCTTCCAGGCGGTATCCCAATAATTTCGCGGAGTATTGTGTTACGGTTTTTCGATTTCCTATGAAAAGCAGGATGAGGGGTTTTCGCCCTTATTTGTTTCTCTTCGCACTGTGACGATAAACTATTTAGAAAGTCGTGTTGTATCGTAATTTCAAAATGAGTGCCTGTCCGGCGCAATTGCATATTGTGCGACAGTTTCCTCAAGAAGCACGCAGTGATCAAGTGACCCTGCGCAGCACTGAAGAAGTGCCGCTGGAATACCGTTCCGTCTTCAAGACCTTCCCCTTCTTCAATATCTTGCAGTCGTCGGTATACGATGCGGTGTTTCAGTCCGATAATCCCCTTGTGATATCGGCGCCAACAGGCGCGGGTAAAACATGCGTGTTCGAGATGACCATCGTCAAAATGCTTATGAACGACCGTTCACAGCATACGCTGAATCAATCCGAAGAGGATAGCCGCCCTACTCATTTCTCGAAGGCGGTTTATCTCGCTCCCATAAAAGCTTTATGCGATGAGCGCTACATGGATTGGCGGGCAAGGTTTGGCGAGATCGGGCTTACCGTTTGCAAATGTACCGGGGATTCTGACGGCGATGACTTCGGGGAAATTCAGAAAGCTCACCTTATCGTGGCCACGTCGGAAAAATGGGACAGCATGACAAGGCGCTGGAAGGATCATGAACTTTTAATGAAGAATGTGCGCTTGTTTATGATCGACGAAATCCATACGATTGGAGACGAAACAAGAGGTACGTTTCTATTTAATCAAGTAACAACAAAATTCATAGTTTGCTGCAAACCTGACTACAGGTAAATGGTCATTTTCAACTTTTGTTGTGATCGGATCGTCAGGCATCGGGATCGTCTTTTGTTATATCATCTTCCGTCAGTCAATAATTTCACATTTTTGCTTTAATTAATAATATCGTTTTATGTGGCACTGTTTCTTTAATAGAAATAATCATTTTGTGCAGCAAGAGTTCGCTTTGGCGAGATGCTTATAATTATACTACATACATACATAAATACGTACAGACGGTACAGTATGTTAACGGTGTTATGCATAGTTTTGTTTGTGCTTTATAATAGGTGCGGCAATGGAAGCAGTGACCAGCCGCATGAAAGCTATAAGTAAAGCCCTTCAGCTTCGGGAATCGCAAGAAAATCCACTGGACATCCCATCGATTCGGTTTGTTGCTGTGTCCGCCACGTTGAACAACATTTCCGACTTCGGCGAATGGTTGGGCTCCCCTCAGCTTTCGGCCATTTGCCACAAAATCGGGGATGGCAGTCGTCCCGTGAAACTGCAGAAAGTTGTCCTTGGTTATCACGCGGCTAAAAACTGTTCGGAGTTTAAATTCGATATGAGCTTGAACTACAAGTTAGCCGGTAAGCGGTCCACACTTCTAAATTTCCTTAGTATCGACATTGGACAGAGTCCGTTTCTTCTGTTTAAATGTTTCTCTCATTTCCCTTTTAGGCGTAGTAGAGCAGTATTCCCAAAAGAAACCCACCTTGGTGTTTTGCTCTACCCGTAAAGGAACCATGCAAGCAGCAAAAGTTTTGACGAAGGATAATCATTCGTTTGTCTCTAATATGGATCAGTATCACCGGCTGCAGCCGATTGCGAATTCTTTGAAGGATCTGAGCCTTCGGTCCTGCGTTCTTGCCGGGGTTGGGTTTCATCATGCTGGATTGGACATTCATGATCGGAACGCAATTGCCAGCTTATTCGAAGAAGGAGCTTTGCCGGTTTTGTTGTGTACGTCTACTTTGGCTATGGGCGTGAACCTTCCTGCGCATCTGGTAATAATAAAGTCCACCAGCCACTACGTGGGGGGAAGCACTCAGGAATACAGCGAAACAGAAATTCAGCAGATGATGGGAAGAGCCGGCCGGCCTCAGTTTGACACGTCTGCGACCGCGGTATGTTCTTTCTGTAGGGAAAGTATAATGCGGCCTGTCTTCACGGATTGCGGTCTGCACATACTTTTAACCATAATCTACTGTAGGCGTGTTTTCCATTTACCAGATGCGGAACATAAAATTTACTTAATATTGTTGTCCTTTCGAATTACATTGCCCAGTTGACGTATTCCTGAAGTACAAGTACAGTATTATCTTGCTGCCTCACAGAAAAGGCTTCATATTTATATCCTAAATATTGAATAAAAAATACCACGCAGACCGTACAAACTTTTTCATTAATTAAGTCAAGGATAAAATCGAATTATTTTACAGTATGGTAATATAATTGCAATGTATTATGAAAATAGCATACAATTCTGTTGATTGCTTAAAGTGACTTGTGAAACGAAAAGTTGTATACGTATGTTGCTTTGGTGCCAAACAATCAGTTCCGGATCCGTTGCATTCGATCTAGTATTGATTTTATTTCGTTTCATTTACAGGTTATCATGACACAAAATGCAAAAAAGTCGTTGTATGAGACACAATGCGAAGGAACTCAGATCATTGAGAGCTCCCTCCACAAGAATCTAATTGAGCATGTAAATGCTGAGATCAGCTTAAAAACCTTCTACAATGCCGACACAATGCTCTCCTGGATACAGTCGACGTTTCTGTATATTCGCGTTTTTAAGAATCCCCAGTATTATGGATTGCCTAAAGAAGTAGATTTTGGTGCGGTCCACAATTGGTTAGAAGAAGTTTGTACGGAGTGCTTGCGCAGTTTGAAGCGCGAAGATTTAATTTCCGGTAACGGCGAGCATTTCCAGTCAACTCTGAAAGGATCGATTATGGCCAAATACTACGTAGCTTTCGACACAATTAAGTAAGCCTAATTCCTCTGGCTTTTTATAAGCATGTAGAATGCCATATCGCAAATGTAACTTGTAAACACTGGAAAGCTTTGCAGGTTGTTTGGAAAGCTGACCGGTAGTGAATCAGTTGCTGATCTGATCTCGGTATTGTCTGAAGCACAAGAATTTTCCGACGTTCAGTTGCGTGTGAACGAAAAGCTGCCGCTGAATACTCTGAATCGGAGCAAGAACAACGTGACAATTCGATTTCCAATGGCGGGAAAAATTAAGAATACCCAAATGAAAGTTAACTGTCTAATTCAAGCCACGCTGGGATGTTTGACCATCAGTGATTACAGCTTGTCGATGGATGTCAACAAAATTTTCCGATCTGCAGCCCGTGTATCGAGCTGTCTCGTGGTGTTTGTGCGATCCGGTAAGCCGCATTTTGCATTGACCGTGAGCGCTTACCTCCTGGACAAATGTTTGAAAGCCCGCATGTGGTACGACTCGGATTATGTGGTTCGTCAGATCTCGAAAGTTGGGCACATTATTTCGTCATCGCTGGTAGCCGCGGGCCTAAATAGTTTCGCAAAAATTGAAAACAGCCATCCCAGAGAGTTAGAATTGCTGGCTAATCGCAAGCCCCCTTTTGGTAATCAGGTGGTCGACGCCATCGCCCACCTTCCAAAGTACAATCTTCGCGTCGCACAGCCAAAAATTCCCCTGCAGCAGGAAGTGGAGGTAATTGTGACTGTTTCAATGCACAATCATCAACTGGTTTCATCGCAAAATACAGCCGGAAGTAATCATGCTGTGTTCCTGTTTGTTGGAGATGCCGACAACAAACTGGTGCACGGAGAGAGATTGACGGATACCAGTTTGGTTTCACTCGGCGGGGTGTGGAGTCGTACCATAAAGGTCATTCGCGCAAAAGCGGGAGATGAGCTCTCTCTCCATTTACTTAGCGAGACGATGCTAGGTTTCGATGTTGTCAGCTCGTTTACGCCGTTTTATTCCGGTCCACCCAGAGCGGTGTTGGTGAACAGTGCATCCACTGCTGCTCCCCGAATTCCGAATGCGGCCCCAGTCCAGTACCGACAGACGGAACTGCGATTCCCTGTTCGGAAGCGTCTTTCTGCAGAAACAGCACAAACCATCGGTAGTCAGAAACTCCGAAAAATTGCTCCTGCTCCTGTAGGAACTCAAGCTGTCCGAACTGCGTCCGTGCCTCTCATAGCTAGAATTCCGTGTGGCGTAACGCCAGTCCATTCGTCAGGAGCAGTCCGAAATACCGCTCCTCCTGTCTTTATGGGAAACCACGGTTTTCGCCCTGCAGCCATATCGGAAACAGCAAGAATTCATCATCCTTCTGTAAATACTGGAAAAGTTGCTCCCGCACTTGTGGAAACGCAAGCCGTCCGAACTGCACCGGTGCCTTTCATTGCTAGAATTCCCTCTGGCACAGCAGCAATCCATTCGTCAGTTGCAGTCAGAAATACTGTTCCTTCTACCGCTTTGGAAAACCAAGCTTTTCGCTTCACAGCTATGCCGGAAGCAACAAGAATGCCGTCACAGATGCCGGCGATCCACCCTCCTTCTGTGTATATGGGAAAAGTTGCTCCTATACTCGTTGACAACCGGAATATCCATCCTGCGATGAGACCTAATGCAGTGAGAGCTCCGTTAAGTTTAGCGACGACTCGCAATCCTTGTGGTAGTTCTACTATACGAACTGCTATGCCTGTTCTTGCCGAAAATCGGAATGTCCACCCTGTGATGAGCCCTGATATACGGAGATTGAGAACTCCATTTGATGTAACGCCGATTCGTAATCCATGTAGCAGCACTATGATACGATGTGTTGCTCCTGTTCGGTTTGCGTGCAATCAGAGTCAGACTTTTCGCCCTGCACCGGAATTCCGAGAAGCTCGCCAGAGCACCGGAATTCGCCCTACACCGAGAAGCCCGCCAGAGTTGTCTGTCCGAAAACTGTCCCCGGTTTTTGTTGGAAGCACTATTCGCTCTACTGCTGAAGAGCACGCAGCAAGAATCCCATTAAATTCTGCCATGACCCATATTGTTCCCGGACCGATTAAGGAGCGTTTCGGCATCTCGAATAGGCAGCCTATTGGCCAAAATGTCACGCATCCAACGTCACTCCCGGAGCCTATTGTCACTACTCCCCGAACACCAAACGTGGCAGTGCTACCCGGCGATCGGATGATGACTCCTCCATCACCAAGTTTTCGATCTTTATTCCTGTAGTGAGTACATTTGTAGTCGAGACATCAAAGATCAAACAGTATGTATAATGTTGCACCCGATGGTAAGATTTTGTTTGTCGTAATAATTATGGATAGTATCTCATCTATGCGCACCATGATGTCGTCCACCGGTGTACAGTAGTTTACTAGGTTCTAATTCGATTTTACGTTAGCAGTTTGTCCGTCACTGTGCGTTTGCAAACAGCTTTGCGTAAATGGCATTAAATATTGTACATGGACATTCAAGATGGGCACTATCCGTAATAGCTTTTTACCATACGTGTAGTTCCTTAGATGCACGAATTAGAAACCTTAGAACAGCTACTACAAGCTACAACATAAGCACTTTAATTTCGATTTCAACTCGTAAGATTACCGATCAAGTTTCGATAATTCGATTATTAAATATTAACCAATTTCAGAACTCTTCTTAAAACAGAACAACAGTCTTCCTATTCACATGGCAAAAACAAGCAGCGTAAAATAATTATGCAACAAGACCAACAGGGGAAACAAGTTGTGTACAGATGAACCACCAAAAGCTAATGTGCAGCAAATATTCTTCTCTACCAAAAGAACTTACTAGCACCATTACCAAAAGACATTTACCCGTATTTAGAGTAACAAAAAAAGTGGTTGTTCTCCAAAACCTCTTGCTTCAAAAAGCCATTAAAAGACAGTATAAAACGTGTAGGAAAAGAGTTCAGACGTCCACGCCAACATATGAAGGCAGTCATTCGGCTTCTGTGGTATCAGCAAATTTTCGGATTGGGATACGAATGGTCGGCCAGTCCGGATGGATGCACACTGATGACAATCTAATCAAATTCATGCAAAGCGGTCTGGCGGATGGATTGCGACACTAAGGAAATCGCCGATCTGAAATTCGACTGCCTCAAGTGTGAGATTGTCTTCTTGTCCCCTTTCACCATTTTTAGTGGTACCGATGGCTCTGTTGCGATACTGCCTTGATCCACGCTCAGGGAACACGATGTTGAACTCGAAGTACGTCCCCCGCTTACGCGCGTCCGGGTGCACCTGGATTCACATTAACCGTGATGGTTAGACACAGATCGTTAAAAATATCATCTAAAAGTATTATATAAAAAACAAACCCGCTAAGCATAAATACTCTGCGTACGGTTTAAGTGCAAGAGATACGAGAACTGATCCAGCAAAGCAAAAGTAACAATATGAACTATGTCCAAGGAAGTGTTCTAAACCTCCAATCACGGGCTACAGTACTATTTTCTTATGTATGACAACACGGGTTATACTATTTTCTCAGTGTGAACAAAAATACCAGCAATAAAACTAACAACAAGTGTTTCAAAAATAATTGGTCCCGTTATATGGACCGACACCGGCAGCGTTATCCATATTAGACAAATACTGGCAATCGCACGTTCAAAGAAAACTGAATTCGCCACCGGGACATCTCCACTCTCAGAAAATTAAATAAAGCAGCAATGAGATAATCGCCGACAATCAGATATTATAGGACCAGCTAGTTACAGCAGCCTAGAAGCTCCAACAGACTGCATATGCATATGATTTCCACTGTTGAATATGCTGCTTAAAAATCACAGAATATGTGGCAGCAACTTATATACTATTTTTTTAGTCGCCTCAAGATATTTTTTTTGAATTTTTTTGAAGCTTTTAGAATTTTCTACAAACTTTTAAGTGCGCCGTAAGACTGAAATGGTATATTTAAGTATGCCAAATGAAATCAAATTTACCTCGCGGATAAGACCAGTCAGCTCCTTGAGTGTAGCATCCATCCACGTATAAATTTGTAACTCTCCCGAAGGTGTATTCCCATTGAGGAATTCCATCAAGGAAAAATGCCTGCCAACATTGCAAAAAACTCGCAAAAGCAGAGGGCATGTTTTCTCGCGATCTACGGAGAATTTGTCAGCTAAGGGGTCTTCCACGCCAGCAAGCGGGGGCGGCGTTTTAGGCTTCGTTTTCATGTTGTTGGGACTTGTTGTTTCCACTGTCCGGGTAATGAAGTTTTCGTGATCACGATCTCCAGGGATGCGAATTTTCAGTTCGTACGGTTTTCCGGAATTGTACGTGCGAACGTCCCCGAACGGCTTCGTAAGTGCTGTTCTTTCGGGGACCATGGCGATAGATTTGACAATTCACAAGAGCTTGACGGAACGTCGAAGATGGTGTGCAGTGCGAACAGTCGCTAGAGGTGGCACAGGCGTGGAATAAGAACTGCAAGTGCAAACTCTGCGGACTAATGTTCAAAACTAAAGTACAGATTAAACAACAGCCCAGTTCCACCTACCGTTTCGTACCTTACTTACTTTTATGCAGTCTCACACTCTCACTTTTCACATTACGAATCTCACAGGCAGTCAGCGCACTTCTGTCGAACAGTCTGCTATTGTCCAGCATCCAAGAATCACTAGTGACTAGACTAAATTTAATGCTTTCACTTGGTAGTTCCAGATTCCATACACGAATTACTAGAAAGGATATAATGGAAATAAATAAGTATACTTAGTACTTCTCGATAGAAACATTAAAAATAGCAAAAAATGGAGTTAAAAGTCAGAATCTAAAATTTTTCCGGCGAATCCCGCTTTATATGCTCTGATTTAGAACGCTGACTTTAATTCGGGTTTGGATGCAGGCCGCGGTTGGTCTACTGTAAACCTAACTATTCACGGCGCAAATGACAAATTTTATGTGTTTGTGGATCATATTTTGTTTATTATCTACAGCGAAAGATTGATTTAAACATAATTTTAAAAATCATTCGCGTTACCTTCGACGAGGCGGCGGTTTGCGTTAACTGAGCAGCACATTTCTTATTTCGGATGTTACGACAAAATCCAAAGGTACATAAACCGTAAACCCCGAAGCCTTTTTTATCTGTTTGTTTCCAATTTTTTTTTAAAACCGACTACGAATACTTTAATGTTTATTTTTTTAATCGAGCTATTTTGCACGCTTCGCATCATGCTGATGATGATAAATAAATAGATTTGCCACTTCGGTTACAACTGACAGTAAGTTAAAGGGCTTGCTTTACGTTTTTACTTGTATTTATATACCATTTTCTTTGCTTGACTGTTGGCACCACCGCGGAAATTAGAAATCAGTGGAGTTTTATCAACTTCAGTCTTTATGTAAACAAAGTTAAGACCGAAGACTAGCTCCGAATGTAATCTGTTTTAGGCGCATTGCGTCTAACAATTGTCAACGTTGGAGAATAATTTGTGACTTTCGTGTGTGCGCTTTGCTAGCTCTATAGACGACAATTTTAACTATACTCTGATAACCAGTTTCCTTTTGTTGACTATTTCTTCTCTTTCTGGTGATTAGAAGTTAGCCCGTTTTGAAGTATATCGTGCCCACTTCCTAACTCTTAATGTTTTCTCGATAATTTACATTTTGTGAAACCCGTACATCTACTACCATATGTACTTATATGTTGGATTACATCGCTGTTTGTTAATACTGCTGGAGGCGTAAGCCTGGAAGTTTTAAAAGTCGAACGGGTAAGCGCGTAAGGTTTTGCTTGTAAGCTGTAAGCAGTGTTAAAACTTATGACATTACTATGCACATTATGACATTACTTTTAACAGTTAAAAGTAATGTCATAATGTGCTTTGTAATTTACTGCTGAAACTCGTAAAAATAATTTATATTTTATTGTTAATAATAATATTTGCAGGAGGAAGGCTACCAGTCAGTATTTAATGGTAATGTTATTAAAAGTAGCAGCAGTACTTAATAAGAATGTTGTAAATTTGTAATTTGTTTTATTATTCTGATGAATTGTTCCGGAAAACGTGCAAAGGAAAACTATAGTGCATTTCTTTTTTTTAAACTTTTATGATAGTCTAGCTACAACCTTGGAGTCTGAGCAGTGAACACCGTTAAAAATAGTTGTTTTGTTTTAGTGGCTTGTGGTAGTATGTATTGTGCTTCAGTGCTTGACTAACTTGCGTACAGATGGGTATTCCTTTCGAGGAAAATTGCTGTATGTTGATGATAAATTACTGGATATTGATAGTTGTGAATTTGTAACTTGTGTAGAATACTTACACAGTTCCCTTACCGGCTTACTGTTTTGCGGTTTTAAGGCATTCCGCTTTATCTGTATTCTGATGTTATAAATTTTGTGCGGTACTCCTTTGGCTTACGGCCTTGTGGTTTACAGAAACAGCGAACACGGAATCGTCGGAAATCTGCCGATTGAAAGAAGTCAAATCAGACGGGAATAAGAGGTACTATTAGCAGCCATACCGCTTTTCATTCTAAAGAAAAACAATTATTGTTGGACGCAGACGATTATTGTTATTTTGTACTTCAGTTATGCAGTTTGTAGTCAATCAAAATTTCCATTTTCTTTTGTTGTGGGTTTATTTGGATTGTATTTATTGGATTTCATTTGTTGGTGAAACTGAAAACCGTTTGGCCTTTTGAAGCAACAATAATTTTTATTATTCTAAGAATTGCTTAAGTCTCTTTGAAAACATGTGTTTTACCAATCTAGGTATCTATATATTATATGCATTTAAATTAATGATCATTATATGCAGGTACGGTTTTGGTACATTTTGCTATACTTTATGGAATTTTTCCATGTGTTGGCAGATCTTGACGTCGTTGTTTAAACAAGCCTGATTGATTTGCACAACTATGGTGGACCACTTAGGTAAGAACGAAACCGTAATCAATCCGGTTTGTCGGGCTGCCAGATGAATTTTCAATTTTGAGCGCAGACAAGCTTAACTTGTAAGTGATGCAGCGTATTTGATGCGAATTGTTTTCACATTGGCAGTCAATAGCGAAGCAAATAAGCATCGGATACAGCGAATCGAAAATGCCTTCGGAACAGCCGGCGTTCCCTTATTGAAACAAGGACGTGTTCTTTTGGGCGAGGGCGTCCTGAATAAAATGTGCAAGAAAAAGCTTAAGCCGAGGCAGTTCTTCCTTTTCAACGATATTCTAGTGTACGGAAACGTGGTGATAGGAAGTAAAAAGGTGAACAAGAAGAATAAGTTTGTTTATTGTTTGTTATTATTTATCAAAATTGTTGTTGAAATTCAGTTCCGACAATATAACAAGCAACGAATTATTCCCCTGGAAGAAGTCAAATTGGAGGGTATTGACGATGACGCAAGTAAGGGACGAATAAATTTACAGTGTTAGGCTTTCAGCAAGTATTTTGTTTTTTTCTGCCTTTGCAGGCTTGCATTTTGGATGGTACATATGCAGCCGAGCGAAGTCGTTTGCTGTGTACGCTACAACGGAAATTGAGAAGCAGCAGTGGGTGGATCATATAAGCCGAGCCGTGCGAGAGCACATTCGAGAAGGTGAGGAACGGCATCTGTTTTGAACTTGTCCCGTCGCGGGTTGTAAAGGTTCGCTTCGGTTTGACCTAGGAAATATTCGCGCTCCGCACACATACGCTGCAACAATGGTTCCTGATAGTGAAGCAAAAGTTTGTGAGTATCTTATCACATGCATAGTTCATGCTTTTATCTGCATTTCATAATACGAATCCATGTTGAACTATTTTTGGAATGTCTGATGTATAGGTATGCACTGCAAAAAGACCCAATTTACTTTTGTTAATCGAAGGGTGAGTTTATCCTGCTGGATTTGTTACCTTGCAGCAATTAAGGCACAAAAAATAACGCTGCGGTCGCAATTTTATATAGCACCACTGCCGGAAATGTGGTCTGGTAGTGTGCGGCAATTGTTCCAATCAGCGGGCAATTATTGTTGACCAGGGCGATAAACCACAACGAGTTTGCGCAGCGTGTGCAGTGGAACTGAAGCGTGATGGAGAACAGCGAAATTCCATTGTGAAAGGTTTGTGTATAATATGATTACTACTATTATCCTGATTTCAACTAGCAGAAATTATATCCTGACTTGTAAATGAAATAATTGTGTATCCAATTTTAGAATATGGCAGCGGTAACAACAGCACGATTGCTGATTCGCCTGACGATTCCGACGATGGTGGCCGCTATTCTCCCAGTGATCTTTCCGACGAAACTGGGAACCAGACAAATTTTTACGATACAAATAATCGAAATGATGAAGATCATGGTCAAAAAATATGAGCTCTTTACATGATTTTTCTTTTTTGCCTTTTTATGGTTTTAATTGTAACTAGTACATGTATGTTTCCCCTTATGACGATTTCACTCAGTATTTTATTGCAGAACAGTGAAATTTTTCTTCCTGTGCACGTTTTAACCGTTGATCTTTTACCGTTGCCTTTTTTATTTTTACAACTTTTCATGTATAAATTTGTGTGCATTGCACGAAATTGTATGTCAGATGAATTTTATACAAAAGTGTTCCAACCGGAATGCTTTCGAAATCAAACCGTTAAAAAATCGAAACAGGATAATGTACTTTCTTATATCAATCATACGCTGAGATATTTCAGCTTTTTTAATAACGAACAAACAGGTATTAGAAACAGCGCAGATCGTAGCCCGCGACCTTAGTATCAAACGATCTTCTGAAACGGATGCCAAGGATCTGTAAACAGATTTGGTGGTAAAGGTGTGCAGTGAGTTTCTTCCAAATCTTTCATATGCAGTTTTGCCAAATACAACGTTAAATGCTGACGGATGCTAGCGTCCAGATTTTTTCCGATGTCCAGCGGGAAACGAATTCCGCTTGGTTCGGTAATCGCACATTCCGCTAGGTAATTCTCTACCAGCGTGCTAAGATCGTCATCACTTACACCGCGCAAATACTCAATATACATCGTTTCTGTAAAACAAAAATCCACATATTTTATACAGCTCAAATCCTACATCCGACAAATTCACGGCACCCACCGTTTAAATTTTTTGTGTACTTTGCAAAACCTTGAATATTTACAGTCAGTCCGATATTGGACTAAATTCGTTCAGTAGAATACAAAAAGCATCATGCAAAAATTATGGCCGATGTCAGCGTTGTGAGTGCTGCATCTGTTACCTCTTTCCTTGGCATCGGACATGAGCCATTGATCCAAAAGGTCTTTCGTTCCGCTGTTAACAATATGTGGATAACGATGTGATAAAATCTTAGTCAACAGGAAATCCGCGCGATTAACCATGAAATCCCTAGTGGTATCGTGGATAGCCAGAATTTCGTCCAGCGTACGGCGAATCAATAAGACTGGCCCGTCGTACTGACACAACCAATCCCCAACATTCAAATTCAAATAGTGCCGCACAACGAATGTGACGATGTGCGAAAGACTTCGGGGCATACGTGCATGTGCGAGTGGTAGGAGATCATCGAAAGTAGCGTCCAGAATGACGCCCTGCACATTGGGGTAACTAGCTGCCAAGTAGCTGGCCGGAAATCCCCCGATTGACCAGGCGAACAGCAAGATGTTGGCCTCATCAAAGCCCAGATGCTCTTTAGCATAGCGCATTACCGCGTCGGCAGCATGCAGCTCTTGACTAGGCAGCGGTTCACCCGTCGAATAGCCAAAGCCTGGATGATTCCAGCCCAAGACGGAATATCCGCGATGCATGGGTGTGTTCATGATACCCAGCTCGTAATAACCAGCGTTGCCTTCACAGCAAATGACCAGAGTGTTGCCCAGGGAGGCCGATGCAGAACGATTATCCACAAACATCGTGTCGATGGTGTTGCCATCTGATGTTCCGATTGTTGCATGACGAGCACGGATATGAGCCTACCCAATCCATAGCCACACATCGTCAAATAGTAATAAAATTGCAATTTTTTCATGTTCTGTGACAAAAAAAGCCAAAAATTTATTTTAAAATTGTCACTTACTTGAAAGTTACTTTTCTGTTTACTGTTCACCTGTCTTAACTTAAAAAAGCCGACCAATAATCTATATAATGCATTCTAATGTAGAGTCTCATACAGCTCTTGAAGCGTACAAAGCGTTGGCAAACATTAAAAGCACCAGAAACTGTTAGAAGAAAATTTTATGAACAACTGGAACGATGAAACGTACATTTTCCATGATTTTCGCGCGTCCATCGGTCAGTGCCTGTTTGATGGCCAGATTGAACAACTTCAAAGAACCAGGATACAGCAATCGACGACCGATTGTTTTGAGCAGCAGCAGCGCCAGCACTTTGTACACACTGCGCACCAGCACGTTCATGTCCTTGCCAATAAGCGCGTCGGCAACGATCGGGCGTCGGAGCGCAGCTTTGGTGCTGTAAACGCAGGGGATGTGATACTGGCTGGCACAGTCAAAATCATACTTCTTCATCAAATTCTCATAATTCTCCGGCGTCCTGCGCTTGTGAAAAGCGTCAAAATCCGTCATAAACTGACGGTAGGTGTGATTGAATCGTCGCCCGGTCCATCTAAATGCGTACGCCAGGCCAGCCACGGACATGACGAACATAAAGGGCCGCAAGACGGGAAGCAGGAACTTCCCCAGTGCGCCATCTGGATGCTCAGCATCGTCATTCCTCTCGGCTGATGCACCGCGGCGATATATCGCAAATATCCACAAAGGGGAGCACAGCTTTACCGCGAACCAAAAGCATTTCACGGCGTACAACATGTACGTACTACAGCGCTCCAGTCTGTTAGGAGCGTAATTTTCACCCTGAAAGATAAGCCAAACTATCGTTAACTGGATACATAATATTCAATAATTATTCATTATTACTGTAAAATTTTTAATTTGTAATACCTATTACTGTACAAAGTATTACCTACCATAAAATATGTCTAACGTGTTATTCGTGTAACTTTCAATTCATGCGCGTTGCATCTCTCAGAGAAAAATCTCACCTGGAATCCAGGACGATAAACTCGATATAAATCAGGAGAAAAGAAGCTGCGAGCAGGTGACATGTTCCAGGTCAAATTATTCGGGAGCTTAGAGTACGACATACTCAATTCGCAGACATTTGTTCCTGCAACCTGGAGCCCCAAATCAAGCTCTTTAAAAAAATACGTACGTGTCGGACAATCGGGGCATAGGTTCTACTTATTTAGATAACAAAACTAATAAGTTATATGTGTTATACTTATATCGAGCAGAATTTGAAGACGACTCACCAGTCAGAAAAGTGACATGTTTGAATAATTTGACATTCCCAAAACTGCATTAAAACTGCAGGAAGTTTACAATACACAGTACAGTGCACACTGCACAGTGTTACGAGCCCGTACGTACGTTACTACATTTTAAGGTAACCGCTTTACCATACATTTGTGCTATTCGACACCAAAGGTAGGGTCAGCTTGTCTACGTCACTTGTTGTGAATGGAAAACACAGGTCTCATCCATGATTTATGTTATTTTTTACTATCAAAATTTAATTGGTCTCAACGGACAACGAGTCGAAATATTGTATTTTGTTGATTTCTTACCAGCTGTTAAGTGTTGTCGTTGATCAATAAGCAAACTTTACTCCATTTCTCCTGAATTGCATTCAGAATTCTCGTATCCTTTAAGCCGTGATCGGCGGATCAAACACTTATCGTTAGTGCAGTTTCGGGCTTTCGCCCTGGAACCGTGAACTACTTTCTCAAGGAGTATTTTCTGTTTTTCGGAATCGGGGCATTCTAAGGTTCTCATAAGTCAGATATCACCGAACTTCTTGCTGATTAAGTGGTAAGTTATCGTTCGTGCGTTAAATGACCATACGGTTGAAAGGTGTTTTAAATGTTTATATTTCATTCTGTGAGCTTCAGCTGAGTGCTGTGTAAAGACTGTTTCCACGCTAGAAACGCTCGGTTCGACACAGTTTTCGATGGATGTGAGTTTCCATTGCAGATTGCTCTAATATTGCCACAATGTTCGCCGAAGGAGCGCCTTCACATAATCCGAATGTCGACTGGTTGAATACGAGAGGAATGTGGACGATTTATTGCTTGGTAAGTTTCAACATTCAACAGCCAGGTTCTCTTTCACTTTTTTGTGCCGCTGCTCTTTGCCGTCGAAGCGCAAGGTGTAGGCGCGGAGTATGTAGTCTTATATACAAATCCAATCGTGAGTGTTCGTTTTATGAGTAAATGTTTGTGCCGCAACGGAGAAATTGTTAGCGGTGCATTATTGGATCTTTTTAAGTTCAATTAATTTTTCTCATCTTTCGGCAACTCTCACATGTTAAAAACTGGTGACGAGTTGCGTGATATCATTTTAATTTAGAATATATATACTTTTGCAACTTTGTTTCGGGAGATTGGATATATTAATTTTGATTTTACGATGTAATTTGTGCGGTCGCATTTATGAATAGCTATGAAATTAAATTCTCCTGAAAGATAAAGAACGTGTGGCTTATGTATGCCTAATTGCAGATTTTGCTGATGTTTCACCTGTTTCTTCTATCCATTCCCATTGATGCCTTGTCGGTTCCGGTCGTGTGGACTCTTACCAATGTTCTTCACAATTTAGTAAGTTTGCAGGACTATGTCCTTTGTTTCTGGCTATCGTTCGGGATCTCTTTACTGCAAAAAAATTGCAAAGATAGCTTGCGTTATTGAAATTTGTGGTCGGCTGTCATTTCTGTCGTACCGGTGTTGTACTCAGTCATTCAGTCAAGCAATATTTTTCAGATTGCTGACAATGGGATTAAGGATTATTTAAAAATTAGATCTGTATAAAAACTGGCTATTTTTGCAGTAACGTTAGAAGATGGTTCGATAAGGTAGCTAACTGTTCATGGACCGTTTGATTTTTAATAAGCTTGCATGGGTTTTTTGCAGTTTAGCCTTGTGTTGTTCCACTTCACGAAAGGAACTCCTTGGCTGGATAGTGACCAAGGACGTTCGCGTGCGCTGACATTTTGGGAGCAGATCGATGATGGAATTCAGTACACAACGACGAAGAAATTCTTCACCATCCTCCCAATTGTTTTGTAAGGATGCGATACAGTGATGTTGACGTACTCTACATGTGTATTTCAGTATTATCATCATCTCCCAAATTACTGTCTTTGAGGGGCTTTCACAACGTCACTAATTTTCGCTTGTTGTCAGGTACTTAATGACGGGATTCTACACCAACTACGATCAGACCCACTTCATCATCAACACAATTTCTCTGCTGTCGGTGCTCATACCAAAGCTCCCTTATTTCCATCGCTTGCGTCTTTTTGGAATAAATCGATACTGATATCAGCTACCTTTGTGCACATATTTAACGCTTAAAATTTTCAAGTCTGGAGTTTCCTAGAGATACTGGTGCTCACTGGTATTTAATTAACCGAATGGTATCGTACTGGTTCAGTAATTCGCGGTTCTATAGCTTGCTTTTCACTTACTTCCATATGCTGCGGTATTTCCTTTTTTTGATTCGGGTGTTTAGAAGTCTTTCTCGCTGATCGTTTTAACTGCAGTGTAAAATTTTAGATTCCTTAGACTGGGCAACGCTATAAAACTGCATAAAGTACTAGAGTAGTGTTCCAGTTCCAGATGCAAGACTATACTTATTAGTTATTAGTTACTTACCTGAAGAAATTATGCCTTAAGAGAAATCCTTTGTATGACAAGCTGGTAAAGGTATCATGTCTCATTACTACCCAAATTCTAAATTATCTGAGAATGCTGAAGGCTTTTAGTCATTTTTATGTTGCGCTGCAGCAAAGGATTAGCGTTGGAAGCACCTGCTGACCACGCTAGAGCTTATCATCCTGCCTGTGGACGATTTAGTAGTCTAACGAAAAACTTCGAAAATTGCATTAGATGTGGTTGTTTATCGCTTTGGTGTCACGATACTGAAGTACGTACTGCAATCATCCCACAGTCCAAGCCTTTGTTACCAGTTTTTAGGTTGCGACTCTTTTGCTCATGCTTCTCGGTCGTTTGCTGGTACTGAACGAGATAAATCAACGATGCTTCTTGCAAATATATTGCACCAGCATTGACACTTCCAGTTTCTACTTCCTTATCGCGTGCGATGCAGTCTGTGGTTGTAACTTCTAGCCACTCTCTACTTCACACTCACGGTTCACACCATAATATTTTATTACAAGCTGGATTTAAATTAGCACTTCTTCATAAAACAATGGATCAAAAAGACACCTAAAAAATGGAATAAGAAAAGGAAAATTTGGCACCAAATCGGCTAAAATGATAAAAAATCAGCACCGTAGCAAAACCGAAACGGTATAAAAGTAATAAAAACAATCAAAACAAAATCACAAGTTTTAAAGCTTCAATATTACTAGCTAAAAACATGGAAGCACATTCGACTTCAAGGAGATGATAATGGAGTAGTATACCGCAGTACATAATCCAGATTCCAGTCCGTTAATGACGGTCACCGGTGAAAATAGCTGCCTTTTCCTTAAACTGTTGCCGTCGAGAGCGTTTTTCTTCCGCTTCCTTGCGGTGCTGTTCCTGTTCCGCTCGAATTTCCTCTTCAAATTTGGACCCACGGGATATACTTTCGATCTAAAGTACAAAAGAGACTACATTATTGTCCTGCAGCAATCATCGCGTTTTATTTGCCATCTAAAAAAATCAACCCAGGAACTAACAAAACTCTTAAGCATACCTTAGCTTCAAAGAAATTTTTCGCTCCACCAACACCTTCCTTGTCTACGTCAATCTCCGTTAAGCTAGCCAAGACGAACAAACCGCTCTGATCCTGCAGCTCGCCGGCAGCAGCTTTGCGGAATATCAATAGGAACTGTAAACCACAAATTGCAGTTAGACATAAGCATTACAAGAACTATCTAAACAAACCGCATCGCATTATATGCTGCTTCTCAACTACCTGTTCATATGAACTCATTCTACCACAGATACAGTTCCAGTAACACTGAATCAGATGCCAAGCCCAATTATCAAAACGGATATTAGTCAGTTCTGTACTTTCTCACGTGTTCACCGGAATGAAAAACGCAGTGCACACCCCCAAATATCCAAACTGCAAATTTTTGAGGCATCGATACTCACACCAACGATATCGCAATTTTTAACATGCAGATTGCAAATATAAACGTACCAAAAATGCATGAAATAAACTCATGACTTGAAACACACTCTGACATGTCGTGCCTCACGATGTTTTTAATCACTCAAATATGTAAACAAAACCTACTTCACGGAAGTTCAGTTTTCCGTCCTTATCCTCATCCACTTCGCTGATCATGTGTTTTAAGGCTAAATGAGTCTGTGGAGCTCCCAATTTCTCCATCATTCGCTTTAGTTCCTCCATATCGATGAAATGATCTTTGTTGATGTCATGCCTAAATAAAAAGTTGAAAAATAACTACCCAGTAGACATCAAAAAGTGACTGTAATTATAATCTGCAAATACAAGATAGTACAGCAGCACCGGAAACAAAGCAGCGCGTTGTACCTGTCGCTTTATGTTACAAATAAATAAATAAATACAAAGAGTTGTAATAACACATTAATACCAATCATAAGCCGTGCTAACAAAAGAACATGTTTGTACAACTGTGCAACCATCGTTTGAAAACGAATTATCTTATTATGTGTGTTCGCACCCATGGTGAATTATGTCGCCCCACTACACCGACAAAGCGCGAAATAAAATACGTATGCATCCCCAAAATCTGAATAACATAAGCAAACGTTTTCAGCTACAGGACTTTTAGAGCATGCACGAATGCGACTAAAAAGTTTGAAACGTGTTTGAACAATACAGTTATACACCCAATCCGTTAAAAATGAACGGTTTTACGCTTACTTTTACCCCTTCGTAATGGACATAAAATGCCTAAAAAACCGAAAATGACAGGGAAACGATAACTTATTAGAAGGATACTACTAGTACTGAGCAATAATGCTGAAGAACAAGAAGAATGATACACAACATTAACATTTGTTGAAAAACGAGTACTGAAGGGACCAATTTAAACATGAAATCTACATTGGCGAAGCATGGCTTCATCACAAACTGGACGTTTCTTATAACGTTCGGTAGCTGCAGTACCCGCGTAGTGTATAGAGTAACATTCTAAATTTAGCCTTTTATATACTACTGTAGTAGTCCACAGTAATAAAGATGGCGCAGCGGAGTATATCACCATAAAAGGCAATAATTCTAACTATACAGCATAAAGACAGTAGAAAGTCGTAAATGGGAAATATTTTTTTCGTATATTTTCCTTCTTACTTACGATTTGAAGATGTTTTCGTATTCCTTTATCTGTTTGCGAGAGAACTCCTTGAATTCCGTGTAGGGATTAAAGACTTTCAGCGAGGGCTTGTCGCCTGATGCTACGCCTTCGTTGATGTCTTGGCGACGGGACAATTTCTTCGATAATTCATCGGAAGCACTGCCAGAAATGGCTTTTTCTGATTCCGACGAACCGGATGACAATTTTCTCGACAGGTTTGGTTCTCGCAGCAACGCTGGATGGGAATTCTCTGTTTCGGCGTCGTCGGGAGCAGTTTCGCTGAGGTGCAGGCGACGGCTCAACTTTTTAGTCAATTCATCATCAGCCATTCCATAAATTCGGCACGCCGACAGCTTCCAAAGAATCAGTAACACAGCAAAGGTTACAGTCACTTACAGGTTACTGATTATTAAACCCAATGTATTTATGCAGGTGGATTATTTCCAAGGAAATGAAATGTTAATCGCTGTTTTTCAAAGTGTTCGCCAGATGGACAACAGCAAAACAACAAGAAATAAACATCAGTCAGTTACAATCTTTACATCAATGATCAATCACTTAGCTCAGTTAGCTGTACATCTGCAAATAATGAACGAATGTACGCAGTAAGCACTGACGTTAATTCCAAACAGTTGGTAATTCACGAAGTTCATTCGTTTTGACAAAACATAGAAGTGGCAAAACTTAAAAACTTTCAAAAAAATTCTTTTCCAAAATTTCGAGCGTGCTGTCCTACTGTAGAAGTGTAAGGTGTGAATGTGCACTATGAAATCTTTACGATGAAGCGTTCCAAGATTTCACTCATTCGCACTTGAACGGCGGCACTGAATGAGTCGTATATGCCATGCCTTTTATACTCTGCAAGTTACCCAATGGAGAAGCGGCTACCAGCGGCCCACCCTTCGAAGCAGAGCGCTCTTCACACCCCCAGTAGATATTTTGTAGAAGTGGAACATAGCGGCGAAACATTTGTATTTAAATCTTTACGTAAAAAATTATACTTCATAATTATGCTTCAATGATTTTTGGAAGTCGGTGGTCTTTAGGACGACAAACGACAAACTTCTATTGCGTATAAACATCGTCACAGCTATTTGCTGCACGACAGGACCGAAACAGAAAATTTTAATAAATTTCGTTAATTTTTTCATTAAACTTATAAATAAATACCAAAACTTAAAAGAGTAAAACTTTTGTTTTGTTGACCGCTATTTGCTCATCAGTATTTACACTTCAACAGACAAGCATCGCTGAAAAGTAACCGGATTCAGATCCAAAACACCATTGCAGTACATCATTGTTTACAAACTTCAACGCTGATAGATGTCTTTTAAATGGCTACTTCTATACCAGTTTTATTATGGGAAAAGCTATTTTAGTTCCCATTTACTATGTGAAATTTTGTAAAATATTCACTTTCGCTTTTTTTATTGTAATAGCAGTCGGGCAAAGCCGCACAAGTAAAACTGGGCTCTCAAGTGACATGCGATTTATTCATATTATATTCGATCATGTAATAATCATTACGAATGCATATTTCGTGTAGATACTTGCATATTCTTAACAGATTATACTGCCATTATAGATCTGCGAACAGTTTCAAAGGTTCGAACTTCGAAGTTTGGTGCACTTATCAAACTGCAAATCACAATTATTCACACTAGAATACTAAAAAGATTTCCTTTATTATCCAGCAAAAAATTATTCCAAAAAGAATACATCTCATTTCCTATACTTTCACATGAGTAATGTTACAAATTATCACTTTCCAAGGAAATCAGGACAACAAATATTCACAATCGGTCACTAATCATTGAGTCAAAAAGCAAAGTTCTATAACAACAGGATTTACCGAAAACGTTGTGCGCTAAAACCTACTCCGGATATTGGTTTTATTTAGATCACTCTGGAAGCCTCGATTGTCCTTCGTGAAAGGAAGTCTGCCTGAGGAGAAAAGAACGATCCATGAATCCAGTTACAACTCAAAAGTCCCAAACATTTCCAGGTCTTTATAATTATTGTTCGTCAAAGATCGTACAGAATCACCTCATCTTCAAAACTATCTCAAATTACCTTTCTTATCGGCTCCGGAATTCGGAACTTCGTACATAACTGTACGACCCAAACGGCCGTTTCCAAATCAATATCATGCCCAACAGAAACAAAGATCGGCTTTGTACTTGTGCGCGAGGCAATGACAGCCTACGAAATCGGGAAAACATGCGGTCAGCTTCCAGCTTCCGTGGTCATCTCCGTAATGAGACTGCTGCAATAATACATCTGCTAAAAAAGCAAATACTGTACCTTTCCTACGGTTTCGTTCTGGTCAATCAAATCCATCTCATCCCCGTATTTCCGCACGGTGTTCTGCAAATGTAAAATGTAGATGTAGAATGCAGTTGCATTTAAAAGTACAGTAATTGCAAGCATCTTTTGAAATCTATGTCGAACAAATAATTATGAGAAGCATATACGTCAGCCAAACTTTTACACAGTAAGCTTTACTAAGTTTTTATTTTTATTTAAACTTTTTTTCCAGGTAAAACTTTTACATAGTAAGTACAGTAATTATTGTTCTCCTGTAATTATGTTGTAAAAGTAAAAAGATGTCGTTGAGCAAACAGTACTAAACAGTAAATACAGCTCGATATACAACCGGTCACATAAGAAAAACGTACGTTTATCTCTCGCTCGAACGACTGATCCCACGACGGCATGTGAAAAAGTGTCTTGCCCACTCCTATGGTGGGAATTCGTTGGTTAACACCGACGTAGCACGCTGATCCACACCCTAGAATTGATTATCCCTTATGGCTACGCCAATAAAACATTATTTTAAAGACAAGCCGAAAATCTTATAGTAAGCTACGGTACGTATTCACTCACGGCGTGTATGCAACACTCCATTTCCATCAATAAGTAAAACCTACAATACAGTATTTCATAAAGATGCGATGAAATACGGAGATGACGGAACGACACACGTATGTATACTGCGGGAGCATAATTAGTGCCATACATAGTAAAAAAACTACGACAGATTCGGAGATGTTGGATTGCTGGTAACTAAATGATACTTATATCGGTTGAAAATAATTGTAACGCTGACCTGAGGAAGGTACTCCGGAGCATTTTCTCTCAAGCGATCCAAGAGTTTTCCCATAAGCGGATACTCTCGCGCGCCAAGAAAACCAGGAATGTACGGAGTGTTCAAATCCTCGATTAGCGTATCGGTATACACAACCTAGTAGCAACATCCACCTTTTTCTCACATATGCACCATTCCAAATGCAAAAACACAAGTCTCACTTTAAGATCGGGAACAGACAGAACCACCAATGCACCGCAGGCTCGGTTCTGATTGTCCTTCGCACATGCCAGATCCAATCCACCAATGTACTGCAGCGAAGTATCCCTATCATTTCCGCTCTTAACAGGGCCAATTGTTCGAGTTCGTTGCCAGAAATGTGCATTTGTAGTTCGAACTAATTCCTGAAGAAGCTTCTGCTCTCTGCATCAGATAGAGTACAGTCAGTACACCATTTTAAAATTCTGTATTGAAAATAAGAGGACGATGGTGAACTGAAAGCGGTTTACTTTCAGCTTTAGGTTTATGTTACATCAGCTCACTGACTGGTCGGTCACATACAATTGTCAAATTATTCTGTAAACAATCGAGCAATTAACGTAAAATCTTTCTAAACCACCAATAAGCCAGGAGACCCCAGCAGGCGGAAAAAGTTTGAACTAGTGTACGCGTATGCACATAAGAATGTACAATATTAACAGACAGTTATATATATAAATAGAAAAAATTGTAATTTGTACTAGGTATGTATTTATCGTAGTATTTATGATTTTATCATACCGTTTTATGCACCGTAGCCGGTACTGTAAGTCGGATTCCAGCGCCTCCATCTTCCAAGGTATTTACTCTTATATCAGCCGGGCTTCCGCCGTCGCTCTTGTCGATTGCAATGAAAAAAAAGCGATAGGAAAATTAGGAAATGTAACTGTAAGAGTGCTTTTTAGATTTGATGGGAAAGGAACTTATTGCTGATGTCCTAACGGTATGATTTCTGAACAGTTTTAAGCGTTACATTAATGATTAAATTATGATAAGAGCGTTCGTTTAACAGAGTGTTTCGTTCGTACAGTCAGTACTGAATCGCTATTTTAATACGAGTACTGAAGTAGCCATTCTTTACGGTCCTGTATCAAAAATCGAGCGGTGCATTATCCAAAATCTGTAGAAGTAGCAAATGGAGTAACAACACGTACGGTGCGCGATACGTAGCACGTCGATTTCGTCAGCTCCATGAAATCAACAGGAAACTTTCGAAAAGTCCAGAAAGATTATTGCACGGTTGTATCCCACCATGTGGCATGTCGCTCGAAGTCAGAGTTCATAGTCTCCTGTAACGTCGATAGCATTACCCATATGGCGCTAAACTTTAAAATTGTTAGGTGATCACTCTGTACGCTACCTTTCACTACTACCTTTTACTCTGTGCACTACATTTCATTCGTTACACTATCTTTTCGGAAACTACCTTTATCTGCCTGCACTTGTAAATTCTATTTCTCAACTTTTTCCACATCAAAATTATTTCCGGAACTGCCGTTTTTTCGTTAACAGCTGTCATTGCTGCTTCATTTCAAGCAGAACCAGCTGTTATAAAATCGAATTTCCGAAGAATTTTTGGCGATGTTGTGCCGGTTTTTCTTCGCAGATTTGGACGCTGCCGTTTTGAAGAAATTTTCGACTGTTTCGCAGGTCTCTCTATCTGTGTAAGAAGTTGCCGCTGGTCTTTCCATAAAGGGCAATCTCTGCCGCAGAGGTAGTGCTCGGAATGAAAGTTAGTGTACTAAGTAAAAGGTTGGGAAAGATTTTGAGCAATTGTAATAATTACTCAAAGTTGTGCAATAATCTGCTGATGCGAAATTTCATTGCATTTACGGATTACAAAGCATAAAGAATGCAACTTTGACTCAACAGGTAGTTTACCTGACCATGAGTGCAAAATCAGAAACGTTTACATGAGCGTTATGGTTGAAAACTTGAAGTGGAACAACGATACTGCGAAGTAAGTATACCTCGAAGTTCGAAGTAGTCGAACTGACTCGAACAATAAGTACTTAATGTCATCACGCAGTCTTTAATAACGTAAAACTTTATTATCAATAATACCATTAATACGTATAGGCACAAGTTTCTGGTGTGAGGCAGAAAGCTCTTGTTTCTCCCTGTATACGCTAAGCCGGCTAAGGTGTAAAATCGCGAAGAGCAACCAACGATCCAACAGCGCGGCAGCAATGTATTTTTCTTCTACAGAGCTTACTTACTGTTAGTAGAACTACCGTGTTATATTACGTAGGTATCACGGCAAAAGCATCGGCTTTTTTATTTCGTTAACTTTATCCTGGCCCAACAAAGACTCAACAATGGCAAGCGCGAAATCAAAGGTCGTCCCCGGTCCTCGGCTAGTGATCACGTTCCTATCTTTTTGGACACTTTGTTCCGAGTATTTGTAATCTGAAAGGATAGAGGAGAATACTTCGACACCGAACGGCCACACGAACGAACACCAACTCACCGGTCACCATTTGCTCTTTAACGGAAGGATGAGAAGTAACCGAGATTCCTTTGGCGATTCCGTGTTCTTTCAGTGCCGTTGGCCCAGCACAAATGGCCGCAATTAAACCATTTCGCTTTTCCTGCTCTTGCAGAATCTTTTTTACCAGAGGGCTCTACAAAACCAAATGCAATTAAATACTTCGCCGTATATAAGAATTCGGCTGGCAGTGAGACCACTTCCGGTCAGGCTATCCAGAACGACACTGAAGTTCCGTTCAGCAAATGCATACTACCGATTACCGAATTATAGAAGTTAGCGTGAGTTCATCTAAACTGGAAATCAGGACAAGAAATTTGCGGTGGACACAGCTGCGTAAAAAGCATGATTTGTTCTAAACATACATGTTAAAGTATTCAAAAAATGTTCGTAAAATTAACACCGCTAACCCAGTATACTGTACATAGTGGAACTTTGTACAACTTCTCACCTTCCTAAGATTTTCTGCCCCTGTGTTCCCTCCTGTAACACGAAAGTTTTTCCGGAACCAGAATGTCAAAAATACATAAAAAATTAAAACCCTTCTGACAAACCTGGCAAAATAACAACGTCAAAATTTGAAGAATCCTCAGCGCCCCAGGCCTTTTCCACGCTGACATCGGGCTTGATCATAACATCACGGCTACATTTGACGACATCTTCACCATGCAGTCCTCCTACCGTTACTTTAATCTAAAAGTAAGAAGCGCATTACCTTTTGATGCGCTTTTAAATGAAGAATGCTCCAAAGTATTCTTACCCCAGCACGTCGTAAAACATCCGCAGTAATCTACAAAATTCCGACTACAATTCTAGACCGTCAACAAAGTTCCACAAAGAAAACCAAAAAGGGGAAATCCCTTACCACCGTTTCCATTTCTTCAGCTCCTTCAGCAAGAATAAGCAGCGCCTTTTTATCGCCCATTTTTCTCAATGCCTGATAGTATCCTGAGCTTGCTTGGAACACGAAAATTTTGTTAAAACTCCTGCCAGAGCGAGATAACATGAAGCGAAAGTAACTGTGCCTGTTTTCGAATTCTGGCAAAATTGTAGACTAATGTGCACGCTTTTGCAGCGATCAGCTGTCTACACTCTAGACAAGTCTAGGGTAGGCTCTAGGGCCTCTGTGATTTTGATTGCAAACGTAAACACGTACGCGGTACGCTATTTAATTTGTCTTTTTTCCCGCACGCGGCGCATAACGTCATGTAAAAGGCGCACTATTTGTGTCGTAGTTGGCTCCGTTGTTCCTGCTGAATTAAGTACTAGTACGCGTTAGCGCTTATGAAGTTATTGTTATCTGTCAAATTTACCACGTCCGTTGTTGATTCCTAATTCAAGGGCTTTTTAGCTGCACACTAAAAAGGTTTGGTCTGGATTGTGGTCTGACTGTGAGTGGATAATATTGTTCGTGCCGCTGTAGTTATTTACGTTTTGGTATGTTAACGTTTAGGTGATGCTGTAACGGCCAAAGATCATTTCGAGCTTTCTCACACGACCGAATGGAAGCGCCACGACTTTTGCGGCATTTTTCCAGACATGCAGCCTGCAATGGAGTGTGTCAATGCGGGTTATCGTTATTTCAGGTGTACGGCACAGATCGATACCTCGCAAATCAATGATAAACCATTAACCGGTGGGCTTCTGTAAAAGGAAAGGGAAGCTACTTTACGCTTACTTTGCAATGAAAGGCAGGCCCATTTTCATTATGGTAAGCCCTCCACGATGATGCGCACAAGCTCCTCGTTCACAGCCAGCCACACACGATTGTCCGTTCTTAGCTATACTTTTTAGACCTCGAACATATTTCGCTATTGACTGTAAAACTGTGATCCTTATCTGGAGGCTGTGCATGTTTTCTGCCGTTGTTCTTTTTGTGATGATTGCTGGTTACGAAATGAGCGCCGTAGTTTTCTCAGCTTTCTTCAGTTTGCATAGCAAGGCAACGATGGTGTTACCTATGGTGATGTTTTAAAACAAGCTTGCAGGCCATCCAGCATCGCTGCTGTTTTCAAGCTAAGTTTTTGGTATGGCGGAGGCTGAAGCTGCAACGGTGACCACCAGTCTGCCAGAAAGGCTGCTGCAATTAAGCCCAGCGCTTCTGCAAGAGAATGATGTTGAGTTTTTAGAAAAGGTAAAAGCGTTGTTTGTTACACTGTAGTATTGTTTGTTACACTGTTTATAGGCAGAATGATTGATATGATTATGTTTGTGTTGATTGTATCGTGCTTAATTATGTGGCTGGTGCAAGGTAATCGGATCCGGTACAGTGTATTTTTTTAGTTTGACTTGAGTACATTTCGGTCGGATGATGTCGGAGCCCTTGCTCATACAGCACGCCTACTCCAGAGTGGACTCCGGGTCAGTAATCGAACTTTACTGTTCTGCTTGCGTACTTTGATTGTTTTTTAGTTCTGAAAATTTGTAAAGATTCGGCGTAATTAAATGTGAATCAAATGAATTAGTTTTTCAGTGCGTTTATGAGTTCTAATTTATTGAGGTTTGCGGTTTGCTGAGGGATGTGGTTTAACTTACATGCTGCATGTTGGGTTACGTTTTCGTGTAGAATCTATGCTGCTGCTCCTTGTTCTTGATTTTCTGCACAAACAAATTGTACGTTATGTTTTGTCATTTATAGCGCGTGTTGGGTGAGAGGAATGTCGCTCGAAATGCTCAAAACCAAGCTGAGCATTTACTGGCCGAAGCAAACGCATCTCCGTTTCGCAGGGTAAGTACGGTCAGCCTTTCGGTAGTTAAAAATGCGCTAAAACGAAGGCAAGGAAGGCGACAACCTTTTAATTTCCTAGAATTAATGTTAGATTTCTAAATTTGTAGGCAGCTTCTCCAGCTCAACCGATGCAAGTGGACGCTCTCCGCGCTCGGGATCAGCACATTTTGTATCTGCAGTACGAAATAGGTCAGCGGGATTTGCAAATTCAACAACGAGCGGAAGAAGTCCAACAGGTCTGAACCGGGAACAATATCAATACTGATGTGATTTAGAATTCTTTTCTACGAGTGTAAGCTGTTACGTGCTGGTATTTAGTGTCGGGCGGAAATTGAGACTGTCCGAGCTCAACGAACATCTGTTCTGGATGAGCTGCAGCTCATAAAAGATCAGTTATTGAAAGCGAACGCAGAGAATGACTCTTTGCGGGAGTCTATAGACAGCCAAAGGAAAGATGCGGAGAACCGGTTAAAAACGCTATCAAAAGATGACGAGATATCGAAAAACCTGGATATGATTGAGGTTTTTTACCTTGCGATTGTATTGTACATCCGATAATATGATAATTATGTGGTATTTGTTTTTGACATTCGTGTATTTACATATTTTCAATCTTTCAGAGTTTGACCAAAGAAAAGGAACATTTTAAATCCGTGTCAAAAGAGTTACAAATTCGCCTTCAGGAGGCAACAGATTCGATTAATGATGCTGCGACAGAACATCTTCGATTAAAGGTGAATGATTGGTATACTATATGTATGGAGTTTGAATTTCGTTCCATTCCAAGCAGTAGACATACGTGATTGAATAAATAAATGAATAGTGGTTGATATTTCATCTTTTTTCTAATTCTTTCGAGGGCGATTAATTTCAAGTCCATAAAATCTGACAATGAGCAAAATTCATTATGATTCTTTGTAGAAACAAATTGGCGGATACGAAAAGATCGTTGCTGATTATCGCCGAAACTCATCGCAGTTACAAACGGTATAAAATTAATTTCCTATAGTGGTTTTAGTTATTTTTATCTAGCTTTCTAATGTAAAGATTGAATTATTATCATTCATCTTTGAAACGAAGATGTATTCATCAATTCGCGGGCTACCTCACCTTTAATTTTCCCGGTTATGTGGTCCAAGTTGGCTTGTAGCCACAATTAAGGGATGTGTGATTCCTAGATTCCTGTGAGTACTAATTCTGTTGCCATTCAAACCGATCCAGTCGCAGACGTGGAAGCTCAAGAGCAACTGGACGCCCTTATTTCCGTGGTTAATGATCGTGTTGAGGAATGGAAAGTAAGAAAAATTCAGTACAGCGTAGTGGTGCATTTTATCGGAACATTAAGGTTGAGCAGGTTTTACTACAAAAGCGCACCAATGCAGCGAGCGCAGCTGACGAGCGCAGGCTAATGAGCGTGGAAAAAGATGCCATCACCAAACTTCAGAATCTTATCCAGCGGCGGAATCAGGAAGTGGATGATCTTCGCAACAGCCTCGCCGTTGCTGTGGAGGAAATTGATGATGCCGCTAAGATTATTGCCGAAATGAGGTGCATTTAAGAGGCGGAGTTTTGATTTCGATGCAAAAAGGTCTGAGAAATGTAGGTTGCGTGAAGGTCAGCTGGAAGAAAATCGTCAACGATTGTTGCAAGCCGAATATGAAAAGGATTACCGTGATATTGCCAATATGCACCGACATGTGGATAATTTGGAAAACGAGCTTGAAAAATATAATCGAGAGAACCGAGAATTAACTTTGCAGTTAAAACGATACGAAAAGGTAATACTATGTATGCGGTATACTTTTTTCATTGAACTCGTAATCTATGGAGACAATTTCTTTGAGGTACTTGGTTTTTCATTGTGAAGTGCGATTTCGTCGCTTTCATTCAATTTGCATCTGTATCCTATAATTCTGTACCGGCTGTTCGCATTGTTATAATTACAGGGCACGTACGGGCTTCCGGAAGCGATTTCGGAAATTAATGAAACCAAAAAGCAACTTGCCGCTCGCGAAAAGTCTGTTGTTTTGTTTTGGCACCTTCAGTCTTCTTAAATACTGACACGTTATTGTTCTGGAGGTACATCAAGGACTTGGTTATTCGACTCAATAGTCTTACAGCCGAAAATGATGTATTACGCTCGGACAAGCGGCTAATTTCTCCTGCCCACCGAGCTCCGGATGACATGGAGAAAAATGGCTTATCTGGTGCTGGTCACGATCGCTTGACTGTCGAAGCCTTCTTGAAACAAGTATGTTTTAAGTATGGATTGGTATCGTAATTTCGTTAACGTGTTTTTGCAGTCACTACTACGGGCTTAGAGTAATGGAAACTAAAGTGCACCTTATTTGTGATTTCAGATTGAACAGTTAGAAGAAGAACGGATGTACTTGCGACAGACAATCGCGAATTTAAAGCAGCAATATTCCCGGTGGGCATCTGTTTGTGAAGTACCCCGTTTGTTTTCGTACCATCTTATTACCACATTTTGTTTGCGGCTTTCTAGTGGTAATGATGGTGATAGGCATGTTAACATCAGCAGTCATCAGAAGGGGAATCCAGAAGATTATAATGTAAGCAATGCGAATCTGACGTGCATTGTGATGTGGCGGCACTTATTAATGCGACCGGTTTGGTCATCTATTGTAGGATTTGGATAATTCTGCATCCAACAACATGGTCCACAAAATGTCTGGCATTAGTGATGAACTTCGAAGTGCACGAGAAGAAAATCAGCAACTGGAAAACTGTATGCGGGAAATCCTTAACGCTGTGCGCGATGCACGAATTCGTGGCAGTGCCGGAGAAAAAATTGAATTGTACATTCCTTCTCTGGAAAAGTTGCTGATTGTATGTGTAGATTTCGTGAGTTCTCGTGCGCAACCCAAACAGAACAAGAAGGAAAGGCCGAAAGAGTCGGTGTTTTTCAGGTCATGGAAGTACGTTCTCGTGCTACTTCGGTTCGTAGGAGCGAGCGAACGAGGGCCGGATTGGATAGCGCAGTCTATTCAGAAGCTGACGACTAAGAACTAGGTACAGCTAATATTGAGCTGAATGCAGACATAACCGGAAATATGAACAGCAGAGTAAATTCTGCTTTCGTACAATATTGGAAGTAATATACTTGAGATTTCTGAATGGGGAAGTTATACAGAATATAATTTCTCATTGTTTAAGGGCGTGATCGAAGAAAGTGGGGATGATGGCACAGAAAGCGGGAAGATTTACGATCGAGGTGCTTCGTCCATTGTCCGAGAAGTTTGGCGATTGATAACTGATTATGCCGGCGAGCTTGAACAAAGATTAAAGTCTTCTAAGGTAATTATGAATTACCGGTAACAAAACTGCAAATAACGGTAAACCGCGTGTTTCTCTGTCCTGTGCTATCATCATAACAGTAGATCAGTAGCCCTGACAATAAAATTTTTAATGCGCAGTAAGTGTAGTTTTTCATCCCGCAAACCGTTCTAACCTTTTGTGTTACGGCATTGTGGACTGCTTTTGTAAGGAAATTGGCCGAAGTACGGCTTTGACTTATTTAACGACGTTCCAGGAATCTCAGGAGTCCGCAAAAGTGGATGCTTTACATGCCGAAGAAATTTTAGGCCGATTGAAAAACTTGGAAGGTCAAATCAATATTCTGAATCATGAAAACACAGGATTGCGAAAGCGTTTGGAAGATACAGGACCGCGTACTGATCCGGAATCACAACTCCAGGAAGAGCTGGTTTCCCTTGGTAGTAGTCATCGACAAGAAGTGGATTTTCTAGTGCGCATCAATGCGGATTTGCGCAACGACATTCTGCGTAAAGACGCCAATCTGTCAGATCTCCGTGGCGCTTTGCAGGCTGCAAACGAACGGCTTGCGCAAAAAATGGAAGAGCTTTCTTTGTTGCGGAGACTTTCTACGGACAATACAAATCGTTCGGTTTATCCTGTATCCGATGCAGACAAACTGGAAATAGCACAGTCCGCTGCGGAAAAGGAGCAACAACTGGAGCAAGGTCACCTGCGGGTGGTTGCAACACTGGAAGCCAAGATTTTGCGGCTAGAGAATGAACTAAAGATATATGATGAAGAACGGCAGAAAGACCGGGATGAATTGGTCTCTGTTTTAGAGAAAAACGGACGACAGGTGCAGTTGGAAATGAATTTGCGAGACCAAGTAAGAGAGTAACGTTTGCACCGCGCTTTATCTTCGAATACTTCAGATCTTTGTTGTTTATTTTTCGTGCAGATTGCTCGACTTAGCAGCGATGTAGATTATCGAGAGAAGCGAATTGAGCTGCTTACCGCGCAACTAGCAAATTCCGACAGCGAAATGCGAGAAATTAAGGAGTCCAAGATCGTCAGCGAAAACAGTTTGCGACATGAAATCGAGCAGTATGTCACGAATACGGCTTACGCGCCGGTTTTTTGTTGTTATCTTGAACCATCTTCGCATTTCAGAGTTGAATCTCGCTATAACGGTCTTTTGGCCAGATCAGAACAGGACAACCGGCAGATGGCAAAAGAACCTGTGCCCTCTGATTCAAGCAGAACTTTCGTGCAAACGGGACCGTTACCACCGACTAGACCACTTTTAGTGTCCGACGATATCAGTTTGACGGATAAGCTCAGAGTTCAAGTTCATGAAAAAGACCGGGAGCTTAAGGTAATAACACTTGATGTTTTGCAATTGTTAAACTGCAGTTTGTAATGTTTTATAAACTTTTTAGACCTTGGCTGCGGCATTCCAGAAATTTAAGGATGAAATGTTGAATTTCCCTCCGCCAGACAAGGATTTGGTTGATAACCTTACCACACAAAAGAAAGAAATCCAGGTTCGCTGTTGTTCGTCTTTTACTGAAACAGGGCTTTTTTATGCTGGTATCGGCATCGTACAGGGGATGTTGAACGAATCAAGAGAATCCAATGCACGCTTGGCTGCCCAAGTCAGGAAAACGAAACTGGAAGAAGAACGTTTAGTAATTGAACAAGAAGGATTGCGCAGTGAAATCCGTAAGAGCAATTGCTTTAATAGCTTACAATACTTCGAAAAAATCCGAGCCAAATCCAAATGATTTTCTGATTGTTTTTTTCTGATGGATTAAAAGGTCGTCGTGACGGTCAGCTACGACGATACGAAGAATTGAATGACCAGCTAAATGTTCGTATTGATGATTTGGAAACCGCACTGGAAGCCTTCCAAAAACCCGATGATTTGTCCTCTGCGGTGGAATCAGTGCCGCTGCTGGAAGAGAAAATTGCGCAGCTAGAAAACGCTCTTGCTCGAGCTTCAGTGAACGAACAGGCCAATACTATGAAGGCAAATTCTTGCAGCATCTGTTTACCTGGCAACAGATTATAAATATCGGATTTCGTTTTAATTAGCCGGAAGTGTTGCGCTGGCAGGAGAAGAAAAAATGGGAGAAAACCGTGGATAAATTGAAAGATAAAGTGAAGGAGACGGAAGATGTCCTAATATCCGTTGAGCGAAACCTTAGCATGACGCACGATGCATTATCCCGGTCGGAAAGAGAACGTGCTGCCATGGAAAAGAAAATGGTGACTCTTACCAAAAAGGTGGCTGATCTCACACAGCAACCTGCATTTTTTCAACGAGCACTTGAGGAATCGCATAAAGAGGTTGGTGCATGTTAATGAAACTTTGCCCTACTGACCAATGAAGTATGAAATTTTCAGACGGAGCGATTAAAGTCTGCAATTGACAAGTTGGAAAAGGAGAACAAAAGAATGGCAGATCAAGTTTCGAAACTGCAGGTGTCCGCATCAGTGATTTTTTTGCTTCCGCTTACCAACTTTTTAACTTCACTTGTAACTTAAATTATTTACTTTTAGTAAATTTGTAAATCTAATATTATATAGGAGAACAGAAATTTGGCGCGTGTCGGTATACTTCAATACGCATTCCTTATAGCAAACAACACTGCCGTTTGCTATAAGGGAAAAGTTCTTTGTGTTCCAAAGGCTCAATAGTATTATCATGTTATTGTTTAATTAGCATAGGTTTTTTCAGAAGCGGGAAACTGTGCATCTGACTTCCCTTGAGGACCTAAACGTCAGACATCAAAAACTTGTGTTAGTTAATGAAAAGTTGAAGGCAGAAAATGCTAATACTACGAATCAGTTGAAAGAAGCTCAAGAGAAGGAGGAACAAAGACTGCAGTATCTCGCGGATAAGGAGAATAGTACAGTTCCCGAACCTCCTTTGGCTGAGGTGAAAATAAACATTAGAGTAGTGTCCCGGTTTATATAGCTTTTTCCGTTTTTACATTATTTGTGAATTTTCAGATTACGAAGAATCCTGGTGAAATCTTAAAAGCTGTGGAAGCTATGAAATCGGTCATTAACGAGCAGCAGGTGGAATTGAAACGGTTGAAATCGCACAATTCCACTATGAAGAACAAAATAAAAAGACTCGAGGAGGAGAAATTTACCTATCAGGTAAGCATGACCTCATTGTCTTCGAAATTGGCTACTGATTTATTTTGGCTAAGTGCTTAGATTAAAAATGCTGAGTAGAGTGGATTATTATTTAAGCTGGGTAATTTTATATGAAACGGTCTATCTGCCTCTGACCATATCCCACCTATATGACACAAGCTTGCTCTGGTAGACATTAATAAAATGATTCAGTTTTTGCAGATGAATATTGCACCGGTTGATGCCGCTGAAGACACCAAACGCACATTAAATTCTTTGGTGTCTGAAAACAACAAACTGCAGCATGACATTAAGAAATTCAGGGATGATAAAGACGTTATTCGAGGAAAAATGAATCAAGCGGGTGTGGTCAAAAATATTTTGGAACGGCGCGTTTTGGAATTAATGGAAGAAAAAGACGAGGTATGGCGGCAACCACTGAGTTTATTTTTAATTTATGCACAAAAGCACGTGAGAGCAAGACCTGTAAGGAAGTGCAGGAAAAGATCCTTGAAACTTGAAAATTTGCTCTCTTCACTGCGTTTCAGATGTTAAATAGAAGACACCCCGAAGTGAAAGCAATTGAAAGATTATTAGAAAATAAAATGTGGGATTTATCAGCTGAAGCTGAAAAGTGGAAGTTTGTAGCTTTAAAAGCAAACGTAACCGTATATACAAATATCGGGTGTCTGTAAAGTAAGGTATATGTTGTCAAAAAATTTACAGTGACCTACCTTGTAGGGTGGAAAAATTTCTGGAGAGTACCAAGTCCAAAACTATGAAAATATAATTAAGGACAACATCGTTCTGAAAGCGGAGACGAAACGGCTGAAGACGGCAATGGCCTTAAAAGAGCAGGAAATCGTCAAGGTGGGGCTGCTTCGGTACTATAATTCATTTTTGTTTTTTGGGTATCCACGTAAATATTATTGTTATTACGCATTGATTTAATATTTTTAGATGCGGAAGCGAGTGGAAGAAGTAACTCCATCAAACTATGTTGAGCTGCAAGGTCTCCGAAAAGTATACGGTGATGCAGAGAAACGGATTGCTGAATTGGAAATACAGCTGTCCAACATCATCGATAGTTCTCCAAGAGGGAGATGCAATTAAGAATTAAACTTACTTTAAACTATTTCTAGGTTAGAAAAATTGTGTAATATGAAAACCTGTGTTTCTGTTAATTTCGTTTGATCTCGCTGCAGTTTGTGATGTTTGCAGTTCATTTCGCATTTTATTTATGTCAAGCTTTGTTGCACTTTAAAATTGTGTTGGAATCTGTTTTTTTTAATAAAACTGTTAAACTTTTCATTGAAATTATGCCGTGCTAATAGTAAGTGCCATTGTTAGCCTGACAAACAGAAACCACTGTTTGCTTCGTTTTAAATGTGGTTTAAATGTAGGAAACCGGTATAGACACCCCCTAAAACCCCCGTTTATTGTAGGCACCCCTTTTCGCACCCCGTTTTTTACAGGCACCCATTTTTGATTAATATCGTACATAGTACTACACGACCCTAGATGTTCAAGCCCTGGAGCCTTCCCTTAAGTGCAAAAAAAGTTTTTACGAATGCGTGCACGATAGAGAAACCGATAAGAACGGCTCGGAGCTCGTGCGTTCACTAACAGCCGACAAACCAATGCCCAGCTCGCATCAGGCTTGCAGCCAGCATTCGCTGCCACCTCCTACGAATATTAGGTAGAACAAGAAATGGACCATAACCTGACAGAAGGTGGAAAACGTTACCGGGAAATCGCCGCCCTAGCCATGTTGAGACACAGAAGGTACTCTAGCGTAAATGCAGAAATCCTTCCTGCCAGTGCAATTCAGCGACAGATTGCTATTGCCTTGGGCAGGAGTGTCACAGCCCAAGGTATACAAATCCCGCAATAAGGCGGACAAAGTGGATCGTGGTGAACGTACGGAAGAGGGAATCGTATAATCGCCTTTTAAACGAATTTACATGTTAAAGATCCGAATGCTTTCGCGAATGTGGTGCTGTCTAACACCGGAACACTGACGTGCTCCGGTGTCGCCGCATGTCTAACTGCAGCTCTCCTTGCTGTAAGGTGGCCAACAGAAGCCGGTCACTAGCATTCCAGTTGTCGTCTGTTGCCGGCCGGGGTCCAAATCAGTGCGCCCCGATGGTTTTTTCCTACATTGCTGAAATGATCTGTGTAGTATCGCCCGCGAACATCGTATTCACAAAAACCGCGGCTCAAAAATCTTACAAGCTGAGAAAATCACAAGGTGATAACGGCTTGGAAGTTGGAAGGAATCCAATGAATGAGCTGACCAACGCGAAAGATGACCTTCTGGTCACAGTAGAAGGGGCGATACTAACTCGCTCTAAGCTGCCTGATTTGCCGAATCGTCCTGTTGTCGGCTGGAAAGCCTGCTGTACTTAGGTAACTCGACGCTAGAGAAAAATCATTGTAAAAAATTACTGAAAAATTAAATTATGCTCTGAATAAAGCTGCATTATTACCTAAGAACACTGAAACTATTACATATCATATTAAGCAAAAAAGGGTGCCTATAATAAACTGGGTGCGAAAAGGGGTGCCCATAATATACGGGGGTTTTAGGGGTTGGCTATAAGGGTACTTAGGGTACCCTTAAAACTAATGGGCCAGGTCAATTGCATCTGGGTAACCATTGCGCGTCGGGTAACGGAGAAACGCGTAAAAATCTGTCCATGACTCAGCGAAAAATTTATCGTCCAATCGTAGGTCGAGTACGCTTCCGTGACAAGAAAGAAATTGAACAACTGAATAACTGAAGTGGAACCGAAAATTTTATTTTTGATGCTTTAATGTGGTACTACATCAAAAAAGTTAATTCTAAGTTTAGGAGTGACAATCTGGGTAGCTGGATGCACTTTTGGTTCAAACAAACGAAAATTTTGTTGATCTGTGCAGGAGAGTTACGAGTTACTCGTAGTTTGGGTAACGGTTGCGCTTCGATTTCGAAGCGCAACGGTTACACGCACGGGTAAGCTGAAAACCCATCCCAGAATTCTGGTTTACCAATCAAATCGTTTACCTGCTTACGCGCCTTGACGTCATGATTTTTTACCCGACTGCCGCTTGCGCGTCGCGTAATTCTTACACAGAGCAATTGACCTGGCCCAATAATTACTATGATCTGCAATTCTACACGCAGTAAACGTACAGTCAGCAAAGCTGTCACAATTCGTGTTGCTTATCGATCAGTCTAGACTGTTATCAGAGACTTTCCTAAATTGTCTACTGGCCTTTTTTCAAGCTTTGCAACATGAATCTGTTTGTTTTGCGCAGTTTCTCCTCCTATGTGGAGAACAGAGAAAGTAGTCCATTTCTTCTTCTCCACCGAGAAAGCACATGGAAAGTTGTTACCTGGTTTACTTTACACATGATCATAAGACAAAACAGACTAAAGAACGTCACAAACACTATCGGTCGAACAAGAAATCCAGAAACAAAACACTTATAATGTCCCTGTGGCGAATATGAAATTTATCGTAATCGGGGCAAAAGGGCTTCGCAAACAAAACACGAGGGAAAATCGCCAACTACATATTTGCAGTTAATTTCCTGGAGGTCCAGCGTTTGCCGGCACAGCCTGTTCGGCAATATCCGCCTTCATTTTTTGAAATCGTTCATCGAGCTCTTGAACCTACACAAAACTTGATGTTAGAATCAGCGAACTCACTCACTGCGAAGGCAGTTCCTCAATCGAAAAAAAGTTTCGATCGTTGTATGCAACGCCATAATTTCACCACGCGACTGACTTGTACCAACCATTTAACTGACGTTACACACTTGTCGATAATTCAAACGAAACGACGGAAATGAGTGGAGTTATTACGTAATTGCTGTCTGAAATGCCTGAATCGTGTCTATTCATTTTGTCCACCAATCATTTTGTCCACCGTTCATTTTGTCCACCAATCATTTTGTCCACCATCATTCTGTCCACCGTACACTTTGTTCACGATACAATTCGAAAAGTACGGTGTTTTTGGTTTTTATAAGACAAAGCTACGATGTATGAATTTAATAACCTCGCATAGTAAACCGATAAGTGTCACGTACTATGAGAACGTGTACACACATTCATATCTATTAATATGATCTCAGTTTATATGGCAGATATTACAATCTTTTATTGCAAAATTCTGCGCCGTTGCTGCAACAATATCGAATGCGGTAATTTGTACGTAATACTGCTGCTATGTCAAGTTCTGCGCAGCTGTATATTCGAAATTCAGCGGGTTAATAAGCAAACGGTAAGCAAGCGAGTCAACGACACGGATGAGTTCGATTTACAGTACATATGCACATCTAGCTGCTTACATCTTACGCCCAGACTGTTTCTATTGTGTGTTTTATTGTAACTAATATTAAATCAATTTTGGTAAGTGTAAAACTATATATATTTATTTATTATTAAATATAAAAAGCGTATACTAGATGAATGGTGGACAAAATGAACGGTGGACAAAATGAACGGTGGACAAAATGAATGGTGGACAAAATAATAGGATGCCGTCTGAATATTGTCCCCTCGCTCGACCACCCCGGTCCACCGGTTAACCCATCAGTAAAACCGACAGAAAAATTAAAAACGTGCTCTGATGTATTTCCGTTACTTACAAAATGGCGAGAGATGTCCTGAAAGCACTGCTGCAACCGAATCAACTCCTTCTTGCCATCCCGACTACAAATGCAAAAAACCACATCATTCTCATAATCTCATCGGCTCATACGTCCGTCGCTTTTGGCGAACAGTCTGCCACCACGAAGCTGCAGTGACCACATACCTGCGACTTTTTAGCATGTTCTGCGTCTCCAGATACGAATTCTCCAGCTTTTCCAGTGCCTCCACGGTATTCTGTTTCTTCTGGACAGTTCTATGGCGCACAAAATACAAGCAGTAATTTTCACGTAGAATGGTAAAAAGAAGGGTGGCATATCTGCAAGCTGCACTTCACTCGCAGAGTCGCAGTAGTCACTGACTTTTCGCGCTCTCTTTGCTGCACAACCGTTCGCGCTTTCTTCGCCTCCAAGGTCACTGCAGACAAAACATTTTCGGATACACAAGATCACTGATGCACTGATACGGTCACTAATTAGTAACAAATTTTAACTCAGAAATCTTTCTACCAATTGCTGGAAGCTGCAAAAGGAGCAATTAGTGATCGCACACACGACACTCTTTTCGGAAATGCACTTCAGCGTGATCAATGGAGAAAGCTTTCCGTTTACTTCATCTGAATCGACTTTCGGAATTCTGGAATCACTTACCGACAGCGAATTCCTTTTCCTTCCGCTTTTCCCCAGTTGTCTCGGCCACTATATACCGCACAATATTAATGTCAACGGAGCCAAACTAGCTTAAAACGGCAATTTCAAAACAGAGTCAACGATAACCGCTGACACTTACACGCAGCCATTTCTGCATCATGCTGAACGATTTCTTTTCGCCATTCCGAAATTTTCATCGATAGACCTTCAATCTCTGATAAAAAATCCAAATCAAGTCATTCAAAAGACAAAACCATTACGAACTGGCGAGACCAGGCATGCTGGACGCTGTACCGGCGGTCATGTTGCGCGCCACTTCCAGGAAACTGTCACGTGGAGCACCTTGCTCCGCGGACAGACCGAAATGATTCTCTGCATCCATTTCAAAGCGCAAGCAGCGTTATATGGAGGAGCTAACTGAAAAAATTGCACAGCTGATGAAGCTGCTAAACAGTAACGCAGGTATGTTGCTATGAATGTGGGAAGAGCGGAATTTTCAGAACTTTCCGGGTTCTGAATTCTGTGTGTAAATTCAAAATGGTATGGCGCGATCTGCGTACATATTGCAGTCCATAGTGCAACGATGGACCACGGACAGCCGGTGACCCTTACAGGGAAAAGGCCTTCAGGGACAGTATTTATAACTTTTAAACCATACCCTTGTTGCGGTGTAACTCGTTTGAGTTGCTGAGGTTTTTGTGAAATCTGAAAAAATTTGTAGAATTTTCTTAGAATATCAGTAAATTTTCTTAGAATGTCAGTAAATTTTCTTCAGTTGCAGATTACAGCTCTCTGGCTACAGACTTCATAGAATTAGAATTAACCAGAAGTACTACGAGTGGTGCACACTGCAGCCACGCAATGCACAACAAGGCAGACGACGTATATACTGTAAAAGTTGTGAGAATCCTTCAGAATATTTTTCATTTTTGTAATACAAAAGCAAACCTTTCATTCTTCTGACGACAGTCAATCGGCAATCGGCAGACATACGTATATATGCATTTGACCACGATTTTGTAAATGGAGAATCTGTGCAAACGTGTCGAGAAACACGATTTATAGGTCGAACTATAAAACTAATCATCACTTGCAAGAGTCATTATTAAATTTTCCTTTCTTAAATTGTATTTTTCAGCGGTTGGGACTCAGAGATTAATTCCAGACACCAGTACCATAAGGCAACATAAATGCTTAATTTTATGCCGTGGTGAAAGTGCAATCCATATATATATATGTGAAAACGGACTGCCGATTCCAAACATAATATGCTAAAACCAAGAATAATGAAAAATAAAAAAGGCCCAAAGCAGCCGGGAAGAAGCGCATACATAACTGAAAAACTATTTATGGAGCATATATGTGAACGTTATTATTCAAAGATAAAATTACAGATTCCATGCTTCCAGATCTTGGATCTTTTTCAAGGCACGTGGATTCAGCGATTCTGTGACGACATTCTTCTTCTCTGAAAAACGAAAGCATAACTGCATTTCAGAGATCTGGAAATAATCCGCAGTGCTCGACCTACCGAAACAGTGTACTTTCGTGCTAGAAACAACACTTCCTGCCGAATTAGTGACCTTCACCGAATAGTCACCGGAGTCTCTGGGAAAAACATACAGCATATCCAGTGCGACATACTCCAAGTCATGGGTGAAACGGCATCGAGATCCTGTAAAAATGTCGCAATGAAAATCAGAATCTGTGGCTGGTGACTGATCAGCCAGTCACTACAGTAACTTGACGATATAAATTAAAAGAAGGAATTTTTCATTACCGGTAGCAAGTGGTCTTCCATTAAAGAACCATTCAATTTTGAGTGAAGGATCATTAATCGGTTGGACCTGGCACTCCAGATGGATAGACTGTCCCTCTTTGACCTTTCCTTGTGGTCCTTGCAGTTGCCGGACGAAGATTGGGGCTTGATGAGTGACGTCTTCGTCATAGGCCTGTGGCTTATAGTTCAGCATGTCCTCCAGCTCACGCACCTTCTCGGCGCCGCCAGGAGCTTGGGGTTCCAGGATGATAGCCGCACGAGCTTCAAGCACGCAGGAAATAAAAAATTAATATGAGGAACTAATGTTCTGCACGTAGCGGCACAATATTTTAATGATTTTTTGCTGCTACTTTCGGTAATTAACATGCCATGAAATGAGCGCGCTGTGCCGCAGCTGTCCCCATTTTCGTATAATAACTTCAGGTACGTAGTAACCGTAAAGAGCAATAGCACGCTGATTAATGCTCCTTTAAATTTATAACATACAGGGTATCTATCTTTGTTGGTGTTACCTTTGACTTGGAGATAGGTAGAGGAAGTGTTTGATCCAAGAGCATTCGACACTTTGACCACATATTCACCGGAATCCTCTGGGATGACACCCAGAATGTCCAAACCAATGGCACCGAAATCATTAAACACACGGAAGCGAGAACCTACGGAGCGACAGTTTCAAACGCGTTTACTACACGACACAAATAGTAATGTTGAAGATACGGGCAAATATGTTGTTGAACGGGATACGGGTTATGTTGAAGATACGGGCAGTTGGCGTTAAATATTCCAACCGTTCTTCTACATCCACGGCAACATTTTACAATTTTTCACTAAACGCACTTACCGGTATGAAGCGGGCGACCATTGACGAACCATTCCACTTTCAGCGTAGGATCGTTAGGCGGAGAAACAGTGCATTCCAGATGAATGCTCTGCCCTTCACGCAGCTCAGGAACTAGAAAAAAATACATTTTTGTCTTGCATAATTTTAGGCTTGCTCATGATAGAATGATAGGCGACTTTATTGCAAACCTTAATTTTGCGATAATAATTTTCAAACGAAATATTAATTGTACATGTGCACTTTATAATTGTATGATTTCTTTTTGCAGGAGCTGAGGTACCACTAATTTCGCTATTGTAGAGGTTCAGTTGCACGCCTGACCTGGTTGTAGCTGTTCGGTGAACATAGGAGCGGAAGCCGGCAACTCATCCTGGATAGTGTCCGGGATGTACGATGGTCCGTTCTCGTAGCTTTCCAGATCGCGAATCTTATCCAGACTGGCCGCATACTGAGCATCGCTAATCACTCCGCCACGTCCAATCACTTTCAGGAAAGTCTTGGACTCCGCAGTGCCCAAGGTGTTCGTGGCACGGATCACGTATTCACCGGCATCGCGCGTCTGCACGTCCAGCACATCCAACGATGCGAAGCCGAAATCGAAAACAGTTCGTGTTCGGTGGCCTGGGAAGCGCGAGAGAGCAAAGAATTTATTAGACGGCGCATTGCGTAACAAGCGTCGTTTGAGGAGTCATAAATCAATACAACTGCGGTCGGCTCGGGATTATTTTCAAAGGCTAAAATTAGACGTTAAAAAAGTCACTTTACCCATTACTGGCGCCTTTATTCAATTACAACCGGTTATTTGTAAGTCAAGATGTCACGAGTGAGTAAACTGCTTTTTTATCACTGTTTAATTTGTACCAGGTCGGCAAACCAGCCAAGCGCAGCATGTACGTTTTTAAAAAAGTCGTTTCTGATTTACATTGCAATTATCGGGCCTGAATATTTGAAAGTGTTCGGTCAAATTACTGAGTGCCTTACCGTTATTGATCGGTCGGCCATTAAGGAACCATTCGACTTTCATGTTGGGATCTCCGCGCGGCTCGACTTGTGCTTCCAAGCGTAGCTTTTCCCCTTCATTAAAATCTGGCAAACGTGGCAGTTGCTCAGAAAATCTTGGCTCATGTTTGGAGTAATCGTTGTAAGTGAATTCGCGAGAAAAGTCCTTGTACTCCAGCTCAGCAATCTTGGCTAGCCCTTCGGGATGCTGCGAATCCAAAAGCAGGCCCGGCTTGCCTGTGAAATGCAAAGCTCACAATAAAAACCGCACTGCACTAAAAGTTTGGACTATTTTGGATTGGGAAAGGTCAAACTTTTCTGTATATCATTCTGTTACAAAAGCTGCACCATACATCTTTCGCATTTTCATTTTTGAGTAGCGGATACCGTCTGGTCAAAATCGTTTACGCTTGCTTGTAGTTTATTTTACAAAGATTATCCTGCTTCTGTATACTACTGCTCGTGCATAAAATTAACACAACAGCGAATAGCCGAGCTGGCGGCAAAGAACTAGCCGCGTTGTGCAATACCTGCAACGCGGAGAGTGACGGACGTTGTATCCGATCCCAGACTGTTGGTGGCCCGCACTGTGAACGTGCCGGAATCCTCGGCGTATGCCCCGACAATGTCCAACGTAACGATGCCGAAGTCGTAATGCGGTCGCAAGCGCTGACCAGTCTGAATGAGCCGGTCGTTGTGGTACCACTCGATGATGACGTAAGCGTCGTTGCGAGGCTCAATACGAGTTTCCAGATGAACGTAATCCCCTTCGTTCAGATCCCCGCCAGGTGTCACGACCAACGGTTCTTGGAACATGGGCTTAACCGTGCTTTTACCCTTGGCTAAAAATGCACCATGCTGCGTGTATTGTAAATTGTGTAAATGTTTTTTTACTATTTCGATTATCGCGAAAAAGCTTTTCTATGTTGGATCTTTATTTCTTATTCAGAAATACATACCGAGTACCGGTACTACAGCTATTTGATGCAATTAAATTTTATTTATATTTTATTCACACTGCATTGCAATAATTATGAGTCATGAAAAAGCTGCTTACTTTGGCACGTCAGTTGTGTTCGAGTTTCCGCTTGTCCAAGTGAGTTGCGAGCAGTGCACACATAAGAACCCGAATCCTCCGCACGAACGTCCAAAATACTCAGAGTCACCAAGCCAAAGTCATAGAATATAGCCATTCTTGAACCTATTAAAAGGCATATAAAACCGTTTATTTTTAGGCGTTCGGTGGATAGCGTTATAATTATCTGTCTGCGCTTTAGGCGGCTGTCAAAGGAGGCGTACACACGCACCCATTAGCAAAGGTCGTCCATTGAATGTCCAGTTAACCTTTTAAACACATAAAAGAATTCACGTCAATGTTGCTCATTCCTCTTGTCTAACGCGTTAATTTTCCATTAGCCATCATCGCAGCAAGTGGTTATATACCTTCATCAGAGGATCGTTAGCCGGCTGCAGTGATGCTTGCAAGCGCAGTGGTTCGCCTTCTTCGATGACCAAAGTCTCCGGAAGTCGCTCCGTGAACTGTGGATGCTCCGTGCTGCGCTCTTCCCGAATCATTTCCGGGATGAAGCGAGCGCTGCCTTCGTCCGATTGTCCCGGACCAGTTGGAGTAAATGCTTTAGCCACAGCTGTTCAAACAGAAAAAATTGAAAAATAGTGAGGTCATGTTGTGGAGACATGCACTTACGCTGTACTCGCAGGGTCGCCTGGCTGGCGGCATCGCCCTGATTATTCGAGACGTACACTTGGTAATTGCCCTGATCTTCGGGGCGCACTCCAATAATATCCAACGACAAACGACCAAAACTTTCTTGTATGATGAAACGGCTATCTACGATAAATTAAACATTACGTATTTCATTAATGCGCGGTGTCAAACTCAAGTTATGGTTGCCCACGTCTTTTCTCACATAAACCCAGCATGAAGCGTGAATAGCTGAATATATGTATAAAATTCCAAAATTCATGACAGACTGGTCGGTGCTAAATTCGCAAGTGCAGTATAGATTAATTTCAACGTAAAAGATCCGTCAGTTAAAATACAGTTAGAATGCCTAGCTAGCGCCATATCGAGCCACGCTCATTATTTTCCAAGACATGATCCGAATTTAATGTGATGCTGTGGCCTCCGCAAGTTAAAGTTAATGCGAAAGGCCAGTGAATGGCTTTTTTGTAATAATGCTTTCTTACTAGCTTGGATAGCTTGACCGTCTTTCGTCCAGGTGACCTTCATGGACGAATCTCCCACCAACTGCGGCGCCAGACAACAGTCGAAATGGGCGCGTTCGCCTTCGCGCAGGTCATTCAAATCGTGCAGCATGCTGGTAAATTCCGGTAGGTGACCGTCTTCGTCCGAGTCCACCTGGTTGGATTGAAAGTTTTGGCTGTTGGATCGCTCCACTTTGCGCATAGACAAGTTCTTCCATTCCACATTGGTCTGATTGGCCACAAAGTGTTTCTTCTGCAAGAACGACGGCGCACCTTGGCCGGTCGGTGGACGCTGTCCGCCGCCGTTGCTGTACTGATGTTGCTGTTGACTGTTGAAATCCTGTCGCTGTTCGAACTGTTGAGTTTGCTGTCCACGTTGACCTTTACGGCACGTAACTGAATTAATTATGACGCCAAGATACTACGAGTTTAAAACTTTACAATTAATACAGGTTTTATTGGATATTTATAATTATAAGCAGTTTACCAAAAATCGAATTAATTAAATACGATCCAGCTACATTAAATGATATTTAAGAGCTAAAAACTGCATGACTTGTACGCATGCAACAAAAAACATACACACATAAAAACTTATAGCACTCGACAGCGCTCGTTTATTATACAGAAAATCTTAAACCACTTATGCTTCTCGGAAAATTAAAGCAGACTTTTTTTATAACGTGCTTTTCTCCAGTTATTTGGTTTACCTGCTGGTTGCGGATGGATTTGCTGTCCTCGCAGCTGCTGTTGATTTTGCTGTTGCTGGACTTGGTTGTACTGGTGCTGTTGCTGGACATTGATCTGTTGGCTAGACTGCTGTTGTTGATTCTGGCTGAGCTGTTGTTGTTCGCTGTATTGCTGAGTGTACTGTTGCTGTTGCTGATTCTGGTAATTCTGCTGTTGTGTGCTGACCTGGTGCGGTTGCTGGATACTGCGGCTGACCGGTGCGGTTGGACAGCCGGCTGTTGCTGATTTAATTGCACCTGTGAGGAGAACTGCTGGTTGCACTGCGCCTGCTGCGTCCCGTAATGCTGGTTAAAGTTCTGGGACGATGTGAATTGTTGTTGATTAGCGCCTTGACTCAGTTGACTGGAATATTGTGGAGACGACTGGGTAGAGTACTGGACGTTCATCTGACCGCCGGCTGGCTTGGAGGGGACGGCGGGCGGCGCATTGGGATTGTACTGCTGATGCTGCTGCTGCATCGCCATCGTTGCCATGTTCTGGTAGTTTTGAAACGACTGATCTTGAAAACCAGTCGATGTCGACCTAGATGTTTTCAATAACAAGTTAGTCACCCTGATTGTAATTCAGTAGACGATTGCCAAAATGCAACAACCTCGATGCTAATGAACGCTCATACGCGCTAAAATGGATAATCATAACAAGAAAATGTTATGTGGGATTCCGAACGGACAGTACGCGAAAGGTTGCATAAGGCCGCAGAATAAACACAATTTTGACAGACACAATTATTTTCTTTTTTACGAGTAAACCTTTGCATTGCGGAGCTCGCAAAAAACAGATTATTTTGGTAAAGTCAAAATAAATTACCGATTTCGCAATCATCGTGATAGTACCGAAGCTTCTATGCCTGCTATTAAACTCGCTATAGAAGTATGGATCAAAGCGTACAAATAAACGAGACAGAACTTCACAGTAGTATCGTGCTGCTATTCGTGCATAATCAAGACGTATGAATGACCTTTTGAAAATCGAACATATGGCATGTGTCACTCAATGAAACCTAAAATAATCGTAAGGTTTTCATTACTTGACCGGAAGCCATTAACATGTTATACGCTTAGAACATAATCCAAGAAAACGTGACAGACTTGGCATGGGAATAGAGCAGACAGGTGTTGACACAGTACCCAGTCTGGAGACGTACAGCACTGTACGTATCGCAATCTCTAAGCACCTTCTAAGGGCATGATGCAGAACTGCTCATCTCATATTTTTTTGCTTCTTTTCAAATTAGCAAATTACTACATTTCCAGTTTTCATAAGAAGGTAATCTGTTTACTTGTTTCGCTTAATCGGGATGCAAACAGATTATGGTTCCAGCTTCCAGTACATCGTTAAGTTTTCATAACGCCAATGTTTGGCTTTGTAATAGCTGCCGCTGATTCAGAAGAAAAAATTTCGGCTGTATTTGTCTAACGCAAAAATCTAAACTGGTAGTCACATTATATCTGAATCAGTTTGAGTAAGCACTTTATATAATTCAAAAGTCAACTACTGAAGAAATCTGATTAAGCGGATACGTAAGTGCAAAACATAACACATCATCGAGAACTGAGAGCAGTTAGTCTGCTTATATCTGATGCTTATGAACTCGTGATCAATTCTGTCTTAGATATCAGGTATAAAATTTTATTTTAATCTAAACGCTATTCTATTTTTCCCTCAGAAATTATTGATTCCAAAATAACCGTTTTTCAATTGCAACAATTTTAATGTTTGGCTCAGATCCAGCGTCAAAACTACTGACTCCTTTCTGAATTTCGTTTGCTCTCAGCTTCCAGTTATGCTAATTCAAGCCTCGTTCATACAGTACTCGAATAAAAAAAGATCTATCCACACCGTCAAAAACAAACAAACTATTGCATAACACAAAGATCTGCGCTTCAGTATCTCATTGCCCGATATGGTATCATTTTTAGTGAATCTTTTTAATGGGGATTAGCCACCCAAGTTCTTAATCAAAAGCTTTGCCGTCGCGTTACAAATATCAATACTTCGTAGAACAAAATAAAGAAATTTGTTTTCTTGGTTATCTAAGGGTGGAAGTACAGACAGTAAATACTTTCTTGTTATTAAAGCCTATCACCAAATCAGCAACTGCAGAGATAGTGGTTTATAATATTATGATATTAATGTCTATAGTGATTAAAAGGAAACCTTAGAAATTATTTCCGGCCATTGGGAAGAAAGAAGACACTGGTGCAAAAGTTTGCGTCACTAATCTTTTTGTTATTATGTATTTCTTCTAATCGCGCGGAAATGGAATTATTTTTACAGCCAACGGTATATTCTCTTTACAATGGCCTAATAAAATAAAATTAACCCCTCAAATGAATAACTATTACTCAAGCCTAACCGGAGAACTAAAAAGCCGGTTTAAAGTCTGGTTTTGGATGCGAAGATTGTAGGTCAATTTTGACTATATTTTTTACGATTTTGCAACAGATACTCACTGAGGAACGATAACCGCGGAACTCTTGAACACCTTTCTTTCCGACTGCTGATGTGCTGTAACCAGAAAAACCATTGTGAATCGGAATTGATTGCCGGGGATAACAATGTGGGGCGTTAGTTAGGCTGAGGAACACAGACGGACGGAATTAGCGTAACAGGAACAAGGAGGTAGTGTTTAACTGGTTCGGCACACGGTAAGTAAGGTTCAGCAGAATAGACGGTTAGTCACAACAGGGAAATGCCGGAAGTGTAATGACCAATGTCCACTTAATGAGGCGCACGTGCAGAATATGACACGCAGTGTTAACGCCGATGTAGCCGTGAACAAATGCAAGTACCTGACCGATGGCTATCGCGGGTCAACAATATTCAACCTTGGCGTTCCGTTACAGAGGTTGCGAAAATGCAGTTATACGGTATAATGTTATGGTGAATTATTAGAACGTGGCGCACAAGTGTTGGTCGCTAAGTAGTCTAACTGCGGGCAGACAATCGACCCGGCTCTTGCGCAGACCGGAAATGAAACTGGGCTGATTACAGGTAGCTGACAGCCGTTAGCGCGTCCAAGCTTAGTAAGTAGCCACTGTTTACCCTGTCATATAAATATTCCACCAGATGCACAAGTAGCTCTCGGCCACTTAACATGAGCCACGGCGCAAATGTAAAACAGACTAAAAATATTCCGCCGGCCCAGTGCTATATATTAATTTGGATGACTCGGTTTCTGTACTGTCAAATGATTGGCTGTGCAGCGTTTTTCCTGATGCGAATGATCATGACTCGTAGGGTGTTACTAAGTACTTTCGCGATTCGTTCTTTGGATGAAGAATTGATATAAGAATCATGACTTGTGAAGAGCCAAAAACTGTGCGGCACAGCTCGACTCATATGTTTGTCAGCAGTGCGAACGATGACTGCGCTCGGCGATTCAGTAGCCGTGGTTGGTTAACCAAAAGGCATCAAATTCTGTACCATGCGCAGATGATGTATTCACATCAGCTGCTAAGCAAACCATTTGGAAGTTCCTTATAAGGTATGACCAATACGTTGGCATGATGCGAAAAACAAACGAGATTTCTCTTCGCCTTTCGCTACCGATAACAGAGTGCGAGTGATCGCGAACGGCAGCATCATCGCTCATGGAAGCAGTGTACAAAAATTTTCGACGATAGCAAATTCGAAAGTTAGTTTGATTCAGTTTGAATCAATAGCACTAGCGACAATAAGAAATTAACATTTCTTCAGATGCTGCATTCTCTGTATTTCATTATTTACGTAGGCAATACCAGGTTTGTTTTTGGAATTCGTTCGATTTATAATGTCCAGTTCCATTTTTATATGATTATTCTTGTAAAACAACGATGTTTTGATTACCTGAACTACGTCTCCTTCAACAAATTTCGCATAAGATCTCGTTTTTTTTGCACTTCTTAGGCGTAAGAAATGTTCTGGAAATAAATCGATTGCAGACTTTATAAATTTTAGCCAGTAAATTGTTTAATGGTAAGGAAATACGTGATCAGTTTAACTATTTGAATGATACAACGATATCGTTTTTCAGTTTTTCTATAGCATTGCCGCTTCTACAGTTGTACACGTAGCTAAAGGAAGGCGATAAGACCGCATGCATTAAAATGCGGGACGATCATACGGCTAAATATGCAAAAGAAATATAAAGTAAATTACACTGTAATAATTATGATTAAATATGAACTGTTAAGATTACCTAGCCGCAGTCACCAAAGATGTTTCAAGAAGGTACTTTAACGAGATAATATAATAATTATTATTGAAATCAGAGTTACTTATCTAAGGTCAAGCATAGCTCGAGGGGTTACAAAGTTCCATAAGTGGAATAGCGGTTTTGGTGGTAGTAAGAACTGTACATTTGTTTGCCTATAAAAGCTAGTATATATATACTGCAGTAATTATGTTATGCCAGTTGACTCGTTCAGGCATACTAGGATCCTGCTATAAATTGCTTGCAATTAAAAAAAAGCAGCTAAACTTATTGTCTTTAAACCAATAATTATCGTGAAGACTTTCACTGAAATGAACGAGCATATACAAGCACATTAATGCACATCAGCAGTGTTGCTAACAGTCTTCGTGATTGAAGAAAAAGTAGATAAGTGTACAGGGAAATAGAAAAATTAACTGATATACGAGTATATTACATATTTACGAGTACAGTACTTTCCCAACCTAGAATATGCGTTCAATGGACATTTTTCACGTACAGAGGATCGTACGTAATTATTCCTGTTCCGTGCTTCGGCACCTACAGCATACCATCACACGTGTCACAAAGCGAATTTTTATATTTACGAGTATTTATCACAGTTTGTTACGAATCTAACCTACGAAATACAATAGGTGTTTGGATTCAAACGCAAAAGGCAGACGTGAAAATTCCCAGTTTGTCTGAAATCATAAGCTCGATGGAGATTTCCGACACATTCTGGCAGATATGTTGCTCATTCTAGTGTAAAATATGAATGAAAATAATTATTCATATTTTATGCACGTGACAATTTAGTTCATCAATGGCTTTTTTATACAAAATCACCCGGCGAGGACATTCATGGATGATTTGTTAGCGGGCTTTAAACTGCACGTTTGGCAATTACTCCGCGACATAATATGTACGATATAAGTGTAGAAGTATATTTTGGCATTTATGTTGACTATGGGAAAATTTTCATGGCAAACATCGGCCAACCGCATCACGACAGACATGACACATTTGTAAAATTATAGTAACGCGACGACGATGGTGATAAAGCTGCTACGTTCAAATTAAGTTCTACAAAGTTGCTATGTGTGTTCTCTTTCACTTCTTTGGATAAATAATTCGTAAATCAGTTTTTATTATCCAACACGCATCTACGTCTTACCGTTATTGTAAGATGCCATAATAATTAATGTGAATTAGCTTTCCGCGTAACTCCAGAAAAAGATTAGTCACTTCATATGCATAAGCTGCAAATTGTTCACAGTTTCGATCGCTGGTCTCGATAATATGATGAAAGATGCAAATCCGAGAAACGGGTGAATCCAAAATGAATGCGCAAAAGTATTTATATCTGTCGAGAACAAATGCTACAAAGATTTCGCTTTCGAAAACCGGCAGCCGATGAAAATCAACCTCACATCCGGACGAGATGGTATTAAGCCGGCAGCTTTCGAGCATGCGCAACACACATGTGTGCTTTTAAATCGGCTACAACTATAAGTACCAACTATGTATGCAGCCAGTTTCGTCAGTATCAAGTATGCCGAATGAAATATGATAAAACTATAAAATTTCACTTTTACTGTCGCCGTCAAATTCACAGCACAAGCTCAAGATATGTCGTGGCATCTCTTGCAGCATGCAGCGCATCGACTGGTACGATTATATGTTAAACTACAGTATTCGTCTGTGGTATTAAATAACCAAAAACGATGCACAGAAAAATAATTGAATTTTTTCCGATGGAGATCGCAGAACGAAATTAATCAAATCTTTCGCGCTATGGCTAGACCAGCATGTACCATGCACTGGTGTAAGTAGAAACAAAAATGCAGTAATCAAATATATTTGAACATAACACATCCTTTTGCCTGGAGCTGCATGCCCTTCCCAACCTAACTTTTCGCAGACTATCTATATTAGTCCGTAGCTAATAAAGTTCACCGCTTCCGCTTAGTATGTCATACGCTGTATTCATACGCTCTCCATTTTAATTGCAGACTATTCAGGGACGCAGTATTGTCAATACATTACATTTTTTCGTTCAGTATACTGCTTATCCGCGGTAGTAAATCTCGTCCAACCGGTATTATGTACTTGGATTTTAACTTTACGCATTGCTCTTGTTCATCCTCATGACTTTTATGAGCTATTGCGGCACAGTAGCATTTTAAACTAGATGGTAAAGTTAGCCGAAAAGCAATGGCATGTTACAGTGAACATATGCACTTCCTAACTATTTACTCATTGTCTGTCTTATATTTGTAAGTTACCCTTATAATGCAGGAGAATCTTGCTTCCGGCTTTAAAAGTTTGGGATTCATTTCACAAGAAAATTTGCATCGAATGTATAGCATCTTTAGTCCTTTAATAAAATACCATAACAACAGAGTTTATAATTTGAGAGTCCTAAATTTTAAAGGCTTTGAGTACGTAAGTAAAACGTTTTTCCAGAGATCGGTCAAATTGCAGCAACAGTTGCAGCAGCCAGATTTCTTGTTCTTGGGCTAAACGAACAGTCCAGTTAAACTTCGGATTTTTAAGCCCAAACCTGAAAAACACCGAGACAATGTGTATGTTTACAATCGATTTATAATGCAATGACTTACGCCAGGTGACGTCCCCGTTTAATAATTTAAAGTTGAATAATTTTATAGTTCTGTGCATATCATGCCGGCACAAAAATTTAAGCAGAATTAGTGCTTAATGGCGCCCTTCTTATTTGTATTTAATTTAATAAAGATTAAAGCATAGAAATATAGTTATTAGTCTTGAAGTTTGTTGTTAATAAAGATGTAAATCAAGGCATACTCGAATCGTTTGATCCCAGCTGGCAGTGCCCAAGGCAGTTCCGTCTGGTGATATCCGCAGTTGGCTAACCCGATTTTCATGTCCGTAGAGAATTCCCACGCGAACGCATTTCAGGGTATCCCAAATGTTAACGCTATAGTCGTTGTAACCGCCAAACAGCAGCCGACCTAGTGATTATAAAAGCAATTTGCACTCCACAGTGCGCATGACAGCATACGCAAATCTATGAAACCTAATGAAAAGCAGAGAGAAAAAACAAAAATGTACGATTTGTACGTACCACTTATGGAAAAATCGACGGCATTTACTCCGAAAATGAGACCATCTTTTCCGTAATATGCGATTTCACGTTCCGCCCGTACATCAAACAATCGGCACTGGAAATTTGAGAAAACCGATTGAAACAAAAATGTAAAGCTGATACAACAGCGAATCTACAGTTAGTTGTATTTTTCTTACGCTGCCGTCATCGGAACCAGTAGCAAATGCTTCTCCACTGGGATAATAACGCACAGAGTTAATATCAGCTGCGTGACCTTCAAACTGTTGCACACATTCGCCATTCCTGAGGTCCCATATTCTGGCTGTCTGGTCACTTGACTGTATGAGAAAAGTAAGTTATGTTCTTGGACTGGGAAAGGAAAAGCAAGTGTGGTTTAAGGTTTTTACACTGGTAACGCAACGATCAAATAGCATTTACAGTACTGTACACGTAAGGAAATCATCTACGATAACAGCTAGACTACACATCTGCTTTTAAAGATTGTTATCACCATATATATTTAACGTTTAAATAAATTTCAGCAATAAGTTTTGAATACCAAAATATAACCACCACTATATGGAGCCTTTGATCGAAACAGCGCCACATGAGCTTTAGCACGGTGTTTACCGCCTTTTTCGGTAACCATTGTACTTCGGCTGTTGCGAAATAGTCTTACTTACTCCGGAAACAAATGTGGCTGCTTCCGACGGACAAAGGTCAATAGCCATGACGTCCCTTTCATGGCCATGGAAGCTTTGTATTATTTGTGAGCTTTCAACATCCCAAAGAGCACAAGTGCAGTCTCCGCTCGCGGTAAGTATCTGTAATAAAGATGGTATAAAACCTATGATATTCAATTATGTAACCGTTAAATGAAAATTCAAGGAGGATTAAGTTTCGTGCAAATTCTTATAATTGTGCAATATCTTATATATATATTTTTGTATATTTTATAACTTTGATATCCAAATTTTGTTCTGTTAATTAGGGAGCCGGACTAGCGTACTTGTTGATCTGAGTGAGCGAAAGTGCAAGCGGATAAATAACTCGTATGTGTGGCGACGGTTTTCTTCCGCTGCGACGCATCTTCATCGGAGCTCAAGGTGAACACAGAACATTTATTGTCCAGGCCACTAAAACAGAATTCTATATATTTATTATACTCGTACTTGTATTAATTCTAAGATTTTGCAAAAAACATCTAAGCTGCTTTAATTTCACAAATTGCGAGCACATAATTTGTACTAGTACACCGTTCAGCGAGGTCAAATAATTAATTACCTACCCTGCACAGATGATGCCACCGGAAGGAGCAAACGCACAGCTCATCACCCAGGTTGTGGGCATAGAGATGGCGTTCTCTTTATTGGAAGTAAAAGCGTCCCACACAATTAGCTTGCCATCTTGTGATGAACTAACCATGCGCCGTTTGTCCTGTGCCCAGTCGATGCTTAATACTTTACTTTGATGGCCTTTCAGTATTCTTCTCTGTTTCCAGGATATCGGGGGCACATTGTCCAGCTTTTCTGCCATTTTGTTGACTACAAACACACCACATACATACAAAGCTTTATACCTGTTAGGTTTTGGAAAAACGGACGAAAAACATCGTTGTAGTTCTATGGAATTTCTGTCAATAAATTTTCAGCGGTCTCGGAATCCGATACGACAGCGCTTTCATATTATAGAAGTACTAATAATCTGATATTAAATATACAGTGAATTATGTATTTGACTTTGACTGAATAGTATACTAAACTTTCTGAGTTTGATCATATACCGAACATGCAGTAACACTATAATTTGAGTTATAACTGCTAAAAATAATTCGATTGTCCAAACAAATTTGAAAAACAGTGCCCGTCGGCTTTTTCTGTTGCAATACAAATTACAGACTTATGGTAATGACTCTAGATCGGGCACTCGTACGTGTGAGATCATTATGTTTCCGCTTTTCTTCCTCCAGCTTCTTCCGCAGAGATTCGATCTCAGCTTGCAGGGAGTCGATATCATGACCGATGATAGGACTGGGACTCGGGGGACAAGGAGAACTTCCGCCGTCGGTGTTGCGCATTCCTGGAGATGCCATCAGTCGGATTCCGTGCTCACCACAATGCGCGACGCTGCATGATTGTTGCACGGGCAGCAATCATAGAACAGAGACCACCTGCATGGACCTGCGGCGCTCATGCAGGCGCAGCTGCATCAACCCTGGTTCTTATCAGTGTGATAGTAGTGATCCCATATATATATCCCGCTTTCCCCAAATCAGTCAATTAACCGCCTCGATTTGGCACTGCATATACAATTACAGAAGTGCATTTATATTCCGTAATTATACCTAACACGGTGATATGACAATGTAACATCAGATGCGCGCTAGCTAGTAGCAAAATGTATGGCGAGTGCTCACCAAAGAAAAGGTATAAATTTTAGGATTATCCACGGCGACAAACCGGAAGTGACGGGCACGGCATACGAAGCGAACACTCCGTTAGCAAATAGGAAACTATTCCAGGGAAGAGTACGCACAGTCAATTGTTCATCACGGGAAAAAACAGCTTAACTTATTAGGGAAGAGGTGGAACGTTGTCTTGCAGTAGTTTCGGGTGAGCAGGGAAAATGTAAATTATGCAACATCCCACCCTTCCGGCTGTATCGCCGTCTCCAGCATGTACAATACGTGGAACATTGTTATATGCAAATGCGGTGCATTGCGCTGCCAGCTGCAGCGTGCAAGCACTGCATTGCCGTCCACATTTCCGGCATTAGTACGGGTTCTTTCTGGTCGATCCAGCACGCGCCTCCCGAATGCCAAGCCAGTGCCAGTCAAGAAGAGCACTGCAAGCTGATCCTGTGGAAGTGCTTATTGGTATTTATACCGAACAAGCTATGCCTGCATGTGCAGAAGGCTGCATGCAATATCTACAGTATATAATGGAAATATGCATGCTCACTGCTGAAGCCTGCCTTCTACACGGATCGGACGTATTGTACCACAGCCGACGATGTACAATTTCAACTGGGTAATACTAATACTTCTACGGCCTACCGTATGCATGTTCATAGATTAGAACTACACATTAAATAATAATTAGCACATACAATAATCGTTAGATGTTGTATATTGTAAATTCTAGACCATAACCAGATCCAAATGATATTAGTCATATTACTGTAATTTGTGCATACGGCGTAAAGTTTTTTTAACATTGCGTAATGTTATAATCCTTAATGGTATACTGTACACCTTTGTACGTCCCCTTTGCAGTACAATGACTACAATCGCAGTGGTAACGAAAATTATTTAGAGGTGCTTAAGGGCGACTAATTTATGATAATTACATAAAAGTCCTTCACTTTCAATTAAACTGCTAGTTGTACGATCATAGTTACGCCATAAATGAAAGTGTTATCAGATAGCACATTTTTTACTTTATCGCATCCACAACACCAAAATTTAAAATGGTGCATTTTAAACTTTAAAATATAAAAAGTTGAAAAACATACATTGTAATACACTTGTTTTACAAACAGTACCTGATCATGCCAAAAATAGCCTAAACTGGTATGGCATACTATGCTCCAAAATGGTAAGAAGCGGATTTCGGCGACCACAAACAGATGGTATTAAACTGAATTTTAAAGTGTTCGTAGGTACCATTCATCATTTTACTGACCTAACAGCACACTTTTACAAAATCATGAAACAGGTCGCCAAATTCCAATCTCTTACGTTTTTAGAGGAAAGAATTGGCTACAAAACAGGGTATAGCGTTCTGGGTTGTTAATGTTTTGTGAGAGGAGTACAATAAAAAAGGTAAAAAACTGCACTTTTCAAAAGGAGCATGTAAAGTGTTTGGCTGTCAATCGATCCTGGATCGCAACGCTCTTTGTCCAGTGCCTGGTAGTGTCCAGTGTCTGTGCCTTTCAGCCCGCAATGTCCAGACAGGACCAGACCGACGGCTTACAATGGAAAGCTGCCATCGCTTGTCTGACAGGAAACGGACAAACAATCAATCGGGCGCTGTTAATTTATCAGCTGCGCCCATTGTAACTTTTTATGACAGCCTTCGCAAAAAAAATGCATAAGAATTCAACGACTCATCCTTTTCCCTTTCAAGTAGAGGAATGTTTGTTTTACAAGGATAAAGACAATTTAGAAAATCGGTAATTTATAAAATCGGGTTCTTGCTATAATTTAGTCCCCCTTAACTGTACAATCGCAGCATAAACTGTTTTTATTACGCATTACTATGTATTGTAAATGACAGTGTGACAGCTTGTATTAATTTGCTTGTAAACTTGAAAAGCAAAGCTACATATGCCGTATATAGTTGCGATCAAATATTAAAAGGTTAAGTACTCGTACGAGTACTTGCACTGCCAGATATATCAGGCCTGCTAGGAACAAACCACAGCTCTGCAGTTTATCCTTGGATTTTCCATACTTCTGTTAGAACAGTGGACGCAGAAATTCACAATACCTGTTTTTTTAAACAAATGCAAACCTTTAAGGGAAATGGCCCGGCACTTGCAGTTGCATTGGCACAAAATATGGCATCCTGTTTATACAGCTGACATTATCATGAAACATTCGTACTTCGGCATTTCTCACAGATTTCCTTCCTCGCTGGACCTCTCTAGCTAGATCTGCTGGCTCGTTGGTACTAATGAGGCATATATTCTGTTGCTCGCGTTTCGCCACGGTTTCCTGCTGGCTCTTATTTTCAAAGTTCCCTCATCAGCCGGGTGGATTCCGGTCCCCGTGAACCATGGCCAGGGGTCTCAAAGCCCAGCGGATAGAGCAAATAAACCTGCGTGATGTCCACGATTTCGCAGTTTTTGTCGCACTCTGCTGGCTGCTCCGGCACAAGTGGAAATCGCTGCGATGTACGAAAGGGCCAGTATTCGGTATATTGCATGCCGACCTGCGTCAGGTTACATCCCAGGTCACCAGTTTCTAACTTTTTAGCACTAAAGTACTGATAGTTCACCAATTTATTACTCTCATTTTAATAATTAGAATTAAGTTAGGTAGGGTGCAGAACTTCGCCAATATTAATAAATTTTGTGCATAAATGTCGTCAGCAGCTGTTTTGGAAAGGAAATTGGACCTGCTTGGTGCAACCGTGCAAGGCTGCATCTAAAACATATATCTGGCGCAATGTTTTGATAGCTTTTGTGAATTTGAATATGTACGTAATAAACAGTAAAAAAGTAATCAGGAATTTAACAACAAACAGTAGCGGATCAAAATTAGTACTTGTACTATATATTTTTGTGTTTTTGTATCGTGGCCGCCTTTTCAGTTTACAGTCACTGAAGCGCCGTCTGGGGCTTTTGGTCGTATTTAACCTTATGCAGATGGCGCACTCAGTTTCATGCGACCCGTGCGCTCACCCAGTGCACACTTGCACAGCGACTTGCACTCACTGCAATATGCACCGTAGGCTAAGCTGATCTGGATGGGTTTTTCTATTTTTTTCGTCAAATCCAGTTTTCATCCCGTTCCGTCCCTACAAGGTTGCCAGAACGAATTTTCGTCATGGGCTTCCTTGATTAAATTGAAAGTGTAATTGCTTACTGTTTGGATTTTGGATGGATTAGTCTTCTTTTTACGAAAGCCGACTGTTGTATTCCACCGAATTTCCGAAAGTTTATCGCTTTATATACGGCCCTCAAACATTGCGAAATGAGGGCTTTCTCAGAATACTTTTTAATTGCGGCAGCCAGTTTAATAGGTTGTGCCAAAGGTAAGCGCTCCTCCTTGTGGCTTTACTTTCCGAAGCAGATATTTCGTTATTTTTAGTGTATTTGTTTTAATATTAGGCTGTGTTGGGATAACGTTTCAACCTGAACGGAAAGAGTGTCTTGAGCTCTGTTTGTTTTGTAACTGTTTTGGGATTATACTTTATAGTATTATTATTAATTATACAATTTATATTCATTATTCATGATATTATTGATTAAAGGTAGAACTGTTAAAATGTTGAATTTAATCGCTATTTTGTTACGTTACGATATTGCTAACGTACTGTAATTGGTTCTGCATGAAATATGTGGTTGATATCGTAATTTCATTTGCGAAGCGCCGAAGCCAAGGAGCGGCAAGGTATCCTGGAAATTAAATTAAAATGTATACAGTTAGTAAATCTACCTTATGTGGTATTTTGCAGGCACTAAGATCACGAGCGACAGTGAACTGGGCCCACAGAACTTTGTTCTGCCTACTGCTAATATTATATTGAAATGCACCGGAGGTAGTGGACTTATTTGGAAGTACGAGGATGGATCATTACCCGAGGGGGCGAAGATCCAGGCACCCTCGACCCAGGATCAGTCGTCTGTGCTGGAGCTCATTTTGAGTCCGATTCGACATAATGGCGGCGCCTACAGTTGTATAGATAACGCCAAAAACAAGGACACAATCAACCTGAATGTTGTTAGTGGTAAGCGTCCGGTAACAGTAGTGGTATTTTCGTTTTTTAGTGGCAATGTGGCAGCGACTGCATAAGCTTGCGTCTGTCTAAGTGTTCTGTAATAAAATTCCGCATGGTATGAAGCTTTGCAGCTAGCAAGCGACTGCGAGCACTTCGGCAGTTTTGTCAGGGTGCCATCGAGCTAGCAGTTATTTATTAAATTTGTTTGCTAAGCAGTTTGATGATTTATGAGTTTACGATAGCTGACTCCGTCGACTGCTGTACGCACTCAATAATTTTCGTGTTTGTAAAAGGGAATTAGTCGTGAGCCTGGAACATTCAAATACTCAGTCCGGCCGGTATAAATACTAATAGAACTGCATTAACTTTCGGAAAGCACAGAAATAATGAGTGAGTTCCTTATCGGGATGACGCAACATAACTTTCCAGTCAGTTCTGTTCGGTTTTCGTGTAGCTGTAAGATCTTATTGTTAGTCAGTAACGGTGCGTCGTAAACTGTCATAAATATGAACTTTCGGAAAAAGTGTTAAGTTGTCTTTTTATGTTTTAGCCAAATCGTTATACGCTGATCCAGTGGTAGGAAACGGAACAGTTGATACCACACTTCGTTGCCATCAGCGCTTCAGTCCTCTGTTTCCATTGATCTGGACATTCCCGAATGGCAGTGAAATAATACCAGGAAACTACTCAAAAGGAGACAACCGCGTTAGCGTTAACGCACCAGAAAAGGGTTCAGCGTTACATCTTAGAGTTGCCTCTAGGAGAGACATCGAGTTAGGGAATTATGAGTGCAGGCTGAATACTAGCGGCTCCACCCTTCCTGCGGAAATCATTGCACAACTGAATGAAATAAAGACATCTGTGAATTACGAAGGTATTGCGATTTGTTCGCATGCAGTCTGTTGATATTGTCTTTTACATGCTTTTTAATTTCACATAGCTAAACCTGATGTAAAGTTCGAAGGCTCGCAGCAGAAATCCAAGAGTGCCACAAAAGGAGAACCGTTTGTCTTGAAATGCATCGTTGAGGGACACAATGATACGGTCAAATTTGTGAAGATGAATGAGGAGACTAAGGAGAACACTACACTCCTGGAAGGCCCTGTTAGCAGCTTACAGCTGTGCGAAGGAAGCAATGATGAGTACTGCATTCCAGGTTCCACTTATAAAGTTAGCCAGCAGGAAGTGCGAGCGAACGATACTGGAAAGTTACACAGCGTAACAATCTCAATGCACATCACCGAAACCAAGGACGAAGATCGAGGAGAGTATATCTGCATAGCTAAGAACAGTGCTGGTGAACACCGTGCCAGCACGACCCTTCGCGTGAAAGGTGCGTAATTGTACACGAATTATGTTTGAGAAATGTCCACGAAGAGTTTGCCTTTTTTGAATGCTTCTCATCTTGCAGATAAGCTGGCTGCTTTGTGGCCTTTCTTGGGGATTGTTGGTGAAGTCGTCCTGCTTTGTCTTATTATTTTCTGCTACGAGAAGCGACGAAACAAGGCGGCCGATGATGAAGATGAGAATGAGCCCATGAAAGCAGAAGTCCACGAAACGCGAGAGACGAACGTTCAACGACGTGGAAAATGAATGGAGGCATCGGAGCGCAGAGAGTAAATCCAGAATATCAGAAGTTTTTAACTCTTTTGCTCTTGTGAATGATATCATTGATATGATATGGCCGCCACACAGAGGTCCATATCGGTTGCTTCTTCCGTGATTTCTTATACAGTCCTTCGCGTCTATAATTTAATCGTGTTGTTGGTACCCATTTGTTTCCTGTGCCAGACAGTGAACAGTAACACTGATTAGTCGTTTTTGTTTTTCACCTTCATTTCAGTTTGTTTTAGCCATTTTAATAATTAACGTTTTAACTGCTTGTTTCTTTTTGTCTTTGAAGAGTTTCCGAGAGTTTGTGTTGGTTTTTCTTCCTGTAACAGAAAAGAATTGTATAAAATTACCGTTCAAGATTTAAGTCTCTGGATGATGATACAGGAATTTTTGCAATAATAATCATATACCTACGGCAAATCTTACAATTACAACCATATAGGCACCTACGAACACGTGAATGTGGCAAATGGTACAAAAACACAGAATTTCATTCCCGCGTTGCATAAAGCACTATTCAAGTAGTATTAAAAGTAAATGTACCTATATGATTATTATGTCCTATCACTTTCACAGTAAGATGTCCTATCACTTTCACAGTAAGTACTTTGTAGTACAACTAGTGGTAACGGTAAGTCTGTAACGTTTGCGCTAGCGCATCGTACCTCTCCGGCTTCCCATTCCCGTAGAATAGCATCTTTTCTTTTGTTAATCAATCGACGCTCATCAAAATCTTCCTCATCCAGCTTTATCCCTGCTTGTCTAACGGCTAATTCGACCTCATTCAAAGATGCTTGAACCAGTTCTTCGTCGAAAGGATATTCCGCAACCTTAACCCCCATCAGATCTTCAATGGCATGCACAAGGCGAACATCGAACTGCGTTACGAGCGATATCGCCAGGCCAGGCTTGTTGGCTCTCGCAGTGCGACCTACTCGGTGAATGTAGTCTTTGCTCACCGTCGGCACATTATGATTAACCACAAGGTCAACTTTGGGAATATCCAGGCCGCGGCTGCCGACATCCGTCGATATCAGAATTTTAATACTGTGCGATTTGAACCGGGCCAGTGCGGCAAGACGTTCTTTCTGCTTCATCATAGAGTGTAATCCGTTGCAGTTGAATCCGAGATCTTGGAGGGCTAGCGTAAGTATTTGACAGAGCCTGTAAAGGTAGAATGATCTGCTGTAGCGAATTTACAGATAAAGGAGTACAATGCTACGGCATACTTGCAAGTCTTCACAAAAACCATTATCAAAGATCTGTCATGTTTCTCCAAAAAATCTTGAAGGATGTTCACAAGGTAGGCATCCTTAACAGCCGCAGGCGTAAGGACGTATCTCTGATCCAATTCGTCCACGGTAGCGATGCTGAAACAAAATAAGTCATTTCTACAGAAACAGCCACAAACCGGCAAAATAATGGCAAAATGAAAATGCGAACAAGTAACAACAGTACTTTTTTGGTAAAAAGTTGTGTTCTGGTAAAAAGAAGCATAAAACCCCTACCGAGACTCGATGCGGAATATAAACGGATCACTCATAGCCGAACTTTTTACTTGCTCCAGAGTTTCACTCATTGTGGCACTGAACATCAAAGTCTGACGCTTTTCTGGTAAAATACCGAGAATCAGTCCTAAATCAGCACTGAAGCTGCTGACCAACAGGCGATCCGCTTCATCCATAACCTGAAACAATTGCTATTAAACCGGTATCCACGTGTTTGGCTGAAGTGGAAACGAGCGCGTACCAAAAATTTAGCTTTCTTCATGTTAAAACTCGTGTTACTCCTTATATGGTCAGCCAGTCGCCCCGGTGTGGCAATAATCACATGAGGTTTATGGGACAATTCAGCGCCTTGGTCCAGCAGACCTATACATTGGCGAATTCAGAAAGCAGAGACAATTTCCAACTGATTTGAAAAATATCAGGAAAAACTTACTCATTCCGCCGATTATTAACGATAATCGCAATCCTAGCGGTTTGCCTAATGCCCGAAACTGCTCGTGGATTTGATGAGCCAGTTCTCTACAAAAAAGTTAAATAATGATGAATATGACTGCCTTTGAAGTTTTGTCTTTTTAAAAAGTGACACAGAAAAAAGGCATCGGCCTGTTAAAAAGAAGCATACTCCGATACTCGGACATACAATAATACAGTTACAGTAATAATACAGTTACTGTACGGTACTGTGATGCTTGCTACTATTACTGGAGTATATTTAGAGTATATATTTCCTTCTCTAACTACCCCGCTATTACTGTCTTTAATGCTAAACCAACAGCAATATACAAGATCGAACGTATACCTGGTTGGAGTCAAAACTACAGCGAAAATTCCATAAGGATCTTCGGAGAGTTTCTGAAGGATAGGAAGACTAAAGGCGGCGGTTTTTCCACTCCCGGTTTTGGCACAGCCAATGCAGTCGCGGCCTTCAAAGAAAGCTTTTTATTCTTTAACCACTAAAACCTTGTACCAGGTGAATTCTTCGCAGTCCGAACGCCGTACCTGCTAAAATCGCCGGAATACACTGTTCTTGAACGGGAGTAGGTTTTTTCAGTCCAACAATTTCACACTGCTTTATCAGCCATTCGTGTAGACCAAGATCCAAAAAAGATTTTGCTGGCTCCATTTTACTATTTTGAACAATCAGCTTTATACTTCAAGGTCTAGATACTCACTGATCCCATTATAAAATAAAAAATCCACAACGGCAGATGCTGTTAAATAACATTATAACTGATACAAATGTTCAGGAAATCAATAAAAAAACAGAAAACTACTTATAACTTATGATTTATCATTAAATTTTATGATAAATAATTTATCTGTACAGTGTACAGTGCTATCGTTAGTTCTCGTAGTCGTATCGCTTCGTGACTCCAGGTTGAGGCATGCGCTACCGCACACGAAAGCGTTAAACAAAGTGCGTTTTGTGCGCAAGTTGGCTCGCCTCGTCACTCACTGGCCGGTCGCCTTCTCAGTCTCTGATCACAAAATCTTTTCGTTCTTCGATTTGCTTGCTAAAAATTTGTTTAACTGCAGCGCCTGGATTTTGATTTTTTTGCTGGTTCGTATGAGTTCGATTAAGTACCAAATATTGCGGTGACATTTTAAGCCGAGAGACAATCTGCTGGAATTTCCCGGGCAAGCTGGTGTAAATCACTAATATTCCGAGAATCATGGCCTTCGACCCTGAAACGGCTGAAAAAATCCATAACGCGAAGATATTCATGGTCGGCGCTGGTGGTATTGGCTGCGAATTGCTGAAGAACTTGCTTCTGACCGGTTTTCGCAACGTAGAATTGGTAAGGGAGGCGTTACAGTGGTCTGGTGACTGCAATACTGAAAAACGAAACGGCTTTATTTTGGTTGTTTGTTTTGACTAAAATGGACTGGGACGTTATTTGACTTCGGCTTTAGATTGACTTGGACACGATCGAAGTGAGCAACCTGAACAGACAGTTCCTTTTCCGCAGCGAGCATGTGGGCAAACCCAAAGCAGAGGTGAATTGATTTAATGTTTTTGGTTCCTCTCGCAGTGTTGCTGAAACCGTTTTCTTGAGCAACCTAGGCTGAAGATTTTCATGAGTGTAAACTGTAAAGCCAGTAAAGGATTAGTGTTTATTTCACCGAAAGTGCACTCATTAATATCAGTGTTGTAATTTCAGGTCGCTGCCACAAGTGCTCTTGAAATGTGTCCAGAAGCCAAAATTACCTGGCATCACGACAGCATCATGAAGTAAGTGGTAGGATGAAGACTCACTTTTTAGTTCAGCAAGCGGAAAAGTATCGAGTTTCCCCGAATGATAAACTTACCGCTACCATGGTCTGTGTAATACACATACCATGTCCCAACCCTGCTTTATGACATCATTGATATTTGCAGGCCTCGCTTTAATGTGAAGTTCTTCTCCCAGTTTGATATCGTGATGAACGCTTTGGATAATGTTACTGCTCGCAGTCATGTTAACCGGATGTGTCTGGCTGCCAACGTTCCGTTGATTGAGAGCGGGAGTTCGGGATATTTGGGCAACTGCCGCGTCATTATTAAGGTAACGGACGTTATCTCACCATCAGAAGCGATTATATCAGTTCCGCAGGCTCGAAAATGTTTGATCATAAAATGTTTGACCATTGTAAAAGTAGCCAGTGCACTTGAAATTGAAACAAGCTGTTAATTCTGTGTATTTCAGCATAAAGAGGCACACGCAGAAGTATATTGCTTACCTGTTCTGTTTATGAAAAGTGAACTAGTTTGTTGGTTGTGAAATGGATTGATGATGATCAACAACGATTTGTTGTAGGGGATTTTTGTGAGTACATTATCGAGTTACTGCCTGCTGATATGTAAACTTAAATCGAAGATGTGTTGTATGTATACCACAGTGTTGCATTTTTTTCAGGGCAAGACCGAATGTTTCGATTGCGTTCCGCCAGTACCCCAAAAAACGTTTCCGGGCTGCACAATTCGCAACACACCCAGCGAGCCTATCCACTGCATTGTATGGGCTAAACACCTTTTTAATCAGTTATTTGGTGAAGCCGATCCAGATCAAGATGTTTCTCCGGATACGGCTGATCCCGAAGTGCACACTGCTCATGCTGCGAACGGTTTTGGAGATACCGCAAATGGTAGCAATGGAGAGAATGTTCAGCATAAATCTGTGTCGACCCGAAGTATTGCCGAAGCGTGTGGCTACAATCCCATTGAACTTTTTCAAAAACTATTCAACGTGGATATAAAATACCTGCTAAGCATGGATAAGTTGTGGGAAGGTCGACGGAAGGCACCAGTGCCGTTGAATATCCACGAATTGCTTAAGCACGCCGAAAATTTACCGTCCGTAAGCGCGGTAGAAGGGCAGCATGAAGACAAGCAAGTATGGTCGATGAAGGAGAACGCCCAGGTCTTCATGAAATCGGTTAATGCACTGAAGGCAACATTGAAGCAACTGGAAACTTTGGTCTGGGATAAAGACGACGAAAATTCTATGGACTTCGTCACTGCCTGTGCTAATTTACGAGCGCATTGTTTTGGAATAGCTGTGTTGTCGCGTTTTGATATCAAACAGATGGCGGGAAATATTATTCCCGCCATAGCGTCCACGAATGCGATGGTGGCGGGATTTATTATTTTTAATGCAATTAAGCTGCTTCAGGCTAAGTCAGATGAATGCCGTGTGGTGATTAACAAGGTTTTCCGAGATGTTGTGCCGGCTGTTAATCCCAAACGACGCGATAAGATTGTGAATCCAACACGATTGCAGGAACCGGTTAAGGGTTGTTTGTCTTGCGCTGACCACGTGGAAATCGGCATCGCCGTGAATGTGAAAATTATGACTATCAAGGAATTTCAGGACACGATATTGAAGGGATATTTGAAGATGACAGCTCCGGATGTCGAGCTGGACGATTCCTCGGGCAGAATCATCATTTCCAGCGAAGACGAAGGCTTAAAAAACAGGGACAAACCACTGAACTTTTTCGGCGTAGAAGATGGAACGAGACTGAATTGCGAAGATTTTCTGCAGGAATATGAAATTAAAGTCACTATTAGTCACGTTGAGGAATTACCGGATGGAAAGCTTTTCGTTGTCACCGGAGATCTCAAACAGATGGAAGAAGTACAACAGCAGGCGATTGCTGAGCCGCAGCTTGGCAAGCGCAAGGCCGATAATCAGATGATCAATTCAAATAAAAAATTGGGAATGGGGGTTCAGTCGCCGGAAGAAATGGAAGTTATCGACTGAATAGTGTTCTTCTTGTGCGAATTTTATAAATTTTTGTCGCTGGATGATCTCAGATATGAATTTTTGTCGATCTTGAGAACATAATTGTGGGTTTTAATTTTCCTGAAGCCTTTTTTCTGGCACTGTAGTATAGCTGAATATTTTTTAGCAGTTCGTTTGGTATTCTGTTTGCCAATTGGCGATGTACGTATTAAGGTTGGCACATTGCAGGGTAGGTTGGTTCTTTTGCGTTCGCCTTCCTTTTCTTGACATAGAGCTTTAGTGCGTATTCAATAAATTTGCATTTTGTGGTAAATCTTTTTTCGTGATTTTTGGTAAGGCGAAGTGAAAAATGGGTCTGCTTTGTGAAACATTCTTACCGGCAGTTACACTTACCGCCACCATTGATTGACGTTTACGTCGGAATACGCTACGCTACGTGCAACGTGTTCACTCTGTAGGTCTGTACTCTTTAGTGTAGGCACAGATGTGCGTGCATAAACGGCTGCATGGCCTAAACAGCACAGTTGCGTCATTCAGCTGACAGTCACAAAATATTTTGCATATCACAAGCTGAAGTTAATGCGAAAACACAACTTAATAACAAGTTAATGATATTACGCCATTTTCGATTCGCTACAGTTTTTAGATTTGATCCAAGAAGAGGAAAGCAGTGTGAGTGGCCGCAGCTGAACTGGAACAAGCCAATGATTGCTACTTCCCGAGTACGTGCTAAATAGTTCTTAGTGGAGATCGGTAGACGTAAATTCTTCGGGAAAGTTCTGGAAGTTTCTTTTCTGGATCACGGTTGTTGAGTCCTTTCAAAGGCTTTCTGGATCATATTGTGCATCCCATTGTGGTATCCGGGAAAGACAGAAGGTTTAATAGGTATGTACTATGTAATATGTATGAAACGCCAGCAATGGTGTAAAATGTGAATCAGACTCGTCAACAATTCAAGGGTATCATCATGCCCGTAACGAAGCTCACCATCCGCTCAGCTTTGCTTTTCAGCTTTTGTAATGTTATCGATTCGAGGAGTCAGATGAAAATCGCTTTCCTTGGTAACGGAAGCTTGTGTATCTTGTGCTCGTGGTCTTCCCTCCTTAGTCTTCTTGATTTGAATTAATTTACTTCTGTTTTTCGTGTTAGCTAAAGCTTACCAGTTAGAGGCTTTTTTTAAAGCGAACGAGTTGGTGAAAATCGAGCCAGTTCTCTTATAAGTAAACAGGCTTGCGTTGAGACTGGGCAAAAGCACTATGTATAGTTTTGTTTATGCATTGACTTTAATAAGCGATGTTAAACGATTGAAATTTGTAATGCGTTGTGCGTTTTGAATTCAATAAGACAAATCAAAGGTTCAGTAGTTTTTGCCTTTTCATACTCACTCGTGAGTAGTGTTGCAGAGGGACGCAATCATGGCCGCTGTTCGACAATATTACTGCTATCAGTGCATGAACCAGACCCAGGCGGATTCAGCTGTGAGTAGCATACGCTGTCTGAAGTGTTTCTTTGAAATTTTCCCATTAACCTTATACGTAGATTGACTGGTTTAGACGTTTACCTGTCGTCGGTGTGGAGGAGGATTCATCCAGGAAATGCCTGATGATCCGTTCCCTCCTCCGCGCGATAACATTGCTGGCGATCAGCCAAATCGGCGCGTTACATCCACTGGCCCTCGCGCCAATGGATCAGGGCCGCAGGGAGATGTAAGTGTGTATCTGCGTACCCGTTGCTGCTGCGCGATAAATCTGTCTTTTTTCAGTTTTTCCGACCGATGGGCATGAGAATGCAGTTTCCAAATCAGCGTAAGTGTCGTGTTTTCCCGTTGCGATTGCAAGATTTCATATTGTAACATTGGAGAAGAGCACCCTGTGCTACCGTGGCGGCATGGAGCTTGTTTGAACTCGTTTGAAATTAAACTGTAAGTTGTAACTGTTGGTAGAGAGTGGAATGCCGCCTGGTGGGAATTTTCCTGCGGGAATACGGCCAAACATGGTGTCGGCACGCAGTACATCTGTACCAGGGCATAATCCGCGCCCATTCATTCAAGGCCAAATGACCATCACACAGCATGTGCCGGTGCCGGAAGGCATGGGCCAGGCTTACAATGCCCAGCGTTCAATGTCCTTCCCCATGGGCCAGCCGCGTCCTCCTGTACTCCCCGGCCAAATGCAGTTTGTTCCTGGCCCTCCGCCCATGATGCACGTGCCCCAGCAATGGCAACCGCGGATGATGAGCATTCCAGTGGCCGAGATGGCTCCTGGAGTGCCGGTTCCCATGGCCCCGATGATGCCGCCGCCCGCTGGAATGCCTCCCATGATGCCGCCGGGAGGCGTAGGTCCACAGCCTCAAGTTACCATTCCACTACAGATGCCGTTTTTTCGGCCAGCTAATATGAATCCGAACATGAATGCTAGTATGAATCCTAACATACACCCCAATGTGAACCATCAAGGACAAGTGCCTCCTTCCTTGGCCTCACAGGGCCAAGAAGCGCAGGCGCAGGGCCAGCAAGATGGACTACTCTTGGTTGGAGTGGGAACTGAAGAAAATGGACAGCCGAAGTAATTGTCGTTCATTTTATTCTGGACTGAGCATTTGTCAGTACCTGCGTATTCTGACATGACGTCGCTTTGGAATTTTTTAGTATTCAAAACGTGTTTCAAATCTTCGGCGGACCTTTTAATAACATAATGGAAAATTTGGAGGAAGCTGTTACGACACTTCTCAACCAACTTGCGCAGCACGGTGGCGCACCGCCTATTACGTGAGTTTGTATCATCTTACAATTAGCAGTTTTACCCCCCCCCCCGTGCAGACAGATTGTGAATTGATCGAGTTAAATTGTTTTACACAATTAGTGGTGTTGTTTAATTCTGAGCGTTTTCAAGTTACACTGAAGCGTCTGATATTAATGTGTTGTAGGCAAGAGGATGTTGACCGAATTCCCACGCAGGCAGTGACAAAGGAAATGGTTGGTAAGTCTGGACACTGCAACAGGCATTCTGGAGTGGTGGTGCTGCAAAGTGCAAACTTTTACCATAAGATGTAATGCAATCACATCGAAAGCTTCCTTCTGTGCTAATTGTAAAGAATATGTTATGTGTGGCTGCGGGTAATGATATGCACAAGTGCTTTTGATTCTAGGTGAAAATAAATCTTGTTCTATCTGCCTGGAAAATTTCAACGTTACGGAGCCTTTCAAAGAATTAGCTTGTGTAAGTACTTACTCTACTGTACCTACCTGATGCTATTTTGTTGCCTGTGTTCATATTTCGGCTTCTGTGGGCTCAAAAACATATTTTTAGTGTGAAGCATTCTTAGAGGTTGTGTGTAGGCACCCAAGCTTATATGCTATTATAAAAACAGTCTTTCGTTGCAGACACATCAGTTCCACGGATCGTGCATTGACCGTTGGTTGTTAATTGTAAGAATCTCGATATTCGGCTCTCGCTGACATGAAATAATATTATCATTCCGTGATTACATAGCATGGAAATTGTCCCATCTGTCGAGCTCATTTCGGACCGGAAAATAATAACCAGAACGCTGCTGAAGGAGTGTGGATGCAGCAGTTTGCTGATGCTGTTGCCGGCAACAATGCGGGACTAGTGCAGCACATTCCTAACGTCATCCCGCACATTCATATTCGTCCAGCTCAACAGCAACTGCCACCGCGCGGCCCTAATTTGTGGTTCGGACAGGGACAGCAGCCGGCATTTGCTCCGCAACAGCCACAACAGAATACTACATTTGCCTTTCAGCCTATGTATCAAAACCAGAACATGGCGCGAGGTGGAATGGGCGGACCTGTCAGAATGCAAGAGCCCTTCTTTGCGCAGCAGCAACCTGCCGGTCGTGTGCAAATGGCTAACTTGGGCGGATCGTCGGCGAATCAAGCTCCCAATGCCCATGATGCTGTGGTGTGGAGTGGGCAGGTGTATCTAAACGACCCGGCCAGACCGACCATCGTTCTGGACATGCAGGTTCATCCGCAACAACCTGGCACATCGCGACCCGGTGGTGCGGCACGTCCAACCGCTCAGCAGCAACCGCCAAACGCACAACCAAGGTACGTTCGGACTGCAAGTTTTGCAGAAGTTATGGAGCATGCAGTGTTTTTCCAGTTATAGTTGTCAGTAAGGTTAGTTTTTGTTATGGTTGCCAGCGTTTGTCTTAGTCGGTTACTTATTAGGTATTACACTGGCGTCATTGTTTTCCCTCTGTTTTCTGCCGTGTACATCTCAGAGGTATATAATGATTCTGTTTTTCGTCTGAATATTGGTGATCCAGAATGACAGATTCCATATGCTAGTGTTTGTTGTTGGTTGTCGTTATGTCAAATTGAGTCTTTGTTGCAGAGTCGCAGATCAACACCAGCAAGGGCCACGGATGGTCAATCCGGCTAACCCTCAAAATTCTGGACAAAATCAGGCAGGGCAAGGTATTCCCCAATTTTTGCAGTCTCTGGTTGGGTCTATCACTCAGGCTTTTCGGCCCCAAGCGTCGTTGCCTGCAAATGCCAACCCACCAGCCAGAAACGATGCTGCTACCGCCAGTGGCGGAAATACTTCGGCCAGTTCCAGTGGTCCTTCAGGGCAATCTGGCATTAGTGATATGTCGGAAGCTACTTATACCAGCCCAAACCAACAGTCGGCGAATCAGCGCGGAAATCAGCCTCCGAACCGTAACCTGCAGGATGATCTGGATTTTGACTGAGAATCAAGACTTCTGTAAACAGTTGTGGGTGCTTTGCCTTTATGATAGTCAGGCAAATTTGCTTTTTGGGTGAAAGACAGATCTTTTTGGTTATTTGTATATACTATATAGTTCGTGGATTTGCCAGCTACTTAACGTGCTGTTTTATTTTTTTATAGCTTACGATCGCATCCCTTCTGTTAGTTTCCACTACGTACTGACTATTTCTGACTTTTCGGTACCTCTTACGCTATGAAATCGAAATTACTGAGAGAGTGACAGTTAACTGGCTAATGCAGTGCTCGATAACCAAGCCCAACAATAATTTCATAACGTAGTGTAGGACTAGGTGCTATCCGGTTTATAGCGATGTTCGTAAAAGATCAATCGAATTTGGACAAAAGCAGATTTCAGAAAAAAAATGAAGGAAACATGAACCGTACTTTTTGCGCCATTCAATTCACAAGCGCTCAGATTGTCAGTTACTGGCCACGACACCTCGGAAATCAACTACTGCAACATCGTTAGCATCAATAAATTATCTCTTTGCTGACCGAGTGAATCTTCGCTTAGCCCCACTAGGATTGCCGTTCACAGGTGGATCGACTTTGGAAAACGAACGTTTTCCGATAGCCGAATTTCGTGAGTGAATCACGGCAGCGCCGTTAATCGGAAGCGTCGGCTTGGCAATCGCCTTTTGCTTTCCTTTGAGCAACGCCACTTCCGCCAGTGCCGATTTAACACTTTTTGGTCCTGCAGCCGGATTGGCGGTGGTTTCCTCTGCAGCCTGCGCAGAATTATTTTGAGCATCCGCATTTACACCACCCACAGCGCTCTGCCTCTGCCACTCGGCAACAAACCGCTCGATCTCCAGTCGCCTTTCTTCCCATGCCGCCCGTTGCTGCCTGACGATATCTGGATAAGACTGCATAAATTCCTTATCCGGTTCTTCACAGAACTTCCACCTCTCTCCGCTCATATGCTGCGATACCATTTTCGTCAGGCTCAGGAGACTATCCTTCTTTAGGTTCAGCAATTTGTTAGGAACTGAAATGTCCACAATACTGTCTTTGTGGAAGTAATACAGCAGATAATCGAAGCACATGGAAAATGGAATGGACACGCCTTTGCCCGCTTTGAAGAAAAGGCTGCCCGGACCAACCCAGTTTCCCTGCACCAAATACGCGTTTTTGCTGAGAATGCCAATAGTTTCTTCCACAGGCTTATTCATCTTCTTCTGGATAACCGCTGTGCGTTGTACGCGCGAACCTTTGAACAAAGCGCTCATACTGCTACCGACATCTGTGGTTGCCATCGGGAGGGACGTTTTCGATCCGGTTGGACAACTTTGTGGTCCAAGTGCTACGGAAAAAAAGAAAATTGTAAAACATACACAATGCAAAAAAGCTATTGTGTAGAAGAATTAGGCAGAAGAATCAGCCCGAGACAACAGCAGAAAACGAAATACAGACCTCAGATATATGGTAGTTAGTTCACGCGGTTGGAACCATCTGCGATCTAATTTGTATCGCTGCCTGCGCTTGGCGAACTTACCCAAAGCACAATCAATCACAATCTGGAAACTGGCGTCATCTTCCACCCTTAAGGAAGGATTGTTGAGAATATTTTTCCCATCAACGTTAAGGCACGAAGGATCCGTCGTGAGGTTCGGTTTGAAAGAGATCCATTTTCCCGTGGACGCCGCTGGATCGGCCCGATTGGCTTGCTGGAAGCCATGCGACACGATGCCGACGCGTTGGGTCTCATTGCGCACACCTTTGGGTTCCAGTACGGTCTTCATATGGACGACATCAATGGGTGTAAGGTACAGTTTTCCATCCCGCTTCACGGCGTGATAATTGGTCCTGTAGGCACTGAACGGGACGGTGGAAGACTGACAGATCAGCTGATAATCAATGGGGATTCCCTCCGAGGTTTCTTCTCGTCCGTGAATCGTGGAGTCGGACAATTCACACCGGACGCGACCATCAACATTATTTCGGCATACGGCGGTAATGCGCGAACTCAGCTGCGCTCCAGAGGGTCCGGCGGGGAAGTACGCCAAGACGACTTGTTCGTGTGCATGTCCACGCCGAATGTACACGGGCAATGTTTGGGCAGTCAAGGAAGGAGGTTCACACGAGACGAACTGGCTTCCGGAATTCGAAACGAGTCGTCTTCCCGCTCTGGTTCGTTGTCAGATCCGAAAACCTCCATGGTATAACCACAGAAATACGTGAAAATTAGACTATCGCGGATGGTGTCACCGCGTGGTACGCGCTGCAAACAGCAATCAAAGCTCAGCTGCAAGCATTTTGGTAAATCGGACGGAAGGTAAAACCAATTACTCACTATTCATAGCTTGTCATCTGGGAAATGAATGCGGTAAAGTTATTCTTAAATGAATTGTTCGTACGTAACTGTAGAAAATACAAATTTCGGCTTCAATTATCTAACGCAAGATTAGCAAAATATAACAAAAGTACATTTTAATTTTTAAATAACGAAATTTTCGCTTTCTTTCGCTCTTCCGCCGATTCTTCCGTATCAACTTTGTATGCAGCTGCTTCCCGCTTGTGCTATGTGTCGCCAGTATTTAGTACAGTACTTTGTGATTTAAGTACGTACTCGTTCGCAGTCGTACGAGCGCCGAGCGGCGCAAAAAGACAGGATAGGATGCGCCCTCTGTCAGACGTGCGGTCTCGCTATAACACTGCGCTAGCGTTTGCCGTTCTGTTCCGTCAGGTGGGATCTGCCGAATTTCTTCACAGCAGTAAAGGCTAGCAAAAGCAACACTGCAACAGCAAAACATTTGGTATTTACGGTATTTTACCCTAAATTCCATTTTATTTGTATGGAGTTTTTATCTGTTGATTCCATCTGTTTTCGTCTCACCTTTATGTTGGTTCCCTAACATACTGTACCTTTTACAAGTAGAGATTTGTAAATTGTAAAGAACCGCAGATGCAGATCGAGATCCAATGGTGACTGCACGCAATACGGGATCCCCAGCGAGTTCTCCATAACTCCGTACGCTTCTCGACTTCTCCCACAACGACTTCCCTCTGTAATAGGGTATTGTGACGAGTTTTTGTGATATTGATGTGCCTTAGAAGTTTTTATTGGTCAAGAATTCGCTGCGATTATCATCTGAACTTACCGTACAATCGGTTAATCGTAAGCTGTTCGGCGTGGGTTATTCTTTGATCCATTCCACGATCCGCTTGGGGTCTGTTTTGGGATCTTGGAATTTTTGTACCAGGAAGCGTCGTCTGGGTTGGTCTACACTCGTCTATCGTGGGAATCACTTCACTTCTTTCCATTGTTTGTCTTCATCATTTGTGTTCTTGTGTTTTCTAGCCGCCCAGGCGTGTGGATTTTGTAAGTCGCCCTTTTCCATCATGTTTGTGCATGTCATTGTCATAGCCGTTTTCCAATTGCGGATGGATGTATAATCATGTATTGTTATTTATATCATTATAACAATTGGCTGAATAGCTTTTTTTCTGATTTTACAGCACTTGTTGTGCGTGTGGGTTTGGCAGTTGTGATTGAAAGATGAGTGCTCAAAAACCTAATATGCCTTACAATAATCCCAGTGGACCAAAGAATTTTAATCAGAATTATAGACGGAACGACAATAGGCCTTATCAGAACTACAACCACAACAACTACTATCCACCGCACAATGTGCCGATGGGGGGCATGGCCCCGCAGGATGGCGGCCGCCGGGGACACGGCCAGTTGATGGGCCAGGGAGCAGATGGGCTGGTGCGCGGACCATGGCCGGGGCAGATGCCCTACAACTACATGCACGATGAGGTACGCGTGTCTGTGGGTTGTTTAGTGATTCCCTTGTTAGTTTATTTTATATAGTCCTATTTTTATTGACTGAATCCACGCACCGTCATGAAACCCGAAAGTGAGAGAACCCCGCCCGTAGCATAACGCTGTTTCTCGAGACCGTGGAAGTGTGTTTCGCCGTAAATTACGGTGTTTTGATAACTGAAGCTAGAAGCTTCTCCGTGCGACCTCCTCGCAACGTCTTTCCGGCAGCCGTTTGCATTTTATTCGTTCTCTTGCCGTACAAAATGTCCCCAAGTTTATTGGTGCGTTACATTGAAATTTATGCATTTTTACCACTATCATTTTTATTTTTTTCAAGGGGATTAAAACAAGTTTTCCGGAGAATTAAATCGTTAAGGGAACATGTAGCAAGCGAAAAATATAAAATGTTTACGTGATATTAGTTTCCTGGCTTGTATGTTATGAGATTTTGCGCCACATTTGGTTTTGGGAAAAGCGGTTTCTGCTATAGCTGAACCAGAGTGAGCGGTTGTAAACTTCGCAGTAAAGACAGAGTGGTTGAGAACTGTTTAATTACGGACGTGTGGCATTTTAATTCCTTGATTTTGCAATGAATACGACGTGAGTGTAAAAATCCTCTGTTTAGATAATTCTTGGTGAAAAGTGCTTGTATCTGTGATCGTTAGTAATAATTTGGTCATTTTTGCATCATCTGGTTGTTTGCGATCGGGAATAGGGGCGTGTCTGTATGAGTGAACATGATAGTCACCGTGATCGGTGGAAATTTAACGGAAGCACTGACTAGAAAGGGAAAGAACCAGTGAGTTGCAGTTCCAGAACGAAATGTGCAGTATTGCGCGGTTTACATGCTTTATTGGCATTAAACAGGCGCTATAAAAGTAGTGGATACAATTTTGCACTCGTCAGATTCGTCACGCGCGTTTGCATTGCTTCAGTTTGATTGCCGGTAGGTCTGACGTCTCAGCAGGCTCACGTTGCTGACATGATGACTGTTGATCATAGCATCTTTGGGCTCAGAACTTCAGATTTTAGCGCTGTACTTCTGCGGAGTGTGACGTAGACAATAGAATAAATTTTGAACAAGCGATTGTTAACAAAATTGCACTTGGTACGCCAGATCAGGAAGCATGTCTAAAAGTGCTAGGAGAAGTTCCTACTCTGGCAGAAATAGGTTGTGAAACAGTGATTATTCCGGGAAACATCCTGTTGAAAAGGCTGCCGGGTGTCTAGAGGGTGGGTGTCACTCTCAGGATAAGCTACACCAAATTCCTTGCGTAGATTGCAACCGGAAGTGACAACAGCAGTGCACGCAACAGGCTGGGTGTGGACGAACAGCGGGTGTAAACTGCGGATGCTCTCAGCTGCACAGGGAATCCCGTGAAACGCTTAACGTAAAACACTGTGATGCCACATTTGAAATATATAAAATATAAATTCTATCTAAGACTTGTACGAGCCATTGTATTCATTATTCGATTGTGTCATTGTGCCTATGGGAAACTCTGGATTCTGAGCTTCCTACTCGGCTTGGCATCGGAGAATGCAAACGTCTCTGTTGTGCCATAGCAGTTTTTAATTAAAATAGGTGTACGGTATGGTATGCCTATGTAAGGCGGTTAGGATCTCATGCATTACCATACATACTACTTTTTTTGTAAACTCGTACCGTCATAATTATAATGTGTACGATTCATTTACTGATAACCCTTTAATAAAATTTTATTAACAGTTATAAGCATTGGATGATAAGCGAACGTGTAAATGTCATCGCGGTTTTGCGGAGTACAGTAATTGGCGATTTTAATGACGTTCGTAACGGTATATATTACAGAGCGAATTCAGTTTTTTTAAAGCGTTATTGTAATTGCGCTTTTAGTAAAATGCTTTAGGCTCTAGTAAAATGTTGTGATCAACCCATCTGGACACATTGTTTTGATCTATGAGATAGACAGTGGTGTTGTAGGTAATTATGCCTTGATGTGCCGCACATTTGTGGCGCATGTTTTACTGGAATTTGAATAACAGTTTATAAATGCCAGAATCTGTACGATGTTGGTTAGTCCGAATTTTGCTATCAGTATATTTTACTCTCAATAAATTCAGTTCTCCGTATCACTTATTTTGGTTTCTGACCGCTTTTTGAAGGTCTAACTGAGCATTTTGTGTAGACGGAAGCATCATGAGAATAAGTAACAACGATTCGAACGGAATTCTGTACGATTCGCCCATGTACGTTAGTCAGTTTCTAACAAGTTTCAAGTTTTCACAACTCCTGTTGCATCCGATTATTGTTACTTTTTTATAAGCTGTCTGTAGCTGATGTAATATAGGCGGACCAATGTGCGGTGGAAGGTTCTGATGTTTGCCAAATTTAAGCGTCTGCCGTGGTTTCTTATTAGCCAGTGTGAAGGTGTGACTGGCTTATGGGTTGTACTTGTACACGAAACGCAAAATTTGTGAGTTACCTTCGTCCTAGGGTTATCTTTGGTGTGTGTGTGTGATATGCTGTACTTCTATGCGAGACGCACGATACATAAGTAAAGCCACCAAAAGCCGGCTTGGTTGAGAAAGTTCGTCGTCGACAGATTTTTGCAGACCCATCCAAAGCCATGTTTGTCGATCCGTGGAGTATTTAGCGACCAAAATATCCTTAGGCAAGTGTGAGGCTACTGTAGTAAGTACTTTCTGTTACCAGCCGTCACGTGTCGCATAGATAAATTGTATGAGCGCCGATACTTTCAACACTCAGGGAATTTTCACTACTGAGGGATGAAACTTACTACAGTATTTTAACTTGTCTGTTGTGATTTACTTTTGGTACAACCGTCAGTTGTCATCTGTATTGTCTAAATGGTAATATCAGGTTTACACAGACTAGGGAATGCTTTATTGAATTGTTCGGATCCGTTTACGAAGTTGTTGAAGTTTGGATGGCTTCATCGGCCAATGCTGTGCCGTGGGTTATCTGGTGGCAAACGGTACGCACTACGCTGCTTCGGTATAAAGTGGAGTAGCGAGCGGCATAGCGTTTATTGGCTTGTGAAAAACCTGTGGCTCCGCTCTCCACATACATTCTTCCCGTTTTTAATGTTGTAAACGTTGATGTTAGGAGCGCGCAGAATTACGAAGTAACTTCTGTTGGTGAATTACTTTTGCGGTTTGTGGTAATTCAGGTATATATACACTTGTGGAAATTCAAAACATTGCATTATTAAAAAGGGTATGGTTTTCTGTTCTTTCTGCTCGGCGACGTCAATGTAGCGCGAGCGATGGTCTAAGGAAAGTTATTATCGGGATTAGTTTACAATCGTAGCAATTATTATCTGGATCTCATTTTAATCGCGGCTAGAAGTTTAACATACCGTAAACATTTTCCCGGAGAAGGAGAGAAATATGGTTTTCCGTATGGTGTTGGTCGAAAAAATTTTGCTTATCAATACGTCATGGTTCGAGCCGGAAAAAAGTTTGAAAACATGCAGCTTAATTTTAGTTTGTTCTTGCGTGGAGTTGCTTATGATGGCAAACCGGCCATTTAGAATAGTGTTAATCCCAAAGGAGTGTTTAGTATGGTGTTTTAGGCGGTGGTGAATGGTTATAAAGGCTCGTGAAGATCGTGCGGCAATGTGAAGGAATGGAATGAGTTGACTTCTGGATAAAGCGATATTCTGTTTCTTGAAAATGTCAATGTATGGGACGAGCATATGGTAACTTGGAGGGAAAGTTAGGAGAACGGGATTAGTTGACAATCGTGACGCAAGTGTCTGCGTGGATCGTGCATTTTTAACTCGCTGGCTGAGCCGCCAACGTTACCGTAAAGGCATTTTACAAGGGAAAAGGAGAGGAAATAGTGGTGTTGTCCCTATGGTGTTGGTCTGTCATATAATCTCCATTTTAGACTTACTCTCAATACAAAAGTATGCGTTCTGGGAGTGCCGGAAAAAAGTTTCGAAAGACACGCACGCTGTAATTTTATTTGTTCTTGTATGGATTACTGCAGAAATGTGCAATTCGCGGCCATTCTAGAATAGTAGTTAATCGCCAAATCAGTGTTTAGCTATCGGGGTTTTTATGCGGTGGTGATATGGTGTATTAAAGGCTCTGCAATTATTCACGCGCAATAGTGAAGGATACAGAATTAGTTGACTTCTGCCCTAAAGCGATATATGGAGTCGTTTACATGAAAATGCCATGACTGTAACGGAAGATATTTATATTTGTACGGAATTATCGCCCAGGTGTTTTGTTTATCAGAAGGTACGATGTGTTTTTTGTTTTACCGCAGCAGTACTTTGGAATTCGACAATATTAACCGTGTGTTGACGGTTATGGATTCTGTGCACTGAAAAAAATCAAAAGTGTTATTCATTTTGTACCCATAATTTTTACTGGAGTTTTTAGTGAACTTCTTTGCATTCAGTAAATTAAATGGCGTTCCTATGCTGTGCGAGTGTGACTAAATAATTATACGAGCCCGAGTTTGCTTTACATGAGCGCAATAGGTACTGTACCCGTGGCAGTAGGGTAGGCCTAATTCTTTGTTGATTCGAAAACCAACTGGAAATTCGCTATGAATTGTAATAAGCGTGTTTTTGGCAGTAATTATGGTACGTATAACTAATATGCTGTTTTCCTCGTTTTTCTCTTGTATTATTCACGGTGGTAAGTTAATATAGTAATCGAAAGTGTGCTATGTCAAACGTGGCGGGATGGATTAAATCTTTCCGAAACTGTTAATCGGGGTTCTAAATGACTTTATTGAGTATACTGCACAAAATACACATTTTTTACGTAATATGAGTAACCAAGACTTAATTATAACAAATATATCTCATTTAATTTATCCGCTTCGCCCAGTGTTCCGAGCACAGATTTGCGGCCTTTGTGATGGTAAATGGAGTATTGTACTTATTAAGATGATAATATCGCAGCATATTCAACTTCTGGGCGTTATTAATTTTGTAAACATTCAGGATTTCGCTAATTACCATTAACAGAAGGTTACAATCGGTCAGTCTTGTTTACGACTTTCCTTAGTTTTCTTCTTATTCTCAAAACCGAAAAGCTTTTAATAAATGCCTTTTTTGTTTATTTTTAGTATTACCTTAGTATTTATTAAGGATGAGGATGAGTATTATTAGGACGGGATTATTAATTTTGGATTAGTTGAACTATTTTTAAGTACGATAAAGGCGGCAAGTTGATTTCTTTTTTTGTTATTCAGATTCATACATTCAGAGTGTTTCTAGAGACGTTGTCGCTCATATTATTTTATAGAATCGAGACATGCTAACAGGCAGCCGCTGCAGATTATGTACTGCGAAGATATGCTTGCGATATGCTCTTAAATCAGTTTCGCCATAATATAAGAACAAGTAGTAAAACATGGGTTGACGAGTGAGTTCTACAGTGCCATTTACTTCGTGATGACCAGCAGTGTCTGTGGTTTCAAGCTTTTTGATGCGGATGTGCTACCAGAACAGAGTAGGTCGACAAAGGCTGAAAGTAGGGCTTCGCGTAGTGCCGTCTAATTGACTGCTCACTTGATGACAGTGATCATGAGAGCCGAAACCTGTTGCTTGTTTTATAGTCGTAACATAGACTGTAAAGTAATTCGTGGTTTGATTTGGAAATATGCTTCTGTAATGATAAACACATAGTTGTTTACGCATTAAAATATTTCGTTGAAGAAATTCTGTATCATGCTGAATTGATCCATGCTTCGTTTAACCCGCAGATCCGTCGCAATTCACATATGGGAATGCCGGTTGGCCTGCCTCAAGGAGTGGAGTACAACTTGCAGCCAAAACAACATTTTTCGCAGGATTTGCAGTATATCCCAATGGTAGCTCCAGGTGCGCTTGCGAACGGTGTTGGTAAGTGCAGTTGTATTGAGGGAACAACTTTCGAACAGTGAATCACAACGGATATGGTTTCATCGTAACGACATCAGTACCGCTTTAATGCGATGTGGATAGTAATTATACAATTTTATAAATACGATTCCCGTTGGTTTGTTTAATTTTCTTGATAACTTTCATCAGATGCTGTCGCGGTGTCTCTATTCACGTATGCACTGTGCAGACTTACAAGTTAGATGTATGTAGCCTGGATCTGGTGCTATTGAACCTTATAAACTTATCGGTTTAGGCTTTAACGGAGCACGATGTTTGTAAATTATTGATAGTTAAATATGGTTGGTTGTTTGACAGCTCAACCATGGCTTATGCATCCCAACGAGCCAGCGATGCTTCCACAGATCGGTAATATGCCGATGTCGTCTTTCTCCTCATCCCGTGGATCTCCAGACGGTTCAGATTACGGAAGCAGTGTCGCGTCGAACGCTGAGCTATCAGCCGCGGCTGTACCAATAAGCGAAATGCATGTCGGTCGAGGTGAGGATAGTTATATATTTATCTCCCTGATTTTCTACTACCGCTCATTTATACGCGAGAAAGTGCGGGCTGGTTATTTACATAACATGTGAAGTGGGATGCTATTTTAAACTGCTATCACATATAACAGAGAATGCCATACCGGACAATCCCGAGGTCCTTGCTGCAATCCGCACGCAGATAGAATACTATTTCTCCAAGCAAAATTTAGCGCGTGATACATATCTGTTATCGAAAATGGATGGAGATGGTTACGTGGAAATAACTTTGATTGCCGGCTTCAAAATGGTTGCGAAATGGACTGGCGACATCGGATTGATAACGACGGCAATTAAGTGTGAGTTGTTCTTTGTTAGCCGTTGGTTTATCGTAAATTTTCTGGCAGTTCCTGTCTTTTTTTGCATTTCTGACAATTTTTTTAAAATCATTTTAATCTAATAAGATATCTTTCGATAGCTTATGTTCTTTGAAAATAGCTTCGCCGAAATTGGAATTGGATATCACTGGAATGAAAGTGCGCGGAGTTCAGAACCAGGTGGAATCAAAGCTACTCGTTCCGGACAAACAGCGGACAACAGTGGTTATCCATGATCTGCTCGAGGATGTCAAGAAGGAAGTACGTACGGCCTTTAAGAGTTTGTCTCATAAATTATTAGCATGGTTATGGTGTTTCAGGATATCGAAGATTTGTTCGCGAAAACTAATTTTAAGCCAGTCGGTTATGAATGCGCTGATAAGACATGCTGGTATGTGGATTTTGAGGAGGAAGCGGATGCTTTGGAAGCAGTGCGATATTTACGGGATGAAATTCGCGAAATCCTTGGAAAGCCTATATGTGTACGTGATTATTTCTTGATTTGATTGATTTCGATTCGAATTTGATTTCGATTCTGTTTTGTGACGATGGCGACTTACAGGTACGAATTCGAGCGATCCCCGCAACTGTGATGAATACGTATAAGGGTGTTGATAATGTTAGTCCCGGACCCGGTATGGCTGGTCCTTTACAGGGTACGTTCAGCTTCAGTAAACATTAGTTATTATGGGATTAATATCCTTGTTATCCTGTTTTTCTAGTTCCTGTATCAGGCGAAGAAGCTATGCACATGATTCAGAATCCCAGTGAACTCCTGTCTAACCAGCAGTATCCTATGTTTGCACCGATGGCGGGTGCTAATGCGCCGTTTTATCCGATGACAATGGGTCAAGCGGCGCTGAATCAAGGGCTACTTGTATTTCCTGCGGCGGGCGGTGGCTATTCGCATGCCTACGTGGACCCGACTACTTACGTACTGTTAAATCAGATGAATTTTATGCCTCAAGCGGCCGCAGTTCCGCCCGCTGCGCCTCCAATGTATCGCAATACTGGCCATCATATGAATCGTGGGCGAGGAGGAGGACGACGAGGAGGGGGAATGTCCGGTTGGAACGATCAACGAAATAATTCCCGGTATAAGACTCAGCTTCGGTTTTGTCAGACCTCGACTACAGCCAGTTTGTCTAGATTTATTATTAAAGTAATAATGTTTACTGTTGCAATCAACCATGAACCAGATCAGCAGGGTGAACTACCGTTGAAAGTTGTACGCTCTTTTAAATGCGTGTAATATTCATGATTAGGTATTATCGGAATTCTTTATATCTCTGCCGTTTTCACCTTCACAAGAGCAGTAATGAAGCAACAATTTTGAGCGAAAGGTATGCTTAATTTCTTCTGGAAACACGAAATGTTACAGTTTTCTGATACGGAAGTAAGAGGATTTTTTAAGTATGCTTTTTGTTCTAGTCTCCCTCTCTGTAGCATTCGAACTGGTTTGTTGGCTGCGTTTGTACAAACTTAGGTATTTTGTATGTGTGTTTAAAATTAAAGAGAACCGTAATACAATTATGAATGCTTGTTTTAAAGTTTGATGGAAGATCAGGTTGGTATGTTAAATTATTATAAATTATTATTGTGTAGGTATCAACGGGGAGGCAGCAGCATTCCTAATAGTGGACGAAATTCCGCCATGTCTGAATCCAGATTGGACTACAATAACAGCAACCATCAGTTGTCTCCTGATCAGAACCATTCTCGTCATGGCAGCTTTAGTTCGATGAACGGCAATTACGGTGCATCGTCACCGGTTGTAGTGAGGTCAGGATCCAACACTCCACCACAACAAGAGGAAACTCAGTCGGTGGCTCAATTTGGGCATGAGGAGCGTCGCAATACTTTCCCGTAAGTCTAGAGTATTTCAAGTGAAGTGCAACGCTGAGGGAAGTGTGCTTATCAGTGCCATTTACAGTAATTCTCGAAAACCAAAGCGGCCATCCAGTGAAATACAGGTTCAGGTATTGTTCCACTGAAGTCAGAAAATGAAAGTTTGTTCCTAATTGTAAGATTTGTGGATGACTTTAGGTGCAGAGTAACAATGATTCCCAGGCGCCGTCCGTTTCGCAGTCCATTTCCACCAAAGAGAACTCGTCCAAGTTCGATTTGGAAGCAACGATGTTCCCTCCTTTGCCGGGCCTGAGTCCACTGGTAAGCGAAGTGAGGGCGGCAAATAGGGGTTGTAGATGTGGATGGCTGACGTTTTGCAAATTGCTTAGGAAATTGCTGCTGGCGCGACCAATGTAAGTCAGTCTGCGGTAGCGCATTCTGTTAATATTTCGGCGGCGGACGTTGTACGTGGAGTTGTTAGTCCGAAAGCTGGTCAACAACCGGGAAAACTGTATGCTGATTCGGAATGTTCGACCGATATTGTTGAACGCGGACGGAATCAGTCATCTGGCCATAACTTCTGGGGGCATCAAGCCGATAAGTTAGTTTTGTCGCGTAATTGTCGTTTCTGACATTTTGTATCTGCAGTCTCGTCAGATTCTGAATATACTTCTGCATTTCATGAGATTATTTATTTAGGAAAGAGCAAGGATCCAGTACGGACGACCTACCGAAAAGCGGACGGGAGGTCCATGGAGTCGATGGGAGAGCCCGTTCGGACGGTAGCACTGACCGCAGCCGAGCCAATTCATCTGCTGCGACCCAAACAGCTGCTACAGTCTCCCCAGTTCCTGGTGAGCATCATTCGCAAGGGTGTACGGGCAGCGCGACACCTCATGGCAGCCCCATAAATGCACCTATGTCGCCAGTTAAATCTCCCGGGAAAAAGATAGAAGTGCAGATGCAGGTAGCAGATGGAACTCGCTCGCCCGACAAACAGTTGGTGAAGACTAGTCAGATGTCCAGTCCGCCAAAGGTATGATATTTGTTTTGTTTTTAAATGAATTAGCCGTTACCCGGGATGTTGTTTACAGTCCGAGGATGCAGGTTCTGCAAGTGGTGCTGCTGAAGGAGTGAAAGGCGTCTCGCTAGCTGAAAATGGGAAAAGTGGTACCGTCAGCTACGCTCGTGTTGCTCAGATGAACCGTGATAAATTGTTGCCTCCGGCATCAGCCTCCGTGTCTAGTTCTTCCGCTGCTAGTAATCGCGGCCCACCGTTGACTAAGCAGTCATCGTTGGACAGTAGTGGACATAGTCAGGAGGATCGTCGTTCGGTGAAACAGGAGTGGAATCATGTGGAGGTTGGGGGTGGCGGACCGAAGGGTGTGGCGCATGGGGCTACATTTTTCGAGCGAAATGAAGGGACCGTCAACGGCATTCATGACAGCCAGTATCTGCTGGATAGCAGTCACATCAACGGGGGAGTTGAAGGGGAAATGGGGAAGGAAGAGGGCCAGGAGAGCAATGATACGGAGGGATTTACGGAAGTGACCAAGCACCATAAAGCCCACGTGCGCCACGATCGCCATCATCGAGCGACCGGGCCCATGCGGTATTCGGGTGGAAGCTCCTAATTACTGTTGTCGAATTGTCGCGGAAGAATGGGCAATGGTATGAACTGGCATACTCAGGAACAAAAACCAAAAAAATCAACCTGGCAACGATTTATACTTGTGTTTGGCTCAACTGATATGCGCGTCCGGATACTTGGCTTTGTGGTTTGTTGCAAACGACAGCAGAAAACGCACCAAAATCAAATGTACATATCCCAGTACCTTTGTTTCTTCCTTTTGAATTTGTTTTTTTGCCTTTTTGTCCGGGGATGGTTGGTGAGGCGGATGGTGGAAGGACAAGAAAGTCATCTGGCGACGCCAGTGAAACTGGAAAATCCCTTGGTTTCTTTATATTCATTCTTTTTTGTCTCCCCCAGCTGATTAAAAAAATTGTATTATTGTAAGATTCCTTTTGGTTTATTAGTTACTTACTCGTTTCATGAATCCTCGCCTTTATTATGTTACTTTTGAAAAGCGATAGAAAAATGTTCACTTTGATAATGGGACACACTTTGGAAAGAGGTTTTGGAGATGGAAGATGGAGAGTGTGCTTTTCAGTCGGTAAATTAGTCGGTTGGTTTTTATTGATGGTTGTAGCGAGTATTTTTTTTCCTGTTATAAAATGATGCAAAAAGTTCTCTTTCCTTCTGAGCATTTCTTTATTTTGTGGATACTGAATGTGTTAGAAATTGGCTATATCTTTCCGTTTGTGCTCTCTTTTTAGCTGATCATTGTGAATAGAATTTCTTATGACTACTGGTTAGTCAAGGTTTGATGATTTTGCGCCGGCCAAAAGAATGATGGTTCACCTTGATGTAGAACTGGTGAACAGGTAGATGAAATTAATGTGGAGAAACGGTAATAAAAATTCCAACCCCAAAATTAGAAAGTCAGAATTTGACAGTTGACAATGTCACTTGACATCGTTTTGTACGATTTTTCCCGATCTTTCAAAGCAACTGCAGTTTGTTCTCAACCTTTTCCGCTTAATTTTGCTTAATTAATTTTGTTGGGAATTCAGTTTTATAAGTTATAAAATATAAATTATAACTAATACGGTTTTCATATTTGTGCAATTGTGTTGTGCAATTGTGTTTCAAGTATTCGATAGAAGCTTCTGTTTATGGAATTTCCTTGGTGGGTATTCTTGCCTGAACGATCAATATTTTTATTGAACAAAACAACATTATCATCGAAGCTATCAAACCAACTTCAAATATTTTTTATTTTTATTAATCGTTTACGTATTCAGTTGCTCAGGTTTAGCAGATGATGACTCGCTTCTGTTTGCACATATCAATATGGGCACAGACGCGTAGGTTAGAGTACAGCGCATAAGCGTCCGCCTGGCGCTGTCGCTCGCCTGACTTCATCTATCCAGCTGGACTGGTGATAGTTATCTTTGATTCTTTATAATTATTTGTAAAGTTATTGTTTGCAAATTAATAGTTATTTCCAAATAATTGTTATGTGATTCGATAGACATTTCAAAAGACTTGTTGAATAAGTACTTTAAAGATTAATCGTCCATACTCACCGCATGATCGGTTAGCTATCCAGTCCTTCCAGTGGCGTGATAGAAGTTGATTGAGACTGAGGATGGGAATTTGCACATCATGTTGCGAAGATCCTTCTGGTGATTTAGGATCTTCTAATAACCATTCTCGATTCCAGACCCGGCAGCCAGTGAACGAACCCGACCCTGTAAGTAATACATTAAAAGTGCACGCTTGAGGCTTTGGTACAACCAGAAAATTAGTGAGTTGTTGCTGAAAAAGGATAGTGCTGATCTCTGAATAAGTACATACCTATTCAGGCTATTCTAGAAATTCGCAGAATGCGAATACCTTTAAGCTTTACAATATTTTAAATAGGTACATACACGTTAGCATTTTTCTATTGCGTTTTCATATTTTTGCTTGCATATTTTTTGCCCACTTTTGTTTTCTGAAACACAGGAAACTAAACGTCGGCTGCAAGCGGAAGCGGCAGAAAAAAGGCAAAAGGAAACGGAATCGCGTGGCGTCCACGATCCTGAACGAGTAAAAAGGCTGCAGCAGAGAAAAGACGAACTGGAGCGAGCGCGCGATGTTGCGCCTCAGGCGTCTGAAGGTGGACTGCGGGTAAGTCAGTAAAACGGGCCATGATTTAGTTGAATTTTTGAAACTTTTTAAGTTCTCTGGAGTATGGTTGTTCTTACTAGTTTCAGTTATCAATTTGTCCCTTTTACTTTTCATCACTCACCAAATTGAAGTGTACGTAATACTAAGTCAAAACATAGGTAAGTTAAAAGTGGTGCACATTTTTTGCCATTTTTTTTTGTTTTGGACTTGCGGTTTTAGTATGGACTTGCGGTTTTAGTAGCTTTCGTTGGTTGAAGCCGTTGTAAGTGCCCATGTTTGCTCTTTCTTCAACGGTTCCGTTTGACAAATTAAATTTGGTTTAAAGCATTCAAAGATTAAGATTCTTACGGTGTTTTGTGTGTCAACGACTTACGATTTCGGTTTTGTTTTTGCAGTGGACTACTGGGTAAAATCAAGCCAACGACATTTGCCAGCTGTGCATTTCAGTTTGAATAATAAGAATATATGCTGTTTTTGGACCATGGACGTCGTTTTTTTGACAGGAACTTCGTTGTCTTCCGTGACTAAAATAATTAACGCTGCATTGCAGATGCAACTTTGTAATGTTGGACGTAGTCACGTACGTGCTTGTATCCATGTATTTTTGATATTCTTCCAGATCTTCTGTATACAAGCTAATTTTTTTTCGAAGTCTTGATATCGTTTTTATGTACAACGAAGCGTTTTTGTATGTACTTTTCCTCTGTAAATACTCAGTGCAAGGGTTAATGCAGTGGTGGTGTTGTGAACTGTGATCGAAATATTTTAGCCTCAACTTCAACGCTCGCGATAAATTTAGGTATTACGATCACCTCAAGCCAACCCGAAAGCCCAATCCCAAGGACCCATTACAGCATCTAATAATTCCTCTTTTAAAGAACATAATAAATAAGCAAAACTTTGAAAACACAATACCTAGTATGCTCTGCTGTCTGCAAGAAAAAATCATACTACCGGAAAGAAAACTGGAATTTAGTGTAAGTGCTTGAACCGGTGGCGCTGCCAAGAATATGCATTATCGCCTTAAAACCACAAGCAGAACGAGAATTTTTAAGCCTTCTTCAACTTGGCACGCAGAAGCTCTTCCAGTTTGATGGCATCAGCAGCAAATTTGCGGATTCCGTCAGCTAGTTTGTCAGTGGCCATTTCGTCCTCATTCAACAAGTAGCGGAAAGTCTTCTCATCCAACACCATCTTTTCCAAATCCAAATCTTTCGCTGCATTAAATTAATTATTTTAAAGAGAACAACAGCTTTGCGCCACCAAAGCGATTTTACCTTTTCCCGCATCCAGATGCTTCTCGATTTTCTCATTAGAATTGGCCAGTTCTTCCAAAAGCTTTGGACTGAAACAATTCCAGTTTAATTTTTGTAATAAATTTTTGTGATAGTAGTGTCACTTGCACGTGCATACCTGATTGTCAATAAATCACACCCGGCCAAGGCTGTAACTTCTCCCACGTTTCGGAATGATGCTCCCATCACCACCGTCTTATAACCAAACTTCTTGAAGTAACTGTAAATCTTGGTAACGCTCTTCACGCCTACACGAACACATTAACAGTCATGTTACGGGTGAGAAACATCTTTGTAATTAAATCCCCTTACCGGGGTCTTCTAACGGCTGGAACGACTTCTTGTCAGTGTTCTTCACATGCCAATCGAGGATGCGACCGACAAAAGGGGAAACCAAAGTCACTCCGGCTTCAGCACAAGCAGCGGCCTACGACATGTCGAACAAACTTGTACTACAGTACGGGTAGTTATGCGACTACATACTCCATTCGGCATTCCGTATTATAAACTGTATGCTTATTAGAAAATATGATAAAAGTCTATAACAATACTTACCTGGGGCAGCGAAAAGAGAAGGGTTAAATTGCAATGGATATTGTGCTCTTTTTCCAGGATTCTGCATCGTAAAGAAAATAAAGTTACACTATCTAACCAAAACATCACAGTGTGAAGAAAACCGAGCGATAGGCCTGCACTCACTTCGCCGCTTGAATTCCTTCCCAGGTGGAGCTCAGTTTGATCAGAATTCGGTCGCTACTGATGCCAGCTTCTTTGTACAAAGCAATCAGTTGTTTAGCTTTCTCGATCTGACCGTCCTTATCGAAAGACAAACTAAAGAATAAATACCATATTCAGCGGTGCTCTTCACAGTCAAATTTAATGATTCTAAACTTGAAATGCAAGATCACAGCTAAAAAGCAGCCGAACTCACCGAGCGTCGACTTCGGTGGAAACACGACCGGGGACAATCTTTAGAATTTCCAAGCCGAACAGGATGAACACTTGGTCGAAGGCAATTTGCACTTGTTGGTCCACGTCCCTATTTTAACCACACATCAGCTTCGTCAACAAAACAGCAAAAACTTCGTTTGACAGTGTTGATTAAATGCAATTCTGGAAGCTGAACATGTTCATCACCATCTGGAATAAAACACAGTCCAAAAGGCTTACTGGGATTTAGTTTTGGCCAGAGCGACGGCCTTGTCGATGAGGGCGTTGTACTGGCTCATTCCAGCCGCGGCCAGGATCAGCGAAGGATTCGTGGTCGCATCCGTCGGCTTGTATTTCTCCATAGCTGAAAATGCCAAAAATTATCCATCCTCTAACTTTAATACAATATGCTACACACGTAGCAAACACGATCAGCTCCGTGATAGTCGTCATAAAAGTGCTGTATCACGTTCCACCGCAATAAGCATAGTTTCTCAATCAATAATAATTGACGCTTACTGCCGAAATCGCCGCTGTCACAGACCACCGTGGTCATTTTGGCCAGCTGTTCCAGACTGGATCCTTTTCCATCCCCTAAAAAACGATACGTAAGTGAACAAGTGCAAACCTGCCTTTCCGTAACAACTGTGCTTCCCGATCAGCTGTTCGGGTTATGATAGCTGTTTCAGTATTTCGTGCGTCTTTATACCTGTGGTTGTCTCGAGTATTTTTCGAGAACGTAAGCAATACGAACTGGAGTACTCAGGGCAGAACAAAGCTAATGTAAGTCCTTCGTAAACAGAAAGCATGACCTTGAGGAAGCAGAAGCGGCAATCAGCATCTTTTTAGATGCGTATTTTCACAAGTACCAAACTGACTGCCATGCTCATTAAGAGCAAGCTGCTAGCATGTGAATAATTAGTTCGTCTTGGCCTACCTCCATTCTGAGTCCCGTTGGCAGCCATTGCAATGTTTAGCACGGTAAATCTGAATAATTAGGTACTACAAATATGGAGCTTAGAAAAGACAGGTAAGCATGCACAATCCCAAAACAGGCAGCAGGCAAATAAACCAGTTTTTGACAACATCAGACTTTCAGAAGGTTTTATTCGATTTTCTACGCAGTCCGACGCAAGTCGTTGGACATACGTGCGAGAAATCGCACTCACTCTGAGTCGAGTCGAACTCCTTTGGGGTAATCATCAGTAAGTACTCGTACTTTCGGTGTTTCGCAGAGTGTTTTAGTAATAATTATTAGTTAACGTTTTAACGTTTTATTAACGTTTTAATAATTTTAATTAAGAATTTAAAACAGGCAAGAAATATGATAAATGTTGTAACACCACTGCCACCGGGCCCCGGCCCACAGTAGAACAGCGTATACGAAATACTATAAAGTACAAAGTGAGTAGCTAACCATAAGGACAGAAGAATACGATACGGTCACTCCGCCACAGTCAACACAGCTTTCGTTTCACTCACAAAAGGAAAAATTTTATTTGCACGAAATAAATTATGACAGCGGCCAATCACACAAGGAAATAAAATGTGGACATCAACGACAAAACCCTACAGAACTGTGGATGTAAAACGGTGCAGAGGGTCAGGCGAATTCAGCTTTCGACATCTGCAGCATTTCCTTCTTCCTCGAAATCGCCCTCATCGTCGGCAGTAGCTTCCTGGTACTGCTGATATTCCGAAATCAAATCGTTCATATTGCTCTCGGCTTCCGTGAACTCCATCTCGTCCATCCCTTCGCCGGTGTACCAATGGAGAAAAGCTTTTCGCCGGAACATGGCTACGCAACAATGAACGCAATTATTGCGAGTTTTTTATTACTGACTCTCAAGTTATGATGTATCTCTTACATATATCTATTTCTAATGCACACAAAATAATTTTGACCATCGCTACACTGGCACAATGCGTGCACTTTCGCCAGCATATTCTTCCACACTTTTTACTTTCCATCGTATCATTCGTATGTACCCGTAAACTGGTCGGATATTCGCTTGAACAGCTCCTGAATGGCCGTTGTATTGCCAATGAAAGTAGCCGACATTTTCAGTCCGCGGGGCGGTATATCGCACACGGCCACTTTGACATTGTTGGGAATCCATTCCACAAAGTAACTGCTGTTTTTGTTCTGCACATTCAGCATACAGTCGTCCACTTCCTTCATGCTCATCCGGCCGCGAAAGATGGCGGCCACCGTTAGGTAGCGCCCGTGACGCGGATCACACGCGGCCATCATGTTTTTGGAATCGAACATCTGCGTGGTCAGTTCGGCCACCGACAAGTTGCGGTAAGACTGACTGCCGCGGGCGGTCAGCGGTACGAAGCCCGGCATAAAGAAATGCAGCCGCGGGAACGGCACCATGTTCACCGCTAATTTCCGCAGGTCGGCATTGAGTTGACCGGGAAAACGCAAACACGTGGTCACACCGGACATTGTCATGGACACCAGATGGTTCAAGTCCCCGTAGGTGGGCGTGGTCAGCTTTAGCGTGCGGAAGCAGATGTCGTACAGGGCTTCGTTGTCGATGCAGAACGTTTCGTCGGTGTTTTCCACCAACTGATGCACGGAAAGCGTTGCGTTGTACGGCTCAACAACAGTGTCAGACACCTAAACATATACCAAGAATTCAGCCGGTGTATTAAACGAAAGATCCGGATCCTGATATTTGGGAGGCATTTTTCTATGTGGAATAAATGCGCATTATCTGAATAACGTCCAGTACTTGCCTTTGGTGATGGCACAACACTGAAGGTGTTCATAATTCGGTCAGGATATTCTTCCCTTATTTTGGAGATCATCAGCGTTCCCATTCCCGAACCAGTCCCTCCGCCGAGCGAGTGCGCCAGTTGAAATCCTTGTAAACAATCGCAGGCTTCCGCCTCCCGGCGCACGACATCCATCACCGCGTCCACTAATTCCGCGCCCTCGGTGTAGTGACCTTTGGCCCAGTTATTCCCGGCTCCGCTTTGTCCTGCGTTCGACGAAATTGCATTTAGCCCAAATTTAAACGACTAATAAACAGGCTTGTATCATTCAGTCCTAAAGGAACACTGACCAAAAATAAAGTTATCGGGGCGGAATAATTGCCCGAATGTGGATGACCGAACGGAATCCATTGTGCCCGGCTCCAAATCGACCAGTACCGCGCGTGGAACATATTTTCCTCCTGAAAATACGAGATTCGTTGTGCTAGAAGGTATAATATGAACATGAATTCATAAATATTTTTATACTACAATCTCGTATGTAACGAGCAGCTTAAGCAACCATGGCCATTGTTTAGTACTGCAGAAGTTTATCAGTACTGCGAAATTGTTTCGCTCTAGCAAGGCATGCAGGCCGCATATGTTATGCATGCGTTCATCGAGTTATACTTCTATACAAATCTTTATGCTAGTACAAATAATTATAATACAATAAAATTCCAAGAGTAAGTAAATGAGTAACAATAAAACAATCCAGTTAAAGATATGCGCCCACTGCGTAACAGTTCTCGTACTTTTGACCGTGTTGCCCACCATTACATTATTTGGAAATAATTCTTGCCAAAATTAATGTTTATTGGAACTTGCGAAACTACAGTATCATACGCATTGTATAATATGTGCAAACAGCAAACCACTCACATTTTTTCAACAACGATATCCACGTAAATTGCCCGTAATTTCTCAGATCAGAGCGTTAGTGTTAAAAGTTGTAAGTTACTGATTTCATCTCACAGAAAGGCAAATGAACTAACATTTACATATCTGTAAAAAGCACTGCACAGATTATACACCAGGTCCGGTCTAAAACGGGCATAAAAAAGCCCTTGCAGCTGATCATGATCAAGCAATTACGGCATTTGATAATGCATACGCATATGCATTCAAAACTATTAGTCTGTATGTGCTTGTATATTATCAAAATAATTCTAGCAGTCGCGCACATTACGGACACTCATGTACCTGAAGCTTCGTTGTAGTAAACATTGACCCGTTCGATCTGCAAATTGCTATTCCCTTTATAAGTTCCTGTTGGGTCAATTCCATGTTCATCGGATATGACTTCCCAAAATTTAGACCCAATTTGATTTCCGCACTGGCCGGCTTGCAAATGAACAATTTCTCGAACCATCCTGACGGTTTATCGTGAGTTAATCGTAAACGGATTTCAGTGTAAATTTGCCTGCAAGCTGACAGAATCACATACTCACGATTTTTGACATGTTTTGAGAAACATCTGTGCTTTAAATACTGGTCATTCTCAGCAGCATAACATCCCCCGCGTGTATCAAAACATTTTAACCTCTACCAGCGATTACGAATGCTACAAAGGAAAACACTTTACGGCTGGTCTAGTTTCCCGCTAAACAGCAACCTGCGCGCTCAAATTGGCAGTAGCACTTTAGACAGCGTATTGTTGGCGCCGGATTCTCGCCGGTCTGTTGGACCATCGGCGTATTGATCAGCTAAACCCCCTTTCGTACCTGCCCGAACTGGACTCGAACTTTCGATTCAGATCACAAACAACCGAAAATCGATTCTGCTCGGCTAGGTACCCTTAAAGACATGATCGCTTTCGGGTTCCATTTCCTCAACGAGCTAACACAATAAAATCCAGGTCAGATTTACACGTGTATTGATCGTTTCATTGTGTTGAACGCGCTCACTCCACTTAAAAGCAGGAGTGTCTAACATGGCAGACCTGAATCAAAAAGCTTTAAAGTTGAAATCATCGTCAAATGCAAGGAATATTCCAAAGAGTTTTGGGAAAAAAGATGCACACTACGAAGGAATTTATAAAAGTGAAGAAAATTAGATTATAAGGCAGCTGCGGTGAAGTAAACTGAGTCCCGTTCGGCACATTTCAGCAAGGCATCCTCCAAGATTTCCGGGTGATCGTAGCGCTCTTGGAAGGATTGGATCATACCATCAATGGATGGCGGGTACGATTTGATCGTTACATTTTGGGAATCGTCGATAAAAGTATTGGATTGAACCAATCTATGACAAATGAACCGATTACAACCAACCTTAACACTTTTCTAAAGTTCCATTTACTCTTAACTTACAAATTTCTTGGAACTCGACGGTCCACGGCAATCGCGTGCCACTTGACAAAAGTCTCAGACAGCGGTGGCATGTTCAGGACCGCAGTATACTCCGTATACATTGTAAAGGCCTCCTCAAAGTGCGCGGTAGATTTATAGAGCTGTAAACCACATCTCTTCATACAAACTCGACAATAAAATGAAATTTCCTCCTGTTATTAAGTGGAAACAATCATCCACACACCTGCAGACGCGACAGGAACTTTTCAATGGCATCTTTCCCCTTAGTTTTAATGAGGTCCCTCTTCAGAGTAACCAACAAATCCGGTTTTCCATCCGATCCATCCACAATATCTACCTTGACCACCTCGGCTTCTTCCATCACACGCAAAATAGCAAAACGACCTTGGGCATGAGCTTGTCCCCATTTCTGTTATTTTGTTAACATTTAGGAAAGGTCAATCAAGAAATTTTCAATAATTCTCACTTCTTGCTCCAGAATGTAATACGGCAAGGATTTAATTCCGGATACTGCCATGGCAAGCCAAATGCAATAAATAATATCATCGCGATCTTTTTCGGCAATATGCCAAACATCCAACACCTCCGGAAGCAAGCACAAATACACGGCAATTGTTTCAGCGCGGCATTCTTCGTAGGTGGAAGCCAATGCACCAAATACCGAGTCGTATGTTTGTCCAGCTTCGTAGCTACAATGAAGCAGTAAATCAAATACAGTACTTAAAATATTAGTTAATTTTAAAGCTATTCCAGTGTAGTACTAACTATGCACATTCCGATCCCGATTCGTAATCTTCAAGCCCTTTAGGAAAATTGAATGTTCCGTCCTTGTTCTGTTGGAGAAGCTTGCCGCTACCATGTCCCAACAATTCATGTAAAGCCACTTGAATCTCCAAGACCAAAGTTTCGTGTTTGGTCAGCAATTCATGATCGGCAGCAGAAATAAATTGGGGCGGACGGGATTTCAAAGCAGCCGCAATAATGTTTCCCAAACTGACATTTTTGAACCCTATTTGCAATAAGAAATGCTGCTGCTTTTGTTGATGAATCTACCAGCATCAACAACAAACCTTCATTCTGCCGAATCTCGTCGTAGTTTGGAATGTTTATTCCTAGAAACAGCAAAGCGCTGTTTTTCGCCCGAACAGAAAATAGTGCATTTAAAGGCCAAGAATGCTTACCAATAGGGACACCACTGGAGGCAAAACTAACGACAGTCAGCTCAGAGTAATCAGGACGAAGATACTGATCCTTTTCATACTCTTTCGGCCACGGAAGTTTAGAAATAATCGATTCAGCTGCGTCAACAAGTTTGACCAGACGCGCACTCTTCGCTTTATCAACAACAGCCACAAATCCTTCAAATTCACCCCTCTGCCCACTGGGATCGCTGCCACAGGCAAAAAAAAAAGTAAAATAAAGTTTTAGTGTCCAACTTAATCAAAAAGCAATGGATCGAATTCCTAAAGGTGATATCGCCAGAACAAGTTCAATAAATTTCAATCACCCACCGGTATGTTTCAATGAATCCGATGTACCCCTCCACGACAGGTTGTTTGTTTTTTATCCAAAAACGGGATCCGTCCTTGTGCGCATTAAGAGAACCAGTCTCAAAGCTCTTGATGTAGTTTTCCAACATCTCCTACACAAAGGATTTATTGCAACGTTGCAAAAATATATAGTTGTAATTTGTTTACCCTTTCATTGTCGTTAGCTGCTTGCTTTACGGCATCTTTCAAACAGCTGCTCATCTCTTTCATGAACGGGGCGTAGTCACCTGTGGAAAAAAATACTGCTAATGCGCAAATTTTGCGATTTAAAGCGAAGCGCATTTAAATTTGCATCGTAATCGAAAATAATTAGCTAATTGCTCAACACACCTCCTCCCTACCCAGTAGTCTTACTCAGCTTACCGGTGGTAATAACATATTGGTTTTTCTTGTATTCGATGGGCTCCCCATTAGCTTTCAGCTGTCCGACTTCCACATGTCCACCTTCAGTCGCACTGGCCAAGCGAATTTCATATCGCGGTAAGCCGCCCTCCGGGTGAGTTTTAAAAACTCGCGAATTGTACGCATCAATCCCGTAATGTTCCAAAAAGTCCTTAACAAGGCGAGTGTCTCGCTTGTCACAGTTCCATGAGAAGTACGTGGTTATACCCTCCGGTTTCAAACCTAGCTGTCGAATTCGCGGATTCTCCAAATCGTACATAGGATCACCGCACTGTTTCCATACAAAGTCGATCATCTCCTTTTTCTTCGATGATGCCTCACTGGCAAACACTAACTTCTTCAGCTTTTCTTTCTCCACTTCCGGAACGAGTTTCGTGTCGCCGAATCCCACATAATTGCCCATGTTGTGATACACTCCACCGGCATAAAACTTTAAAGCCAACCAATCATCGTCAGAAAATCCACATTCCGATTTGGCTAATTTTTCCAGTTCCTCCAGTTTACTGTGGCGAAACAAGTTTTGCAGCAGAACGAAAATGGCTGGACTCTCCGGTGAGGTTTGCAGAAAAGTGATTAATCCACCAACCCAAGATGCTTTGGACCAATAATGCACATAACTGGAAATCGTCGAATAACAAATGCAACATCATAAATTTTAAGCGTAATGGAGAAAGTTTAATATTAATGGCAAATATATTTGCATTCACAGCATCACTAGCGCATTACTCCAGTTTTCGGTATGGCAAACGAAGTTACCACAAACCCGTAAACCTGTGTTAAAATATTATGGGCAAGAACCTTCCATGAAGAAAACCGAAACCAGACTCAATGTAGAAATAACAGAGTATTATCAAGGTATTATTACAAGGTAAATATAATTTATTAAGTACAGTACAAATATGTAAGTGTCGAATATTTATGGTAAATTCAAATGCGAATTTATCCAAAATTTTCGCTCTCCACCTCTAAATTCATGACAATTTCCAATCTCTCGTACCGTTTCTCTTTGTCACTCAATAGCTCGAAAGCTTTAGAGCATTCGGCAGAAGGCACTTTAGTAGTCAGCGGCACGTAAAATTTCTTCATAGCATGTTCATCAAGCACGAAAGAAGCGGCATCTCCATCTTCTGCCATTTTCGATACAATATTGTTCGCCAACTGGAAACTCGAACAGCTTCGCGCTGACAATAGTCGATACTGCAAAACAACGGATTACAACATTTCATGAAAAATCGTTAAGCTTTCTAAACGACTACCAGTGTACTTATCCTGACAAAATATATCTATATTAAGCTAATCGTTACTATTATTACGAGTACTAACGTTCAAAACTCTTATGTATGCACATTACAAGTCGACTAAATTACACGTAAGTTATTATAAAAAACGTCGATGAATTCACTTCGTTGAAGGTACAGTCGTTACTCCAACAGACTTCCCAGTTATTTCAGCTTTGATGCGCTATCCCAGCAATCAACTTCAACACTTAAATTGCTAATTAAATAATGTTACGCCTTAGTGCTGTACAAACCTAATAAGTACATAAATTGCATGTCGGTTACTGTACACTATACAGCATGGGTCTGGTTGCGACAAAACTGCTGAATACGCACATCGAAAATAAGCTGTACTTAATCCTTGTCTACTTACCATTAGCACAACTGTATAGTATAGTGTATTCTTAGAGTTTCCGCATTTTCAAGCATAAAGTCTTTATGATAAAGAGATCTAGCAAATCAAATTTTTAAAATGCAGAATTTTTTCTATCCCGAGTAACGGAAGAAGCCAGAGCATTTCCAACATACATTCTCAGTCCACAAAAACCGGAGAAATTCTGCACAATGACCAGACCGGAGATACTTGTATTTCTGATTTCACTTCTGAGACCTCTCCTTTACAATAGCCAAGCAGGCAAGAACTTACACTTTTTTGAAGTACGAAGCGCGGCACAAATCCAAAAGCGAGCATCCAGACCTACAATTTTAACGGAAAGGCCAACAAACAAAAATTACTAGCTATCCATTTTTAATTAAGCGCCTTAGAAGTTAGAAGGTTAACCGCTAAGACCTTATAAGTTCCTAACCGTGAGTTCTGCGTGGCGCGGGTCTGCCCTTGGTCCTTCAAAGGTTAACAGCAAACATACAATCCGGGTACAAACAATGTCAAAGCCTTATATGTTTATAATCGGCTTATTAATCAAAATCAGAGCTGTAACAATAAAGATATGAGTAAAAAGAGGGATGACACACAATCATAAATGAACACTAACACTAACAGCAAGCTGGGAGCAGCATTTGCTTGAATCTGAATGCCATCGGTTTATGATTTTTATGAAAAATTAAATTGCATTGCTGAAGCCTACCGCCTGCGTACGGTTTCTGTAGTTCCGCGCTGACGTCACGAAATATGCTTTCTAAATCGCACATGCGACCACCTGCGGATGTCGCGTTTGTGATAAATTTCTTGCAATACAGTTTTTTATCAGTCTCGGGCACTCTCGGCATGTTAAAATTTAATACAAGGGCCTTCTTATTGATATTAAAATTTATTATTGCCGTTCGTTTACTGTTTTTTAACCATATTGTCAAATATTTTTGAGGAATTTATAAGTAGGCTTTTGGACACTGAGTAACAGGTAAGTAAAATCTGTAGAAAGAGCGTTGGAGTGGCTTAAGGAAAGAGCTGTGCGTAATCGTAACGCTAATGACTGATCTGAGTCCTCGGGTTCGTAGTTATTAATATGGACTTATTTTGAGCTGCATATTATTCGAAATATTGTAGAATTATACCAAACGAAGACTGTGCTTCTGTAGGTTCACAATGTCGAAACCAATGAAAGTGCAAAAGGTGATGGTGCAGCCCATCAACCTCATCTTCAGATATCTTCAGCAGAAAGAGCGCGTGCAGATTTGGCTGTATGATAACACTAAGATGCGCATCGAAGGAGTTATCATCGGGTTCGACGAGTATATGAACCTCGTACTGGATCAAGCCGAAGAATACTATTTGAAATCAAAAACAAAGAGACCTATTGGAAGAATCCTTCTGAAAGGCGATAACATCACGTTAATTCATGGAATACAGAAAAGCGAGCGGTCTGAGAAAATGGAAGATTAAGCCATGGTGTGAACGAACTGTACAGGATTGGATCTCCTATGGAACAGTACTAGTACTATCAACAGGGTCTGTGAATGCGTCTTCGCGGCATTCCGGAATTAATGGGAGCCTGTTGTCCGATTAGTCGCTGTTCTTGTTTCGCTTTTACACGTTTGTCTCCGTTTCAGATGCGGTAAAACTTGGTTTTTTGGTACTGTATTTCCCGGGTTCTTTTAGAATGCACTTAACCATCAGCACTCTCCGTGCATTGTTGTGAACTTATTTTTTGTTAGTTTCACTTTAGTACGAAACTGCTAACTGTGACACGTACAAAATCTTTCATAAACAGTAAAAATCAAAACGTAGTCTCATGTTTGGAAATAACATATCCGTCACATAGAAGCGGCTCGTATTCGCTGAAGCACATTTACAATTAGGCCTTGTCCCGAATTCAAAGCGAATCTCGCTATGGTACGGCTGCTCAACCGCACGAGGTGGCTGTATGCAGTGGCCACGAAGCCACCTCGCGAGGTGGAGTTGCTGTATCGCAACGAGATTCGCTTTGAATTCGGGACGAGGCCTTAGTATCCTGTCGGCTGTTCCCTGTGTTTGAATTAGGATTGAAATTCAAACACTTTTGGGGAGAATTTGAAATGAAAACTTGAAAATAATTACTTTTAATAATATTTCTCGTGTTTTTTGTTTTTAGTATTTTTTTTGTTTTTTAGTAAGGAAATTAACACAAATGTTCAAATTTTGCTAACTTCTTTCATTTGACCACTTCGAATTGTCCCTTGACTCACTGCCTCTCGCCTGCAGATAAATTGAAATAAAATTTTAATTGTTAAAAATGACTAATTCTTTTCATCCCAAACACACAAGCCTCATTCGAAATTATTTTCTTTTTTAATGTTATGTGAGAGTGCCCTCTTACGGGCTCGGCTGCACGAAACAAATCAGATCAATCAAATTATGATTTATGTGAGATGCACTGTAGTTTCATTCAACTCGTTCTGACACATATGATCAAGGAGGGTCTTTTACTACCTAAAATCCAAACTCTTTCGGGCATTGTCGCAAACCTCAACAAAAGCATCGTTTGAACTACGTAGGATGTGAGTAATGTTTGGAACGAGCTTCGAACTGCGCTTAGGCGAAATCTGGATGCTATTTCAAACCGGACAACCACCAAAACATGAAATGCAAGACAGCCGGCGTGCGCAGTTTTATTAATTCATTTGTCTACAACAGGTACCCAGGACAACCAAAAAAATATCCGCAAATGAGAGGCAACAAATTAAAACTGGATGACTTGTCCCTGCAAAATAAACCTCGTTTCAGAATTAACGATAAGTAGCAATACTTAAGCCAGAACCAGCATAACAGTTAGGAAAGTAAGCATGTACAAAATTTACAGAACAGCAAAGAGTTCCGTTATAATAAACCGAATTACTTATAATTAATACCAGGCAGTTGCTGCCATGAGTGCCATCCATAAAATGTACTATTAAAAAAATACAATGAACCAAGTAGTCACGCTTACCTTTCTTTTCTTGTCGCCACCCAATTCGAAATGCTTACAACGTTTAATGGCCAACTGCTTCCTCATTTTACATTCGCTGCATTCCATTTTAAGGACAATTTTCTTCGTTGTTTTTGCCTGTGGTGATAGATATATTCAGTTTCATACCACATAATTAATAACAAACCTTCACATAAAAAGTGCTACCAACAAGGCAGCAACTTTTCTCTAACACTGACTAACAACTAATCATGATTAATGGAATTAAAAATCTGATAACAATAACCGCTCAACAAACAATTCCATACATTTTTCGTGCTAAAGATACCCGAACTTGCCTTAGAAGTTAGAACTAACTGCGGTTAAAATCACCAATCAGCTACACAAAAAAAAACGGACGAAGCCAGGAATTTCGCAAGAACTACGCACCTTTTTCCTTAAAATGGGTTTTGTCTGACCACCATAACCTCTCTGCTTGCGGTTATACCGGCGACGGCCTGCAATCACAATCTATGTACAAACAGAACTAAATACATGAACGGACTAATAAAGAAAATCCTACTGCCGACGTCAAATGAAAATTGCAAATTGACACCGTCACACCGACTACGACAAATTTGATTAAAACAATCATTAATAATGTACGAATTATGATTGGAAAACGTGAAAAAGTTATTTGAAACTTTAGTAGCCACTACCCATAAGGCCACAGAGAAATCAAGTACGACCAGAAACAATGAATCTGAATAAAAAAGAATTTTGACGTAGCATCATATAATTGCAGTCAACTGCATGGAACTTCAGAGGTCTACGACCGTAGAGGAAATGTTTCACAGAAGTAAACGCCCGAACATTCAGAAACATAACATGGTGCGCTTCAATCTTACCTTGAGAGTACTCGGATTCCTTGCCTCTCTTATACTGCGTCACTTTGTGTAAAGTGTGCTTCTTGCATTTCTTCCCCTTGCAGAATGTTCTGCGGGTCTTTGGGATATTCACCTGAGAATACAAGTCGTTTCAATGCAAACTGAAGTTATCAATCACGAATGTACGATACTTACCATTTTTATAGTGGATCAATTACCAAACAGCATCCACCGAAAAAAGACTTCAGAAATAAACTATCCCAATTGCTCCCAAAGCGGCGCGGGGGTTCTCTAAAATTCCAGATATCACTTCGGAGATAGCGCAAAAGGCAAAAAACTTGTTTGTGCAAATGTGCAGCCGTCCGGACTATCAGGAGACCAGCACGCGTTGAGTAAAAATTAAATGCACCGTATTTTGCAGTGTCCTTGTAAACGTTATGGATATTATTTGCTGTAGCAGCAGCTTACAGGGAATGCTCCGTATACAGCAAGGTATTCGTACGAGGACGAATACGCCTTACATCGAAAGCATTAACCAATCATTTAACAGCAAATATCGCAAAATGCTCTCTTTATTGTACGCACGGACAAACAGCAACTCTTAAGTTACGCTTTGTTATTTCTCATAGCCGTACTTTTTACGATGTGAACAATGGTACATACTATATTTCCCTGTAATGTTGTACGATTATTCATCGGTAAAAATTTGCAATTTCTCTCGCCGCAACTAGCCGGTGGTGGGCCGTCTGTGTTTGATACTGTGCACCATGATTGGCTGTATGAGGAATGAAATAAATAACCAGAGAAATAATTATTGATTGACAACGCCAGTATATGACTACTATCGAACAACTGAGCGGGTCCATATAGTGCAGCACGTAATAACACCGCTTGGCTATCGAACATTTCAAGCAAGAAAAGCTGGTTATAGTGAATTTGTGTGGAACATTGCTCGTAGTACCAACGGTTTACTACGCATATACCCTTCATAGAACACTACGTTGAGTACGGTAAGTGCACGCCGCATAACGCTGCTTTACTCTTGCAGACTGTATAGTGGCTTTCGAACGCATACCATACTCGTGTTCTGCTTGCTTGTGCAGTTGAAACCTTGCAACACTACTTGCAAGCAAAGCCCGACGACTTACGCCGTTTCAGACCTTAACGGTTGATTTTTATTCCTTTTCCCAAAATGAGTACCGCGGATGCTGTACCTACCCCCGATGTGGACTCCAAAGATGTTAAAGAGACAAAAGAAAAGCGTGGTGAGAAGCGGTCAGCAGACACCGAGGTAAGTGCCGTAAGTCCTTACTTTCCACCGCGAGCTGCGCTAATAAGAACGACCGGAAAAACATACTTCGGTTTCTTTTTACTTGTTTCTATGGATCAGTCGTAAGATAAGATGCTTCGTATAAGAAAAGAAGGAATTTCGGGAATTGTGAAATTTCCGCGTGTCAGAGGAATTACGAGGCTGCGAGCGGCTTCGATGTTGGTAAAAGCTAGCGGCTTTCTAAGTTGATATATCGGTAAATTGCCATTGTAGTCATGTAGACTCGAAGAGTGCTGATTGGATGGGGGGTGGAGCCCTAACACTGCCGCTTTACTGGGATACGATGCCAGTGCGCTGTTTTGTTAGACGCGATTGAGATAGAGTGCGGAAAAAATTGTTACTGTAGTGTGCTCTGTACAGTGTAGCCTTGCACATATCGTGACATATTATGATATTGCTGTAAATGTGTAATATAACTGTAAACCTCTGGTCCTCTTATAATAATTTTTATATATAATAATATTATGAATATCGTTTTGTACCATTAGTTTTATGTTTTTTTTAGCTTTTACCGTTAAATTTGAAGATGAAAAGTTTTGGCAACTTCAGCTTCCACGTTCCACGACCGGCTTTTGCGGCCGTGTCCCGAAGCCGCACGCATACGATAAGATCTCTTCTGAATGGGCGCCGTAATTCATTTACGTGCGCCTATTGTACTGCATATGTCAGTGGGATTTGCACAAGCCTGAACGTTCACGGAAATTTTGATATAATTATATGTTTACCTTTTTAAAAAAGAACTTCATAATCAGTACTGAACTATTTTCCAATAACCTAAAATTTGCGCTCGGCTTTCACCCAATGAAACATGGAAAACGAATTGTCATTGACGGTGTTTTTGAGCGGCCATGAATGAGACATCAGTCTGGGCGGTGTGAACTGAACACGGAACACCGTATTATTTGTGCGCTCTGGGATTGGGTAGGAAAAGCGTGAAGGGTGGGACTTCTTCTCATATTATACCGCGCATTGGATAGTGTTTAAGCGAATAGAGCTGAGCCAGTTCGGGTTTATTCCACGGCTCCGCCTCCTTAGGTTATAACATGCCGTTTGCACACGGCTCGCGGATGACGTTTTGTGATCTATAATATTAATCTAGAAACTTTCGAAATTCATACTGTTGAAATTATTTTTATCGTTAAAAAAATTACTGTTTAAATCAGAACAACAAGCGTAGTGGATTTTACTGTTAAATTTCGATGTGGTAGTCTCAGAATGTCACATGTACTTACTGCCGGCGGTGCAGTGTAAGGCGTCTATCGATTGTTGACTGCTCCAGATGGCAAACTGGAGAGGACAAACTTTGTGAGTTTGACACGTACGCTTTACCATGTAAAAATTTCGAAAAATCACCAAAAGCGCAAAATTATTAACATAGGCCTTTGTCATGCCGGCTGCAGGCGCACTGAATTGATTTTGAAAAGTGAGTACACTCTCAGTAAATGGCATTTTGGTTATCATTGTTAGACAAACGGCAAAGAAGAGCAAAATAAAAAACTTCAAAAAGGCACAGAAAACGGAGATGATTATGAAGAAGAGGAGGACGAGGATGTAAACGAGGACGAAGAGGATGATGAAGACGAACCGGAAGAGGAGGAACCTGAAGGAGAAGATGACGATGAAGAAGAGTACGGTGCAATTTTGCAGTTTGTACATTTCAGTTGGAATTTTTTATTATGTTATGTTTTTTTAATGTTCATTATGTTGCAGTACCAGATCAGTGCCCTGTTTGTCATCTTAAAAATTGTCGTTTTCTAGTGATACAAATGACGTTCCTGAAGACGACGATGAAGAGGAAGATGAGGAATAATTGGGAATTCACCAAAAAGCTTCTATCGTGCAATTCTCCAGTCCTCTCCATATCCGTGTTCTTGTTCCATCCAGCTGTTTTACATGATATAGAAACAAGCCCATTTCCAAACCGAAGCAAGACAGTTCTCTGTTTAACAAGAATTTTAACACTGTGCTCCACCTGTTTCTCTTTTTGGTTGTGAACAGTTGGCGGCGATTTCGTTTATTTCTCATGAGTAATTTTTAGCGGTGTGTATTCAGACAAACGGACAAGTAAAATTGGTGTATGTGTACTTACTGAAGTTTTCTCGGGAAAATGGTTGTTTGGCCGGTTTTTCGGCCGTACCGAAGAATCAGTTGTATCTCCGAACATTCTGCTGCTTTGCGATCCAAATACAGCAATTTTGTTTTCTTTTTGTATTTTCGTTTTAAACCCGCGCTGTGGTATTCTTGGTTGAACTTGTATGGAGTTTTTGGTTGAACGTTTAATTTATTGCACAAAAAATGTGAGTTACTGCAGCTGTGTTGCCTCGAATGGAATGCTGAGAAAAGATTCACAAAAGTCAACCGTTGCCATTAAATAATACGAAATTATTTCCTGAATCCTTGAAGATCTTATATATTATGTACAACAGTAAGTACTAAGTAATATAACTGAACTCTCACTCGTATAGTTCGGTTTTCTCTGAAAACTAGCCGGAAAAGGTCAAATCTAGCTTGCAGAAACAGTAAGTAGTACTACTAAGTACTAGAGTGGTACTTTATTTTTTACGGAATATGGACTATGATGGATAACAATATTTTAATCAAAAGTATTTATTCCGTCTTAAATTCTTACCGTAGAGGCGTAGACTCTAAAAGCACGGTGCGAGTAATGCGCATTGTATAGTACTGTAATAAAGGATAATTTTTTTCGCGGTATTAAAGGGGTGTTATTCAGATTGCGATACAACACCCTCAACAAGTTTCTTATAAAAGTGAAAGATTTGCACTAAATCCACAGCCGAGTACGGATTGTTGCATAAATACTCGATTAAAAATTTAAATAAATGTGCTATTATTTTATGTGCTATGGACATTGTAGTACTATTATTTTCAGTTTGTGCGATAGTTTGTTACTTTGTTAGAATAATGTTTATTCTTTGCCGGGCTTGAAATAAAAGAAATATAGATACCGTATCTAAGATACGTAATACTATGCACAATTGAACATACTGCACTGTACATAATATACTGTAATAAATTAGTAATAATTCTTTTTGTCGGATATTGCACGCATTGCGTTGCAAATTTGTAATGTAAATTACTTAAGACTCAAGTGTATAATTTAAATTAACATCACACTTTTGTACGACGTACTCTTAAAATTCGGTCTACTCTTCAGCAGCGATTGCGAACGAATAACTTCTGTTCAATAACTCTCTTAAGGTCTTCTAAACTCCGCGATAACATGCACAGAATTTAATTGAATCGGGAGTAGTCGTACAGGAAATAAAACCAAACCCAACGAGAAGATCACATTTTTGACAGCGTTCCATGTGCAATATAAACCGCAGCAGCTCCGGTGAGAACTACGAACAACTCGCTGTTAATGGAAGGGCCCGAGTAAGGATATCGAATGGAGTGATCTAAAGTGGCCAAGGCTTTAGCACCGGTATTTCCTTTGCGAACCAGCTGATAGCCGTCTTCATCATAAACTTTAATAGCAATGCCGGAAGAAGCAAAGTTCTTGGTTTCGTCGCTGATACTGATTTGATATATATATTTCTTTGGATTCTCCTCATTACGGGCTGCAGCATAGAGTTTTCCGTTGTATTCGGCGTACAGAGGAAACGACGAGGGCACTCCGCCTTTGCAGGTGAGCTCAAGATCCGCAACTACAGTGGTGTGCTGGCTGACGGTAGAGTCCGCCACGGACTGCACTTTGCCTTTCACTTCGGCGCCACTGCAAGTTGCCCGAACGGATGCCGCAGACAACACGACTCCGAGAAAAAGGACGGTAGGGAGGTTCCCGAACATTGTGTTCTGCAATTTTTGTAATAGCGTCAAACCTTGTAATGCGACCAAACGTTCGAGCTGCAATCAAATTCGTACATGCGGTAAGTATATTTTTTCAGATTTCATTTCCGCTATTTAGGCCTTGTAAAACGGGAAGCGTTTCAACTATCAACCTATTCAACTAGGATACGGCTACCATTCTTGCACTATAACTTACCCTCGATGATAAAATTTGGACAGTTCCCAAGTGCTCGAACACCTTCAGAAAGAATGTGCGTATAACGTATTCGAGAGTTAAAAAACTCTTCGGTTAACGGTTAGTTTAACTTTTTCAAGCGGTAAAACTGTAAAACAAATTAATTCCAAAATATTTTTAACAACTACTTTAACACTGTGTAAGCACTAAGCACTGAGCAGTAAGCAGCACGCGCGTGTTGTCGGTGTTTTACAACAGTCTGCGGTGACGATTTGTGGACGATTGCCGCGTTGGAGTTTTCGTAGTCAAAACAGGGAACTCATTTTCTCAGCTGTAACCGTTTCCGGTTAGCGAACAAAGAGTACCCTGCTCGGAAGTCGTCATCGGTCATCCTATGAATATGTTTCATGGCAGAATCTATTAATTGCAACATATGGCGTCGTATTCATGTTTTGCTTAAAACGGAATTAATAAGTAAGATGTCCGGTCGGATGTCGGATGTACTAGTAGGCTAGTAGTAGCGTACGTCGGATTCCTTCTACGAGAACAGTGTGGAGAACATCCGCGACCTGTTACCTGGACTCACCTTGATGCCTTTGACGTGAGAGCCGACCGTCTGATTACTCATTTCACTGATTTGCAGGATTTTTGGAATTTGGTCGCAAAATTAGTAGTAACTGCTCAAGTTCTAACAATTTAAAACTTTAATTCAACTGCAGAATTTCGAAGTCGTAGAATTGTACAGATTTACATTATACGATTGTTGCTTAATAATATTGTATGAAATTTTACTGTTTGCACGGCGAAGTATTGTTGTTAAATTTGTGAAGATGTAAAGATGGACAGGTGATCATCTGGTGATGCAGATGCTTTTAACTTTTGTGACGTTGTGATACGTGAATCTGGAAGAGGCAGCCTCAGTCAGGAAGACAAACATTTTGTGAGTTTATTCTCATTTATATCGCGACCCGCGAGCGTTTCTATAAACTCCAAAATATTATGCGTATGCAGCGCGAACTTGGTTAAAACGTGACGGCATAATTGGAACTAATCATCTGTTTTTCCAGTCTTTGGTTAATGTCAGTGCCAGTCTTGCCACATACCTAAACAGAAACTTGCTCTAGACAATCTAATCGGTCTACCCGTAGTGGGTCTAACTCTCAGTTACTCTCTGGTCATATTTTCCCACAAATTTCACAAGTTCATCAGTCATCCTTGTTTTCTTTTCCCAGGCGCAGGCACACAGACTGTGTTGCATCCTTCTCCAGTCTTGACAAGGCTGTTGAGTGTTGCAGTTGTGCCATCTCTTCCTTCTAGCAACGTGAACATTCGTTAGCTATTTGGACCCCACATTCAAATTCGAAGGATTGGCAAGAGTTTCAGAGGTAGTGTGCTATCTACTATTACGATTAATAAATGACACATATTAGGTTAACCAGTTCATGACTTCATGATTACAACGTTTTCGCTAAATCACATGCTTAGAGTTACTCACTGTTACTGCAGACATATTTCGAGTGAGGGCTGTCCCTAAATTTTAAATTCACACCATATTCTGTTAACATTTGAAGTGGTTTCATCGATTTTCTTCATACACTGACAGTCACCTGTTGCCGTCGCTTAGGTTCCCTCCGAAGCAGATGGTAAACATGGATAAACTGCGTCGTCACTTGAGTGGAGATGTGGAAGAGAACCGTGGCATCGTGGATGAGCTGTGGGATGCCACGAGTTTATCGTGGGAAACACGCATCAAAGGCTTTATTGGCTGTTTCGTGCTCGGCGTGGTCTTGTCCATTCTCGGTTCGTGTTTCCTATGGATTCCTGGTGGTGGTCTCACCCTGTTCGCTGTGTTTTACACCTTCGGAAATCTCCTGAGCCTGGGGAGTACGTGCTTTCTGATGGGCCCTATTAATCAGATCAAAAAGATGTTCAACGAAACCCGGTGGATTGCCACACTGGTTATGATTGTATGCTTTGCGCTCACGCTGATGGCGGCACTCTGGTGGCATAATGCTGCCTTGGCGCTCATCTTCTGTGTTCTCCAGTTCCTGGCCATGACTTGGTATTCCATTTCCTATATTCCCTACGCACGAAACGCCGTCAAAGGATGCCTATCTGCCTGCATCAACTAAAATTAACGGTTAGTTGATAAGTAGATGCTGTCGATTTTTTCTGTATTTAATTATTAATTAACTTCTGTCTTTTATATCCAAAAGCTCACCTCTTCAGCTCCGTTTTGCATGTTTTTGATGGAATTTTGGTTAATCAGTGTCAACGCTTTGTGGTTGTTTTAATGCGACTCAGTGTTAAATCACGACTGCGTTTTGAAGGCAGCTTCTGTAGATTACTTAAGTTAAAATAGAACACAGATGTTAATGTGTCAGTATAAAAACTCATGTCAAAGATTGAAAAATGCCCTTATAAAGCTGATCTTGGCTTGCAAAAGCATAACTTCTTTTTGAGTGCATTGCAGTATTTTATGATCAATAATAACGTTATTCTCGTAGTGAATTGCTGATTGCAGAAGTTGAGCTTAATGATTACTTACAGTCAGATGTTTTGGAATCGAGTAATCAGAATGGGCGAACGACTTTAACAGCAGTAATGAAACACGTTGATTAAAAATAAACGCACTTCTTTTGTTGAATGGACATACCTAAAAGGGCTTCAGTGCATGCCTAAATACAAAATCATTAGATGGCCTTTTATTGCTGCAGAACTTTTTTTTGGCTGTACCCTTAGGCTTGATGGAACCAATATTTGACGCGTGATTGTATCGTATTTTAACGAACGGTATAACGATGTAGCACATGGTATGGAATTACCTTTACTGTTCGCAAGACTGGTTTTCCAGACTAACTTAAACATGTGTAACCACGTAGTATATTGCTTATTGTGATTTGCCTTCAAACGGAAAGCGGAATCTATTGGGCATAGTTCGGCGCGATGTGTATCGTTGGTGCTGCTGTTGTTTTCCGACGCACAAGTTATGCCTCAGTGGAAAATAGAATTTTGAGTTCTTTTTATTTGTAAATGTTTATTTGTTTCTTTTTTATTTGTTTCTGGAAATGAGTAATTGGATACAATATATTGATAGTCTTATGATAGGATGCTCTGGCAAGTGAGATAAGCAAAGCTAGTATTAGCTAGGTGCCCATAGTACATTAAATAAAACTGAAAATCTACTTAAAAATTCAGGAATTGGTATCCTTGGTTTTTAAATTACACAAATTCGTTTGCGAGCTCGCTAAACTTGAAGCTTTCGAATGATTCTTCTTTGCATGCTTGATACTCGTATTATGCCACACTTTGGAGTAAAAAAAAACTATCTTTTCCGACACCGACGTGAGTGATGTTGTATATTTTGTACTTATTATACAGTCAACTTGTACTGTAACTTTCCTCAGTTTCCTGTTAGCGAAGTTTGCACCAAATACTGTGTCATATATATAAATGCCCATAAACATGGACAAATTACGACGACATCTCGGTGGGGGGAATTCCGATGATCAGCAAGGGATCGTCGATGAACTCTGGGAATCTACTTCGTTATCATGGGGCACACGCATCAAGGGGTTTATTGCTTGTTTTGTGCTTGGAGTTGTCCTGTCCATCTTGGGATCGGCCTTCTTATGGATACCTGGTAAAGGACTCGCATTATTTGCTATATTCTATACCCTGGGCAATCTGCTCAGCATCGGGAGCACATTTTTTCTGATGGGTCCAGTGAAACAGCTGAAAAGCATGTTTGCGGAAACGCGCTGGTTGGCGGCATGTGTTATGATTTTGTTTTTTGTTTTGACCCTAATGGCCGCACTGTGGTGGAAAGCGGCTCTGGCAGCACTGATTTTCTGCGCTTGCCAATTCTTGGCTATGACGTGGTACTCCATTTCTTACATTCCGTATGCCAGGAATGCTGTGAAAGGTGCTATGACTTCCTGTATGGGCGTCTAAACCCTAAAGCACTTCGCGTTCTACCTAGAGATTTTAGTTTTGCATGTTATTTACTGATTTATTGTGAGGCGTTTGATTGTGATTATATTTTCGTTTTCGACAGTGTTTGTAAGCATTCGCGAAATGGTGTTTGCGTAGTTTTTCATTCGCAGAACTAGTAAACCAGAATAATCTCACTGGACGGGTTTAGTGTTTTAAGAAAAATCAAAACACGGTTGTACAGAGTAAGCATAGCAAATACTAATAAAAAAGCACCGGTTTTGACCAAAAATTATCATTGAGATCAAGATGTAAAAGAGAACGTCCGAGAAAACTGCTGCTAATACAGATAACAAATTCAAATCATAACCGCTGAACTTTCACCGTGGTTCGCGTATGGATCAGGGATCCATATAAAGAGGGGGAATTGATGCAGATGATATTTTCAGGCAAACTGCCGTTTTTCCGCTTTGGCGAGTTAATCACGAGATTTCATGAAAGAAATCCATAGCGAGATCCTTTGGGTAAAAGTATTCAGGTAAAGCAGATGTTAAAAAATAAGGGAATGCAAAGTATAAAATCTTCCGTGAATTAAAGGGCACTCATTCGCAGGCCAATTTCCCATCGAAACTGCTAAGCGCAATGGCAAAGGCTTGAAGGGCACACATGGGATAGCAGTAATCCATCGTAAACACATCCTCCGCGACACGCCCAAATTGCATGACAATGTATTCGACTGCATAATATCCGACAGAAATTAAAATGATGTAGGACGCCAGTACATATGCAGAACTCTTACCGTCATTATCAGGCACAATCTGAAAATTCTTTACGGATGCTTGAGTGACTCTTCCATGGAAATTCAAAACGTATGATTGGGTTTCTGCAGTGAAAATGGTTACAGCAGTTTCACGAAGATGAAATTTGATTCACAGCAGTCTTTTCATGTGCATTTTTCAATGTGCATTAACACTTTTCAATAAAAACTTATCGTTGTTCATTGTACTGTAGTTCAGACTATACCTTCGTTCCACACAGGAGTTTTATTATGCAGGCAAATTATGTTTTCAACTTTGTGATTTCTCCAGCGCTCCACAATACCGTCTTCTTCCTAGAGACAAAACGTAGTTTGTTAATCGGTTGGTATTATTTCGATTTTCTACCTTTAACAAGAATACTTACGCTAGTGCTACGAAAATCAACGTATTCATTTTCATAATTAAGCCCCGGCAACAGCACCGTCATCTTTCTGGGGCCTTTGAAACCAAGAACATTTGTTTCCTGTTAAACAGAGAGAGTATACAGATGCATTAATATAGTTTCACGAGAAAGAGACAGAGCCAGCTTTGATAATTTACATAAATGATGCCCGCCAGTTCCTTTCTCTGTGCCCCCTCGAAACTTCCCAGGACACCGCCTTTTTTAGGATTATCTCCACTGTCAAACACAGTGAAATGGGTTCCAAGCAAATTCGATCTACAACAACACAAACACTTTCTTATCCCTGAGGAATCAGCAACATTGATGTAAGTACTAAATATACATAATGCACTGCGCGGGTGGTGTTTAATATAGCGCTCGCTTCCGTACCGAAGCTTGCCGACGAAAGATTCTCCGCCTCGAGTGAGATTGGTTGGGTCCGTTGAGATAAGATAATTAGAGGTTGCGCTCTTTTTCCTCTTTCTCCCGGCCAGCAAAAAGATTGGCTGGAATAAGGAAATTCAGTTTACTGTGCCAGATGTCTGTGAGCGAGTACTCAAATTTGCATAGCATTAGCGGCTCGCCCTTCAAAGAACGCATGTATTTTCACATTTAACGATAAGGAATGGAACGTCTTGTACATACATAATTTACATAGCCTCTTGTGCTAGAAAGCTGCACACTTTGTACCTACGAGAGGAGCATCTAACCCTATACATATTTATGAAAAAAAACAGAAACGATTCTTTTCCGAGGAGAGATAAATATTATATTAGGCAAATAAATACGTATGTAGCATACTGTATTTCATACGCACGTATCTAGCATAGGCACGTACTCTATTTCATTTAGAGTATTTATCTTACTTACTCTACTTATTTACATCTACATTGTGTTCTACAAACATTTAATCGTCCTCGTATAAACTACAAATGAAAACATGTCATGCCCTAATAATATTAAAACTACATTTTTAAAAACGAGGAAAGAATGCAAATTCACACCTTTTTCGTTTCGTCACGTTCAAGATGAAGATAGTAAGTGGGGAACAAACCCCGATCCATGCCTTTCCTGTCTCGCGTGATGCGGCATCGCACGGTTATTCCCTGTGGAGCAGGTTTAACCGAAAATGCTTCCGGATGTTCCGCCACATCAGCCGCATCAAAGGGAAAGTTTGGATCACTTGCGGAATCCAGATCTTGTAGCGCTGGATTATTGTGGCCAGATAACAAATCCTACAGCCCAATGCCAATAAATAATCCTGTACACACGTATTTTATTCGAACTTAAGTAGGCAGTTTACGACTTCCGCCCCATTAAACCAGATGGTTACGTATACGTTGCACTGCATTGCCATTGCAGTCAGTTAGCACTGTTACTGCTTCGACAAAGGAAAAAATCAATCTTGACCTTGCTAAATTACTTACCACATTTGGAGTGCTAGAAGTATTGCCGTTTATTGGGCGGCCAAGACTATTAGGGGGAATTCTTTCCATGGGAATAATGGGAGTCGTCTCGGTTCCAGCTGCCTCGAAATCCATCAGTGGGGCAAAGGTCATCTCCGTATCGGTTCGACTGACCTCCTCTGATGATTTATTGCACATTAAGAATTCCATTTAATTCAGGCAAATTGTATTAATGCTGAATTCTATTGCATTCTGTACACTTCCAGTGTTTCAAATCATGAAAAGTAACAATTACTCAAATAAGGTAATAATTCTCTAATAGCGGTAAATTGGTAACTGTTGGATAACTGATCTCAAAGAGGTATGCCGACGTGGTGCAAACCGCAAAGAGAAAGCTAGAATATTACAATCATACGCTATTGGCTACCATACTGGAATAGACAGTATCATGAATACCACTAACCTCGTTCTGAGAGAAAATTGTGGGAAACACTTGAAGTGATCTGGTGTGTAGTGGCGCTAGGAGTAACCTCCACCGTTGCCGGGCTGATGGAGAAACCATCCGGACCATTCACAGCAAACTGCAGCGGGCCATCATAGCCTGCAATCGTTTCTTTGCTTTCACTCTTGTTGTAAAAACAAATTGTGCTTCCTGGCCTAATCCTTCACATTTACAAGATGAACTGCTTCTGCGCCTGGAGTTGACTGCGCGGGTTACGCAATTTGCATAAATACTAAGACGCGAATGGCACGGCTCGGTGCAGAGCAAGCGGGATGGCGTGTGCAGCTGTGGCACCCAATTGTAAATGTTTCCACTAGGATAATGATACAGAGTACTTCGGCGCCCTGCGTATATCGGCAAAGCGAGTGCAAAAAAACCACAATTACGATCGATATTGCAACAGCTCTGAATTCTCCCCAGATGGAAGAACGATAGGTTGAAGTAGAAAAGAAGTTTGGAGCATACAACCAACTAAAAGCCGGGGATCAAATTGCGGTTAAAAAATATTTGAGCCACTTCTTTCTCTCGTTTCACTGGATAAATTCGATTACGCATGCGCTGTGGATATACATGTACGCATTAACGGTCGACCAAATCTAATTTTGTTAGACCGTAGCCTTTCATTTAAGAGAAAGTGAAAAAATCGATTTGATTTTACAACAAAGATGGGCAAAAAGCTAAAAACTTTGATCGATAAAACGCTTCTTTATTACCGTTATAAACAAATCATAATTTACCGCAAGTTAGAAATGCTGCGCAACTGGATTGGTGGAGCCGTAGAAGTACTGCTTCGATGTAAATACGTTTACTACAAACATTATTATTATCAGGTTATTATCAATTTATTATTAGCCGGGCCTCTGGAAATGCACATTCTGATGATAATGTATGGTGCAATACTGCATATGCTGCAACCTGTACAGTGTGCAGTGATGTCCAGAACTATACAGAGAAAAAATGAAGGCATTCAAAAAACATGCCGCTTTTTATTCTGTTTTTCGAGCTATATTATTTTTCGACTGTTCTAATTTTCCTAATTGCCATATATAATAATTATCCAGGGAACTGTCAGCTTTCAACTGCACTGGGCTTCGACGAGTACTTAACAGTTGCTCGAACTTTGTTACAGACCTCCGATACCAGACCATGCCGAAACTGCACTTATTATTGTATTGTATTGTACATACTTACTGTAAAGTGTACACCTATTGTACTTGGCACTTGCCATACGTATAGAATTTGTAGTGCTATATTGTAAGTTTTGCTCAACATCTTGTTTTGTTTGTTAAACTTTTTGTGTAATAGCCCGTTCACATGACAATGAGCCGGCGGTAGCAAAACTAATTATGTTTATTTATTTCAGAATTAAAGCTTAAACGTGTAATTTTTGTGACGGTAACCAGCCTGGAAAAGTGCGGTTACGTAAACTCTTTGATATCGGTTTGAAACAAAAGTTTTCCAGAATTTTTAATTGCACCCTCTTTTCAGTTACCTTTGTGCGCTAGTATTTTGGTAGAAATGTCAATTGACGTACGGATACTACAGTATAGTAAAACCAAAAAGTAACATAAGTTCGCAGGCCTTACCGTGAAGCGGTGTTACGACCGAGCTACTGGCAGACGACACGTCCATCAGCGGTTTGGATTCTTCTCGATTTTTTGTTTTTGCCGTCTGTGGTCGGCTGTAAACGTACTGATTTGTAGCAGGTTCGGTATTTTGACGAAGGCCGCCAGCCCGCGCTTGTCTCTTCTGCTTTTGTTTTTGTTCCGCCAGTTGCCGCTAAAACAAATAAATTTGTTATTCAGAATTTAGTGGCACGTAATTTTAAAACTCAGAATCATTCGTACTATGTATTTAACGGGATTTCATCCGTCAAAATCTTACTGATAAGCTATTATCAATAGCTAACAAAAATATAGGCACGATGGCATTGCTTCGCAATGCGAAAAATTTGATTAACTGGTTCCCTTGAATCTGATTAGCGATTCAAATACCATATTTGACATAAAACTGCCACGCCTCGACTTTTGTGATAGTTTTGATGAATAATATTATTATGTACAGTATCTAACTATGTAGTTAGCTTATATTGCACGTCTTCAACTTCTACAGTATTAATATTGCAAGGGTCCACCGTCCAAGATAAGCAAATCTGGATCATGATCATACATGAGAAAGAAAGTTTGCGTTAGCTTGCACTCATTGAACTCGTAAAATGTTTTTGTGAAACGCAGAGATTAGAGAACTTGCTGCAGTGAGCTTCGGTAGTTAGATGCGCCATTTTGGTGCATTTACCTTCGAAATGCAAATTTTTCTTACGTTCGGTACGTGATATGACTTAATACGTACTCGTATCCGATCAACTTAATTTTCAATCTGCAGCATCAGCGGTGCAAAACAAAATCCTGCAGTTGAGTAGCTTCTGAATAGTCATGGCTATATTTCGCAACTCGCAATCCCTTGGGAACCCTGTTGAGCTCCCGAGAGGGTGAAATGTAATATAAAATACAAACATATCGCACATATTGGCCACATATTTATATAAACATGGTCGCTAATATGAATCATACAGCTTTCGCATTTTCTCATTCAGAAATTTTCGTTGCGTCCACTATTCTGAAGTGGCGGCATCTGCGCGAAAGTGTGCGTTCCGGCAGATTTCAGATATCGCAACGTTTTCCTGAAACTGGGCCACATTCTTACTCGGAACAAAAGCAGAAAGAAGAGCGGCATCCTGCAGATTTGTACGGATGGCAAGGAAAGTCCAGATAGGCAATGCTGCACAGCAGCATGCACGTTCCGGTCCAGGGCGCAACTCTGGTCGGTTGCACGGCCTGACAAAGCGATCGCTCACACAATAAATCGTATTCTTCCCAAGTTAACGGTATCATGGGTACGAAACAAATCTCGCGCTAAATTCAGGTAAAATAGTCCGTATGCTGTAGTTTAGCACAGCATCATGGCCCGAAACGACACGCACTGCGAAGTATAGTAAGGTCAAGTAATCCGGCGCAACGATGTATCGCTGACAATGACTTGGAGATGTGATCCAGGATTAACAAAAAACGTTCAAAACAGCGTTTCAATCGTCGCATGTGTCATTTTTAAGCGTAAATGACAGTTGTCAGCGCCCATTTAAAGACATTACTTGACTCGGATGAGACCAAGTCAAACAAAATTTCGGCAAGAAAACTTTCCACAACAATCAATCTTATGTCTTGTATCTCCGGCTGCTGTACTACTTCCTCTTCCAATGATGAAACGCGTACAGATACGGTATATAGGAGGGATAAGAGAGAATATATAGCGGAAAAGGCAAGTGAAATTCAATGAAGCATAACCATCAAATTATCCCCTTTCGCTGATACTTGACGATGGCAGGCAGCAATTTATCGTGGATGAGTTTAGTGGGAATTCGGTAGACGTTATAAGGTTGCTCACCGCGAAATGGGACGTCACAGCAGGCCAAGAAGATCGTTCATTGTAACTAGTACGCACTCGCCATGACATAATGGGATACATGGCGAGTTGCTATTACTGCTGCGAATGTGTATATGTGTCTTCGTGAACCAAAACAGGACACTTTCAAGTAAAGCGTACTATACACTACACTTGCAATCGGACGGCTGCAGTGGGCAGACACCGTGTTCTTGGTGCAATCAAATTGGTAACAAATGATAATCAAGGGATTTGAATGACTGCAGCCTGGTCTGTCCAATTACGACAGCCACCATTCGTCAACGGATCAGCAAAAGTTAACGAGTGCTACGACGACAAATTATCCGTGCCCAGGCCAATGCGCAGAGTTACTAATAATAATGACTATCGTTCCGCCGCGTACTGTCACCTTACGTCATCATCAGCGACCGATACTGTATAACGTTCCTGAATCCCGCCGAATTAACTATTTACCGGTAGGCTAATTAAAAAAACGTCGTTCGCTTCCAGGTAAACAGCGAGCACATTAACGGAATTCTAACCGTAAGCTCGGGCGCATCCTATGCGATGCAAGATATGCGATCTACAAAGATTAACGCAGCAAGATATTAGGTTAAAAATTAAAACCACCTTGCAGAATCGTTTATCGAGAAGAACTTGCAGCTAAATCTCGATATTACACGCACGCAAGTACAGTACAGTATCGCATGTGTCTCCTACCAGCACCACGCAGTAGCACTGATTTCATAAACGGTTTCGGTTATGGGACTCAAGCAGCCCATAAAGCAACCGTGACATGAGTATCGCGACATGCGTATTATATGGCTACCACAGCAATCGATAGGGATAACTCCACTCCGCAAAAATCAATTTGCTCTTGTTCCTCAAAATTACGACCGTTGTGAGGGTAGCTCTTCATGCCACCATATTCGTAATCGCCATCCGATCGTAAAATAATGCGAATGGTAAATTTCAAATTGCGCGAATCGATCCAGTCTACGGCTACAGGCACACGTATCCGCTTCATGATCATGGCAGCGGCGCATCTACTCTGTATATCTGTAGACTACTTGTATGCATGATCATGATCCTGGAGCCGGCACAAAAGTAAACGTTTGTGCAGTTGCAAAATGTAGTAACTATAGTAAGTAACTACGAGGCTACGAGTACGAGTAAGCCACATAGAAGTTCTAGTTTGATGACCAATAATAGAGTGTAATAATATAGTGTTAGTAATATAGTATTATTAATAATACAGCTGAAGAGTTGTTTAATACTGAGAGAAAGATTTATTAAGCTTGAGTATAGGGGGGTTTCTTAGGTTGTATTACGTACGCGTACAATGTATGCCCCTATTTGCTTATAATCATTCAGTTTATTCTAACATAATGGGCACGGTTTTTTGGAAGAATGTTTATTAATCGACAATCTTGTTGCATCTTGATGATACGAGCCCCAAATGCTCGTGGAAGTCTTCAGAACGGTTTTGTGATCACGACTGTATGATCACAATCACGAGTGACGCTTTGCAAGCCATAATTAACGATCACATATGCGTTACGGTAAATATAAAAAATTCCAATAATGTTGCGTATTGTTCAAGTTGTGGGCAACAGCTTTGTTACGACGTATTTAACGAAGCCGTATATACCCTCAAGGCTATGTAAAATAAGAAATTTTAAATCTATATTGTGAGCTTGCAATTGTTGTTGAAAGCAATATAAGATGTTTAAGCGCTGCGGTAACAAATGTTTCCTCGTTGGCATACGATTGCTTTAAATCGCGAACGAACACCAGAAGACAATTGCAACTTAAAGAACCAACCTGAAAATCTAGACGATCTTGTCTTACGAATCCCTCAGCATCCATTTCCGGCCACTCTCCCAGTAAATGATGGATTCGGTCGTCTTCCTAAAAATAACACATGTAAACGTTTCTCGCATTGCAATATGTAATTCAAGCTTTTACAAATTTCAATTTAAAATTTTAATTACAAAAATATGTTTTTATATTATTGTCAGTATTTAAACTGGTATGCAGTATGCTTAACATGCTTATACTTCGCCATTCATCCATTGGTTTTCATTCTAAACCTACACAGCTAGACTAGTGTATTTATAGCGCTTACGTCTGCGATACCGCTAATCGTTTGCGTAGCATGCTGATGAGGAATATCCGCACTAACACTCATGGTAAACCATAAACAAAACAACAGTATGGACGTCCTGAATTTGAACTACTGTGCGCACATAAAGCAAAACATGAACGCAAAAATAAATAATCAGCTGAAAACGGTTTGTTCCATAATGTAATCCAGTGTCGCTGCTACCGCAGTTCAAAGGCAGTATTAATTTTGATAAAAGTCAGAAGCATATTTTTCAATTTTGTACAGCTAAGAGTTAATTTAAAACTCATGCACTGTGCAATGGAAAGTACATGGACGATGCCAAGTCGAAGGCAGTTTCTTTCGCAACAACAATTAGTAAAATCGTAACAATGATTTATTATGGTAACAATGGCCAGTACTTTGCAAACAAATACCGACTGTAAAAACGATAGGGATATTCATCTCAATTTTCCAACTTCAGCGAAAGTTCATAATCAATTATCTATGGTCTCTAGGAAACATCCGCCATCCCCAAAAATAAGGAAACTAATTGCTATGAATAGGTTGGTAGATAGACAAATTCCCCTCGTTTTCAAGCTACGAATTTATACTGCAAAGAAATATTCAACGGCTGGCCCTTTTGTGTCTTTTGCCGGATATGCATTACGCAGTTTCTCACGCCGAAATGCTAGTACTACCCTAACGATCACAAATACATACCTAATACTGCCCATAATCTGCCATAATATTATTGTTTTATTAATGATGCACTTATGGTTAGCTGGCGCGCATCACTACATGTACTAGTACAGTATTGTACTTCAATGGAACTGGGAAGCTCTACTGCATGCACAGACTCTAGTATACTGCGTAGAATTTGACCAGCCAGCAAACGTAAAACGGGTAGTTTAACGATTCTGGTTTATTTAAACGATTTTGAGTGCGCGTAATGCACGATCTGCAAATGCAGTACCTCCAGTTGGTGTAGAGTTTGTTTCAGTTTCAGCAGTTGGTAAGAATTGCATTAACGATATTTTGACACTAGATTTTTGCATTACTGTAAATTTGCTGCACGTGACCTATAATGCAAAAGGGGCGACAGAAACCAAGGTCACCCGTTGAACTATCAAGAGCGCTATTTTATATGAATAACTACAGAGAATATGACCATGGGGACCGTCTGCTGTCGCGATTGTTGAGGAGCTAGGCAAAAGGCTTCAGCAGCATACTGCAGAATCCCGCTCCCATAAATTTCTGCAGCAACGACTATCGCTGGAACGCGGCATCTGTACTCGGAACAGTGGGCGAATCGGATAAATTAAATGCGATTTTTCTGTTATAATTACTTGTTGGCTTACTCACATTATGTCCAAAAAAGTGTAATTATGCAGTATACTCAATAAAAGTGTAGAACTATGAATAATTACTCTGTACCACTTGTATATGTACAATACAGAGTGCACACTTCGTCACTTTGTGCCATATTGAATGCTTGAGTAAAACAGAATGGAAAAAATACAGAGTACACTCTGTACATCCATTTTAAACGTAAAATTTTCGATGCAACTTCCAATGGTTTTAGGTTTAACGCATGTATGTTTTTGCGTGCTGTTGTTTTCCTCGGGATCTGGTAATCTCACCTTTGCATGATAGTAAGGCGCTTCTTTTTTCACATAATTATCATATTTTGCTTCTAAAAACAACATAATTACTTTGTCATTTTTACATTGATATATCAGTTTGTATTGCATTTCCCGTAATATACAGCCCTGATCGAGACCCTGACCCATTGTTTTGCGTGCACCCAGCGCGTTTTGTTTGCAGTACGTACACATACAGATACAATTACTTTGTATTACCAAAGGTTACTAATTACTAAAATGCACAAAATATTAGCACAAAGTTAAAGAGCCAAGATAAAGAAATCATTATAAAAATAATACAACCAACAGTAATTTGTACCATACTTTATCAACAGTTGTTACTATCAAAATCACACAGTGGAGCGACAGGTAGCGTGGTACCGCAGGAGAACAACAAAAAGGGTCGCCCTGCAGGAGACCAACACTTCCAAATAGTTATATTTATACAAATTGCTTGGCAGATGCTTTGACCGCGTGGAGTAGTGCGTTATTAAAAAGTGTGCCAATAGCATATCCCGAGGAAAACACAAAAACTTTAATTAGTTGAACATGTAAGTACCGCTATAGGAGAACGGATGTGTCCGAATTCTGGCCTTTAACTAACGTCTAGAGTAGCTTATGTTTTTTCACAAGCTGTTTTATTTGAGTATTTATTTATTTCATTTGCACTAAAATCAGGGTAAGCTTCTGTTTGCATACATATTTGGTTCGTTCAAAGCGATTCTGAAATAACTCTGAACTGACCTTTAAATTTAACCCTGTGTTGTACCGCTCTTGCTGGCTTCTATTTTCTGTAAATCTGCAAAGTCAAAAAACAATATGCTCGGCTCATATTTTATGAAATGCAAAATATACCAGTATGGTATGATCATGTGCATTTCCTGCTGTTCTAGCATGGGACCATTATGGATGCATTCATCATGCATTTACGTAAAAAAATTTCAAAGGTTTTCCAGCTTTGTTTGCACGCGATGCTATACGATATATGTGGATTTGTACAAGTATTACTGGCGCGGAAAGGTTTATGCAACCATGTTCGTCCAGGACGATCGCATGCAACGGACCGACCAGACATGGAGGTCTCGTTAACCAGGTTGTCTACTGTCTGCACTTGAAGTAGGAATAGGAATAAATTAAAGGTTCCTCCATGGAGCGTATAGCATCGATCCCACAGCACAACGCAGTTCACGTGTAACAACTGCGATGTACTGTAGGCTATGTAATACGGTTACGGTAGACCATGAAGTGTTCCTTCCACATGTATGGTATACGTACTGAAGTACTTATTTGGGTTTGGAATTAGCACTAGCGGTAACGTAAACATGCACAATGTGTTACAGTAGCACTCGAGATACTGAAAGTCGAGCCGTGCATAGATCTGCATCATATCTGTTAAGTAATCCCAGGATCTACCCGATCGATGTTCCTACGTACAGCGTACACAAACCATCAACCAAAAAAGCACATCCGTAAGCACAGAGCCGCCGGTGGGCTCCGCGCTAACTGGAATTGATGAATTCTCACAACCAACCTGCAGTCTCTTTGGGATAGAATAGCAGTTTAGGCGCTTTAATTATATGGTACAATTTCCAGGCGGTTCGCGCTTATTATATGAGCTGCTCATCCTGCGGAGCGGATGTGTCGGCAGCTTGTTTATTAAGAATTATCATTTCGAAGAAGCAAATTTTCTAAGAAGTCGTCGCAATTTGAGAACACCGGTTCTTCCGCTAAAGAGTATTATTATTCAAGTATCTGCTAAAAGCAAATAAAAATTATAGTACAGTATTAATTCTCTTACGATCGAGCATTGCAAATAATAATATCGAAGCTCAACTATAACTTCTGTCGGCATAATGTTAAACTTGAGGGCATAAGAGAAGTATTCAGTAATTCACGTCGTCAATTCAATATACGAGTCTACTTGTTCTTGCTTTACAGATCCATCCTCAACTACCATCCGTTTTATTTCACCGAAAATATACTTAGTGTGAAATTCTCGGGTATCGGGTTTTAAGTGGTAACAAATGATAAGGTGAAACTCTTAATTTAATTTTCACTTATGGTTAGTACTCGTAATATACTTTGTACTCACGTTCTCAAGTTGTATTGAAACCATAGATCCTACGTTTTTGGAGCAGCCGGTTTGTCAAGTGTTAACTATCACAACTCATAAGCAAATAGACAGATTCTACCTATAGCCAAACCCGCAACTGAGTTTGATTGACCATTTCATTCGCAATAATAATGTGAGTAATTAAAATAATTATTGTAACGGAAACTTCAAAGATAAAATTCTTTGCGACTAATAGCATAATATGATTAGAGAACGGTGGAACGTTTGTTGTTTAGTCACTTCCGATAAACAGTATTCAAAAATTTTACTGAGTTTCAGCTCGTGTGTTCGCTTTATTTGTTCGAGCATGAAGAAATAACGACACTTTCATGAAGAAAGTTAAGAATGGAAATAGTGGTATTGAAAATAACAATTTGCTTTTACTTTACTGGCACCTGAACGGAGCTGATTTTGGAGTCGAAAGGAAAATTATGTTCAAAGATTAATAGCTGGATATGTGCGCAATAAATTTGCTATAGCAGCCAATAATATCGCGTTTTCTAATTAATGTCCCGTTATTTATTACTTACAATAAGCTGCGTAACGAGAAAAAATTGTGGAATTACTTACTTTAACTTTAGTGAAACGCATGTTCAGTACTTTGGAAATTAAACTAAAATTAATGTGATAATTACCGCATACTTACTATTTAAACCGGTTCTTGAAGGATACGGAAATTTCAGTTCCCGGCAGCGCCGAGAAACAATCTTCGAAGCTAATAAATACTGGGCTGCGGCTGAAATGTCTGTAATTATAATAAAAACATTTTGATATACGTAAGCACACACCGAAAACAATATCAGTAGTTAGCCTCTCTAATGGATTATACTAGCAAGTGTTATCCTCCTATGTTCTTACATCCTATTGTTCCTGTGCTTACTTCATATGCTGCATTAACGTTGTTACGAATCATTTTAACCGATGACGAACGAAGGCATAGAGCTTATTACCGTTTTCTTGAAGTGTCAACTCGGGAACACAAAAAATGGATATCTGCGCCACCTTCAGCGCAGTGCGCGTAATAAATAGTCTGTCTGGCGAATTTCCGTTAGAAATGTACCGTAGAAATTGCCAGTATACAGTGCTTGTATTCTAAAAACTCATTTTGACAAGTTCCTTGGATCTCGCGATTATAAGTCTTCGCAATCAGACCAGATAGTATTGACCAAACTCGGAAATTGTAGGGAACTGTGTCATCCGGCGCTGCACATGCATATACTGTATGCTGTCGTGGATGAACTGATGAGACACATACGGCATTCATCAATATAATGCGATAACTAGGTTCTGATGGTGTTTTCTAAAGCATTAGTGCTCTGGAAGAGATCTACAGCTTGTGCGCGCCGTTCCCTCAAGCCTTCTAGCTTTATACAGAGCATCCTGCAGCTCCAGTTCAGCCACAAAGCAGTGCAAACTGGCAGCTACTTACTTAAAGGTTGCGCACATCACGGTGCTGGAAACCGTAGGCATAGAAGTACAACAAAGCTGTGTTTATATATTACGCAGTTATACGTTTATGCTGATGGCGAGTGTCGGTCCCGGCATCTTCTCCTGCGTTATCCTTGGCCAGGAATGCGGCCTTACGGATCCGATTTACGCAGAGTCTAATCCTTGCTCTACAGCTGAGTGTGGTTAGTTAACTCTGTACAGACTTGCCAGCGACCTCGTGAAGCGAGAGTGGAGAACTGGGATTCAATCAATAACCAGCAGCAGCAGGTGCAAACCGGCAATCCTGAGCGGATGCAATTTTACCGATAGCTGAACGGCCTAAATGCTGACTGTATGCTTGCAGTGGAAAACACACCCATGCAAACAGACGTGATACTATACAAAATACAGAATTGCTCACATTAAACGTACAATATGAATATATAGCCATATAACCATAGACGACGATACCGACAAACTATGAAAAGAAAAAAGAATTCCCCAATCACAAAAGCACAAATGAATTTCACAAAACCTGAAGAATAATTTGAGATAAAGACAATAGATTTGTACACATGGCTGGTACTTGAAAACAAAAAGTAAACCACATAGTTTTTCCGCTACTACTTATATAATACATATAAGGTGTCTATATTTACTTCTTTAATTTGCGTTGCTTTTATTACATATCTACTGTAATTATTACTACTCCGCTTTGCAAAATGTTGTGTTGCTGTGCTTGCGTACCAAACGAAGTCAGTAAATATAAACTGCATCACAACAACAATAAATTTGTTATTGTGTCACGTTTCGGCAATAAAAAGTCGGAATCGCCGTTGAATTGAATGTTTACAACCTGGCTAACTCTGTTTTAGGTGTTGATTTAACACAAAAGAAATCTTTGCCGTGTTTGAATAAACGTTTATTTAAACTGACTGCTTATTTAAAATATGCAAGATTTCTTTAAAAATTTCGTGCAGACTACAAAACACTACATATTTGAAGAAATAAAATAAGATTGTGGTTTGTGGATGCTTTATACCTGTCTTGCATTACGGAATGCCGGGACACGAGATTCACAGCTGCCGGTCATGCACTTCGATTTACTCGTCTTATTTTTTGTACAGTTGCATTTGTAAGCAGTAATGCCAAAGCATCCCCTGGTAATACTAGTACCCCTGTTTCCTTTAATTCTAGCTTTATGATTATGCGAATGGTGATGTAGTTCTGTAACCAATTAATGATATGTAATATCAACATGCAATATCATTGCGTGCCTATAGAACGATTAAACATTCCGTTATTTCAATAAAACAAAGTTTTCCTCTTTGCTTTTCACCCAGAGGTATGCCGGTAAACAATTTTATCCCTCGTCACAGACAGTAAGTGCGTGCAAGCTGCCGAGCGAAACTCATGTGCGCGAAACGAGAGATTTTCCTATGATCATGATAGAATTTGACAGTAGGGAGCTCGTTCTCGCCTTCAGATAGCTGCTAATTTTTCACGAGCTGCATGTGAATTGATACAATATTACTGCACAAGTACCGTATATTAATATGTGTATCAAACAGCCTGTTTGCGATATTGTACCACACCCATGGATTCTGTATATCCGTCGATTTGCAGTAAGTATGGTGGTACCATTTTTGCGTGTAAATTCGAGAAATCTCGGATCTGTCCAATATTTACTCAATTCCAGCATTCGACGGAACAAGTTGATATTCTAACAATCAGTTTTATATGTAAGGAAACCACGTTTTTGGGTACATTCAATACTTTTTGAGTATCGTAAATTTTACTCAGCCGAGCATCATAGTAAAGTTATTGCGGTAGTATTTTGTGTTCACTTATCGTTGTAAATTCTACTTTCTTGCGTCACTTTTTTATGATTTTATTGTGGCGACATTCAGTCTCCAAGATCATTCAGCCTGAGCTGTGCTGAATGCATGTGCAGCTGTGATCGTACTGCGTATTCCAGTGTACATGACCTTTGCATACTCTAGATAATGGTAGAAAGTAGAAACAAACAGGGGCCGGTCTTTTGTGTCATTCAGCCTGCCGCCATGGGGAGAAGGTTGAGATTGTAACTGAAAGCAGCCAACACAGATGGTGACAAACGTGGCCTGGTCTATTATTTTTTCAGAGTCGATAGGCGATACATGATGTTTAATATGTTTTGTTTCAGCTGCAGTACTGGTGCTTATTTAATTTTCATTTAAAACAATTTTTCCTTCAAGTTATTTGGGGATTGCAGAAGGTAGTCCTGGATCCCTGGTACAAGAGCTGTGCGAGGTGCCGTTCGCTCCTGTCACACGTACATTCTTGCGGCCAGTAATCTCTTTTATTTCTGATGCAAAAATGGCGAAGTCCTTGTCAAACGGAAAAAACATTATTTTGGTAACGGGTGGCAGTGGATTGGTTGGTCAGGCACTGAAGAAGATGGCTGCGGAAGAGAATCGCCAAGACGAGGAATGGTTCTTTGCAGCATCGAGCGACGCTGATCTGACGTGTGTGCTGCGTTTCTCAGCTTTAAGTCATTTCGCTGTGATTTTGACGGCGATGGTCATGCTTTGCAGGGATCGGGATCAAACACGCAAGCTCTTCGAAAAAGTCGGCCCTACGCACGTGATACATTTGGCCGCGATGGTCGGTGGACTGTTCAAGAACCTCAAGTACAATCTGGATTTTTATGTACGTGATGATTGTGTGTGTTGGTCGGTGAGGGTATATGTTGACGTTTTGCAGCGCAAGAATATCCTCATTAACGACAATGTCCTCCAAACATCGCACGAGCGAGGCGTGAAAAAAGTGGTGTCGTGTCTGTCCACCTGTATTTTCCCCGACAAAACGACGTACCCAATCAACGAAACAATGGTACCATATTAAAAAATATATATCTCCGCTGCGTGGTGAAGATGTTACTGTAATCTCCACGGTTTTGGCAGATTCATGATGGTCCTCCGCATTCCTCGAATTTCGGATATGCGTATGCGAAACGGATGATCGATGTGCAGAACAGGTGGGATGAGTGGTCAAATATAAAATGTGGCTTTTTTAATATTTGCGTATCTGTTAATGTTTGAACCAAGTGGTTGAATTTCCCTCAGATTAAAAAATAGTATTGTGTAAAATTGCTGCACTTTTCTTTTACTTGGCTCCGGAGGAGTTTGCTTGAGTTTTATTTTTAAAGTCTGGGACGCAAAAGAATGTGGCAAGTTTACATCCTTACTTAAACAGTATATATTTTTGCTGTATTTTAAAGTTGTTGGTGTTTATTTATATCTTTAATTAGGATACAATAAAGTTTTAATCCTTCCTAATGAAATTTGACTTACATTTAGAGCATATAATCAGCAATATGGAAGCAATTTTACTGCAATTATTCCCACGAATGTTTTCGGTCCACACGACAACTACAATTTGGAGGACAGTCACGTGATTCCAGGACTGATACACAAATGCTACATAGCGAAGCGTAAGATCACTGTACGATTAGTCTGCACGGAAAATTATTTTTTACGACATGACGGACATGAGGTCCACCGTTGAAGAGTGTTTTGGAGTGGTACAGAAGGCTTTGCAAGTTTACAAGTTCTGTGTTAAACTGAGGTGACTTTTATGCGTCCCGAGACTCCTGACAAACGGGGCGCATAAAATTTGGCTTTGCGCCCCGAATTTCCGTGTCTAGAAATGTCGCAGATTTTCTTTTTCCGGCGATTTTTTACTTTCATTTGGCTGTTTTTACTTATTTTTCCGAAGATCACATAAGGATAGAATTAGAGCAAAACTTCAGCTGGCCCGAACATACGACAGCTATAATGTGGCGTTTTCTTCCCACTTTATGTTAGCGCGAAACCGGGCTGTGTCTGTGGTATCCATTACGTTATACTCTATATTGTTTGACTAGGTGAAATCCCATAATTCACAAAAACTTTGGATGATACACTTTTCCCAAAAAGCAGAAATCTGGAGAAGCAGTGGGAAAGTTGCTGAGTTTACTGAGTTTTACTGTAAATATGACAATAGTGATAATTCTGCGTCCAAACACCTGGGGCATAAAGTCAAATTTTGTACGCCCGTACAACCAGGGCGCACAGGAAATCAGAAAATCGGCGCACGCACATCATCATCACTGCCATTTCGTAAAATTTAAAGATATTAACATTACGGCACATGAAACTAAAGCCTCGAGTTACTGTTGTTTTGCAAAATAAACACCAAATTTAGTCGGCTGCTGGTAGGATTAAAATGTCTTTTAGTTTTTGGGCTTTTGTTAGCTGATCGATTGATGCGATGTAATCCATGTGGATCCTTTTCGTTTAGGCGATGGAACTCCCCTGACAATCTGGGGAACGGGCAAACCCTTGCGGCAGTTCATCTATTCTGACGATTTGGCCCGCTTGATTATATGGACTTTGAGGGATTATCCAGAAATTGATCCAATAATATTATCTGGTTGGCAGCATTGCTTCTGCATGCGTCCGCATTGTATGGCATGTGTGCATTTTTAATTTTGCCTTGCAGTGGATGAGCAAGCTGAAATCAGCATTAAAGACGCCGCTGAAATGGTTGTGGCTGCCATGGACTTCAAAGGCCAAGTCATTGTGCGTGTAAAACACCTATGAGAGGAACTTATTTCTGGTAGCATGTAACCCGTAGAATTAACGGAAAGAAAACAATTTTTCGGCTCTTTCAACCGAAGCGTGCCTGTATTTTCTTTTATGGGAAGCATTGGCTGTTAGTAACTTCATTCTTACACACCTTTTTTTGTTTCTCAGTATGACTCAACCAAATCCGACGGGCAATTTAAAAAGACTGCCAGTAACGACAAATTGCGGAAATACTTGCCGAATTTTCAGTTCACTCAGATTGAAAAAGGTCTGTAAGACTGATCATTGGTTGACTTCTGTAGAGGTTTAGTACGTATTTACTAGGTCGAATAAGTGTTGTGAATTAAAGTGCGTATAACCGCGAGTTTCGCGTTGACAGCGTTTAGTCTTCAACAATATTGTAATAATATTAATTCTGGATTACATCTGCTTATGTGTGCTGGGTTTTTTAGCAATAAAGGAAAGTTGCGATTGGTTTGTGAAGAATTACGATGTTGCACGGAAATGAAGAGAAGGAGAACGGGAAGACCTGGGAATTGTCGTTATTGTGGAATTGCTTAGCTGAGCGTGAGGGGCTTTGATTTCGACGTCCAGTGCTAGTGCCGGTGGCTAACCAGTTTTGTGATCTTTCTGACTAATTTTTGTTATAACTTGATTGGTGTTTTTAATACAAAATACTGAAAGTGTACAACATGTTTAATGTGAGTCGATAAACATTCCATTTTTTTAAAATTTTATAGTACAGAAAATACTGAATATGGCTTTTCACGGGATTTGAGCTGAGTCGTTTGATTCACTGTCGGGCGAAACATAAATCACCGTATGAGAGACTTTCTGCGAAAGAAATGAAAAACGCCGGTATTAACTGCTATGGTGGAGCGTAACGGGAAATAGTGCTCACCTTGGTTGGCGCTCGGGACGATGTGGTTTCGGACATATTGCTGTATGTTCTGGAACGCGACACGCTTGTGGCGATGGATTCACGGGCATCTCCCGAAAGACGAGTGGGGGTCACGGCGAACACGCGGACACTTTCGACCGAACTGACTGAGCTGGCTCGTCTGCGCGGCGATGTCATGCCTGAGCGGATCTCGTTGAGCATATCTTCATCTTCCTGCAAGATTACCGACGGTGGTTAAATGACACCACTGTTTATAAACTGAATAATGGATGGCTATCAAGTGACAGGTGGAAAAAGCCATATTAAGTGTTTTGCACTTCCCAGAGGAAGGTGTAATTGGTTATAAAATGGATTTGCCAGTGTTTTGCACTGCGCCAAACGAAGCGTGAAAATTAACATTCAAAGCATTAGCGAATCTGAAATGGTTAACTGGCTTCATGACACTTCAGAAATTATGTACGGTGCTTAAGAGTATGATGTAATGGACTAACTACCTACGTGTTTGCCCTCGAGATACACTTAATAAGCGCTATTCCATCTTGCAATTTTTGCGAGAAAAAATAATGAAGTGTGTAACGAATAGGTGTTGCAAGTAAAAAGCTATTTAATTCCGCGCAATCCCATTCTTTCAAAGCATACGACAAGCCTATTAATTTGTTGATCCAGCTGTGACGTGTGTCCACAAATCTTACTTCAAAATCCATGGAGACGCCCTGAACAACGCTCTTCCTTCGGCGGGCCATCGAGATCATTTCCATGAGCTCCTCCTTCAGCGCTTCCACTCTGTTGGTTTGGTCAATGAGCTCATCGCTCTTGGCTTTGTCTTGGACGGATGCGGTGGATATCGCTAGCTGTGCTTCGAGAAGCGCACGTTGCACTTCGAGAATTCTGGTTCGCAGCTGCAAAAACCAACGGTTATCAAGCGCTATTCAAAAAACGTTGCCGATTTAGCTATTAAATATCGTATAGCTGCAGAAATTATCGGTAGGCGTAACAATCCAATACACAGATAGTCCATATAGATGGTTTACCAAATGCAGGGGCGTTCGCCTCAAGAACTGAGGAGGAGCACTTGAAGTTCAAAGGTCACTTACCACTTGAGGAGGCTCGCGGCTTTCCGAATGGCGCCGTTTAATTTCTCCTGGAGCACGTCTGTTGGCTAATAGTTCAGATAATTCTTTTATCTGCAATTACAGACCGTATACGCCAAACAGGCTAAAGGAATGACTTATAATATATCTTAATGATTTATTTGAATGGTCAGTCTTTTCAAGCTTCAATCAGACTTCATAAAATCTCTCAACATGTTGACAATATTCTGTTGACAATAGTTTCTGTTCTATGTAATTTATGTCAACAGAATTATTCTGCGTATCGTTAATCGCTCCAAATTATTAGGTAGTTTCAAAAACTGCAGTAATCACCTGACGAGAGAATTCTGTGGCAAGAATTTTGGCATCACATACATCAGGATCAGCGGCGATAGCCATGTACAATTTTTCCGCATATGTAAAAAATGTCACCGACAACAAATTCCGAGAGGTCATGGATGGAGGCCAAAAAAATAATGATTTAATAGGTTTTTGCTCTAAAAACAATTGAGCATCGGGTCCTGGTATATTAGCTATGGTACAGCAAGAGATGACCGAACGCGCCACAAGACTCCGCACAAACGCAATGGGAAATATATGGCCAAAAATCTGGATGATCCAGTACATGGAGGTAGTATTGCTAGTGTTTTTCATCTGATCTTCTTCTTGGCGAATCTTCCATAATCGAGGAATAGATCCAATTGTTCCTAATGTAACAGTTGATGTCATCAATAAAAATGTAATGTAGTCTTTTTTGTGAGCTGCTGCTGTTTTTTACCTGTTGGTAATTTTAGGTTGAGCAAGACAAATTGATTGCCTGAAAATGGATAATTAGTCAGTACTAATGTGACAGACAGTATGACATTTTTACGGAATATTAATAGTTCTAGCAAAATGTTTCTGGTTCAGTTTACGATGCGTGTCATGTTAATAATTTTGCGAAGCAGATATTTTTCAATTTTCACCCATATCGATGGCGTTCGTCACTGACGCTAACGGTCTGCGTAAATCCACCGGTATCGAAGCGTGAATGGCAGTAACCCGATGGACTCCATCGGCCACAAGCGACGATCGAATAGCTCCACTGAGGCAAGATAATAGAACATTGTGCAGAGCGTTGCGCGTTACCAGCGATATCCTGTCGATCACATCCAGCGACAATGGTGTTGACCAGAACATTTCCGCTTTTTTCGGCGCCGCCACTGCCACTTTATTCTGACTGCCAACCGTTCCGCCGATGCCGTAGAAGGGATTATGCACTTTATTCCAGTCGGCACGCGGTCGAAAGATCATTTTGTTAAAGAAGAATATACTGGCCATGACGACCGAGCGGATGGTGTTTATTGTGAAATTCAAGCCGCCAAATCGGCTTTTGATATGGTAAACATCCTGCGTTTTGTCGGTAATCGATCGACACAGGATCTTCACCAAGGAGATCCCATCCGTTAGCGACTGATGATAATGAAATAATAACACCGTATCGCCCTCCGACGTGTCGAAATCGGCCTTAACATGCAGCATCCATAGTGGTCGGTTAAGCGGCAAGGCGGTGCGGGATAACTCGGTCATGTAGGGCCGCAGCAGTTCATACGACGACACCTCGTCCGGAATGGGCACAATGTGCTTGCCGGCATCGAAATCCCGTCAAACACCCAGGCATTGACACCGGCGATCTTAATGATCTTCTGCATGAAACGTGGATACATGACGTTGTCATTATCATCCTTGGCCAGAATCACGCGATCCATAATTAAGTTTTTAATTTCCTGGAAGGACAGTCCATGCTGCACTGTTAATAGCGCGACGCTCACTGGTGATGCTTTGGGATCAGTTTGATCTAGCAAATTAGAAAAGCATGGTCCGATTACTACTTCTGCTGGTTCAGATGTGTTTTAATATTTTTACAAAGGCTACCAAGCAAATCACCAACCAAGCAAATGTGATTTGCTTTAACCATATAGATACAGTAAAGGAAGCAGTAAAGAAACAGCCAATATACAGGATATTCCTGCTGACGAAAGAAGTGTGTAATGTTACAAAAGCGTACTGGAAAATTTAGTCGTTACAAAACACACCTATCCGTAATTACCACTTTGCAAAAGCGATATTAATATTAATTTTGGTACTACAGTGTTTTGTCAATGTTAAAAGTAAAGATACTGCATGACACTGGATTTGTGTGCTATTTATACGTTAAACTTACCTAGCCATATAGCGTCAAGCGGCGATAATCGTTTGAATCCCGGATAGGCATCACGCAGAAAAGCCGCTATAAAAACATCAAGGCACCATCCGGCAAACAGTGACAGGGCAGCAGGATCACCAGCAGCAGCAGCGTGGGAACGAGGAGGACAAAGCCAAAAAACAATCCCAACAGTTCCTGCCACACCAGCCGCAGTATGGACCGCTGGGACGGATGCACTACGCGCTTCAAGGGCGGATTGACCGCTTGCGGTGCGGGCCGCGTCGGCGACGTCATGGGATACGACGTACAGGGGTACCTTTGGTCGGCAAACGAATCACACACGCCATCCTCGTTTTAGCGATATATATCCTCATTGGAGGGACATCACGACAACGTGTGCAACGGCAAGTTACGTTGTGTCCGTAGTAAGACGTGTACAGTATAGTGTGAGCAACATTCGAGGTGATGGTGCGCACTGGGATATTGCTGCATGCTGCTGGAAATCAGTGGAATGTAACCAAGTGGAATACTGCTTTCTTAAGGAAAGGCGGCACACGCATGTGCCGTGGCGCTGCACGATGAAGGGGTGTTATTGTGCGCGGCAGCTTAGAGCCTGGGTGTTTATTGGATGCCCTGTGAAACGGAACCAGAAAGAGGAATTAGCACATTAACGAGCAGGACGACTGTCAGAAATGATGAATAAGACGGTATGTTCGGCTGGTGATATTATGAATACGCTAAACGGAACTCCATTAATCCCTGTTAGGGAATATTTGTTGAACAAGACAGATACCGCTGTTTCGCGCGCGCCTGAACAGCAGCATTTCTGTTCCCACACGGTAAGATTAGCACTATCCGAAAGCGTTCTCACACATCACCGGGACTGATGCCGCCCTGTGTAAATGTGAATAACAGATGCTGCATGTAGTGTATAGTCCCTGCCACACGAGAATGGATGAGCACTGAGCACCAACAGACAAACCGTGCCCAGACAATCCAGCTGCTCGTGATCATGACATAATCACATTCCCGGGATACTCTTCCGGTTACAGTGTTACTACTTTAATAGTCTATTCCCTTAATATTTTATCTTACGTTTTTGTGATAATCATTATCCTTTTTCATTTTTTTTGTAAGAAGACACCGCTTACCAATATGTTTAGTAAATGTATGCGGTACTATATGTACACGAAAAGCATGGCTAAGTCGTGGAATTAAATACAAAAACTATCGACAAGCATTACGACCATTAAATTAAACAATGACATAGGTAAACTGTTAAATAAATTGACGGTTTAAATAAGTTGATTGCAGTTTTTCGAATTGCTTGCACGTTGGTAAAGCTTTTCGCATTCTGTTGTTATTATAATGCTTAGCTTTGCATCACTGTACAAATCTATAGAAGTACAGTAGATGGGTAATAATTATTATTATTGTCTAGATGGGTGTATTGTACTGTACATTTCAGTTATCAAGCAGTAATCATTATACTGCTGTATATATGAGTATCATTATTTACAGGCAAATTTTCGGGTAATTCAATCGCTGTGCAAACCATAAAAATAATCATGATCGTGCACAACATCTTGACCAATATTTTTTGAATATAATCAGTGAGAAATGAATCTATATCAATGCAAATCAACCGGTTTACAGTAGGAGAGAGCGTGTGAATTGCGTTTTTCGACTGACTGAAAGGCTTCCGCAATGCGATCTTCGGCACCACCCATGCAGAGCTGGCGCTGTGGGTGGAATTAATTGAAACTGGGAATGCCATCGCCCAAGATAATATGGAAAATTTACTATCCTGGAAACTGATTATTCAGAAGACTCTGCTACGAATACACGCCTCCATTTTGTACTTACTGATCATGAGAACCATGAGTGCTAGACGACTGTCTGTGCTAGACATCACTTAATAAAAAGTTTTGAATTCACAGTACATGTACTGTTTAATTATTCGTAAACAAGTAAGCAGACACTGATTGTGTTCAAAGAGTGGCAAATTCGGTAAGTACACCAGAAAAGAGCGCCTCGGTTTTTGCCGTTAGTTCCTCTTATCGATTGAACCCGGCACTATGGCACAGCCGGTTCTTGATGAAAGCAATTCATCAAACGAGTTGTTTCATTGCTTAAGTATCCTGTTAACATTTCAATGTGTTCTTCTGTACAGTGATTACATTTTTACATGATTTTCTCAAAATTGACGAAAGAAACACAGTGCAACATCTTTCTTTTTAAGACCATAACCTTTGACTGAAGGAATTCGTAGTGATTTCGTACTCAAAAAAGCCGATTCGAAACGTAAATACTATTATGTTTTCAATTTATGCGATGGTGACCCGTATATTTTCAGGTTATTCGATAGAATCAAGTTGTCATCGATCCAGTAGTGTAATAATGATTATGTTATCAAAATTGATCATCATAGTTTTTCCTGAGTGGAAGATTAGAAACTTACTAGCGCATCTTTATGTGAACCGTGAAAATGTACAAATGTTCAAGATTAATTCTAAAATATTAAGCTTTGCACGAATCGTTTTGTTATCCCTTAACTATCCGAATACAGCAGCATCGATGCTTGGTGTTAAATTATAAAGAAAATCTTCCTGTATCAGAGCAGTCTCTAGACAATAAGTTAGGGTTTTGACAGTAATTAGCGATCATCAACTCAAGCGGATCCGACTGGAATCCGCGGCTGCATTACACTTAATACGTAGGCGTAGCACTGATCAAAATGGCAAAATTGGAGATTTTCAGCCTCAGTTGGAGTAGATTACTCTTTCCACATCGTTCTTTCCGTAATAATTAGGATAATATAAAATTCTTAGCGGCTATTATGTTTCAGTACCATGTTATCTAGATCTGAGCTGCCTTATATTTGCATGCTTCGTGGCTTCGTATAACCGAAAATACGCGCAAACCTATCATTTTTAAGAGAAAGTATGCTATAGTTTCACTAATTGTGAGTTTTGTATTATTTGTTTAATACTTAATAATCATAAAATAATACAGCTAAGTAACAGCTGCTAACCTGTTCCACAGAAATTCGTTTGACCTAGTTTAATAACGATAAATGTATGGCTAATTTAATTATGATGCACAATCACTTGCCAAAGGCAAGTTTAAATGGATCTCATCTACATGTTTTTTACCCAAATTAATCAGATGGTTAATATTACAAGCACTTGAGAATACGCCATACACCAATTTTCCCGGGACGCTCTCGTTGTCAGGAAGACGGGGTTGTTCCTTGGCGGAAGACTGCAGCAAACCGAGTTCATTCATAAACCAAGTTTGATTGATTTTTAACGATGTTTAGGCATTAACGCATCTAATAATGTCACTTGTCCCTTGTGCTTGTCTGCTAGCGCGCATACTTGACAGAATCGTGGGTACATAAAATATGAGACACTGGTCCAAAACTGTCTCTGGCAGTGTTATCACATATAGATATACTTATCCTACTGACTAGGTATATCGGGCAACGGAAACGGGAGCATATGGCAGTCGATTATGGTACAGTAAAACTGCCGTGCGACAGGCCTCGCAGGAATTTATCACCGTACATTATTGCCCAAGAAATTATTAGCAGTTTTACGTTTCGCCTTTATATGAAGAATTTTAAAGTTTATGTTAAAAGCGAGTAAAAACATAAATCTCAGAATTCCTGAAAAGCATAAATCTCAGAATTCACTTTTGTTAACGCTAACACCGTTGGTATTGGCTCGTTCCTTGTACAGTTAAGCGTGCTGTATTCATGCTGTACTACTATATAGCGCGGTTTTTGCTCGACAGGTATGCATGCATGCAATTGCACCTATACAGAGTATGATGCTTCCGAGATGGCTGTTAATTTGTTATTACTTTGGGTATACAATTAATATATTGCAATGTTACACTTGCGAAGTCGATAATGCATTAGCATCATGTCAATGCAAATTATAAAAGACACATCTTTGCAAATGCGCTGGCGTGGGAGAATCATTTTCATTACTTCCGGTAATGGATTCAAAAGGAAATGGCACATACCGTGCGGCTTATTTCCTTCTAGACCTCCATGCCAGGTAGAGAGCAATGTTGCCATAATAATTCCGGAAGCAGATTCGAGAAGTGGATGTGAGATGGAGTTTTGTAGAAGCAGAACCATTATTTGATATGTATGCAGCACATTGAATGTACGAGTAGTATCCCGATCACAGCATTAACAGCGCTGCAATAAGTGCCGACAAAATCGATTTCCTTGCTGACTGCACGCTAGCAGCAGCCGTGAACACCTTCAAAGTCTATTTCACCCATACTATCGCAAGCGTTTTTTTGCGGAAATTCTTTCTCTGGGGAATTATGATATACTTTTTAATAAAAAAATCGGTTAGTAAGAGTAATTCAAATGTAATCAAACCTTAAAGAAAGTTTAACTGTGATAAGCAAGGCACTGTAAACCGGAAAAGCAGTGCAGATACAGCTGCTTACTGGGTCGCTATTCGCGAACAATTGGAGAATTTTTATTGGCGGCAGCAATAAGCAATAATCGAAAAATCCCAATACACGTCAAATCTAGGATTAAATAGTTAAATCAACAAAAAAGGGTAGGAAGTTTTCTGCACTCATTACAAAATTCTTGCATAGAGAATGCGAATAATTTATCTGTGCGTGCTGCCGAGTCACAATAGTCACTTGTCAGTTTGATTCTGTGCTGCTAGTGTTTGTTAACTTATTGTTAATAACACTGGTGTCATTCAGGATACAATACAAAAGTCGTAAAATAATACGTATATATTTTATAAGGCAGTACAAGTATGTTTTCTAACCGTGGCTTTCTGAGTTAATACTGGAAATGCCCTTCATTCAGCCATTTTTGTGCAGATTGTATACTGGATACTCGCCGACGCGATGCAAAGACGATATACGACAAATTTCTGTTCAGCCAAAATAAAAGTAGACTACACTTTCAAAAGCAGAAAAATTAACAATGCCCACATGCCTTGCTAAGCGGCACTTTGGTTAATACTTTGGCTAATACAGCAAAAATGTACCATAATATTCAATTGATAGACCAGTAGCTACAGGGCGATAAAATTATACTTACTGTATTTCCCATCCGCGGAAGATCGTGGAAAAGGCGCAGTTAATCAAAAAGTCGAGGAACGCATTTATTCGATGATATGGTGAATAAATGTGATAAACGACAAAATAGGATCACTTCGCTATCTGCATAAAACCATTACGGCAACGAAGTCAGTATAAAACATTCGTTCACCGGCTTTTGTGACAAGAAGCAGTGTCTTATTCATTGGCTTCGGGATTAAATGTTTATACGGCATGATGTACTGCTGGCGTCTAGCTAACATTCTCCCTCCCTCCTGCATGTATGGATGGATATATGCATAGTAGACCTTCGAGGATTGCAAAGGAAGATGAATGAATCTATCGATTATTTTAGCTATTTAGGCGTGGCGGCCCGCAAATAGCTGTCGAGACTCACCAATCTGGAGAAAATCTTCACATCAAGCGTCTCACACTTAAAAACGTATATTTTTGCCTTGGTAATTTCCACATTATCCCCACACATACGGGTGCAATCACGATGCAAAATGAGCAGCCAGAAGTCGGTTTATAGCCAGCATAGCTATTTGTACGTACGAGTACTTCCCGTGCAAGTACAATATGAGAGCGTATTGAAATCAGACAGTCATGTTTCCAGAACTCACTGGATGCGGCCGGCATACTTATAACTCCAAGTCAATATTTAATGTTATACAGGTTTGTATTATGTTTTAGCGGTTGCAAGTCAAAAAGATACATCTGATGGCATCATTCATTCTTTCCCGAAGATACATCAACGGTATCGAATTTCTTCGCTTTCTGTCTTTCTCCAGCATGTACGGCTATTTGTTTATGATAAAAATAAAAAGCAAGCATTAGGATCAAGTTTCATGTTTTGCGCTACACGTCCGTTCAGATTCTAATTCTACCCTTGTGTGCGGTAATGTGCGTAATTCTATTAACGTTGCTGTTGCCCATAATTAAGAACAAACCGAAGAATATGCATGTTGACTTCCTGTAAATACTGGACAGCTCTACTTTGACAGAGCAGTGCGTAGGAGAAGATCAAGTACCACTTCTCAAAATTTTAATAATTCAAAAAGAGAGCATAAGCTAAAGTGCTAGCTAAAACCGTTTCGTACTAAAAAAATAAAAAAACAGGATACAGAAGCGTATACGTTGCACGTAAAAATAAATCTTTCATGAGAGATATTCGATTCATATGCGCAGCATGGGTAAATATGGTCGCTGGTTGTAATCGCTCCCGTATGAAAAATTAGATAGATTAATCGAAAATTAGTTTATGGGTTCACCGATATTGTGGATTCATCATTCAGGTCAGTTATTTTTAAGTAGCCTTTTCAACGTCTCGATCCATTGTGATATTGTCGACTGCTACGCTATGTCGAATTAAAACATATATATAAATATATATATATACTGTGTCGCCAGATTCACCAGTACCACATGAACTGGAAAAATAAATCACATATTAGTACTTCCAGAGTTACTTCAGTCAGTTCAGTGCTTGTAATGTAGAACTTCTCATGTACATGTTATTAACTACTAACTAGTAAGCGTTAACCAATACGTTTTTGTCAAATGTTCACACTTATATTAGCATGAACAATTATACTTTAGCCGATCGCCTACCGATGTTCTAATATAATGGTTTTTCGGGAGTGGATAAACTGCGATTTCTCAAAGGTCAAGGACAGATCCATATTGAGCTTACCTATACCATTAGGTAGGTGTTAGTTGGACTCGCGCATGCACACATCGAAATCACAAAACTTGGACAGTGCCATTGTTTACGAATCTTTATAACAGGCTCACGGAATTAAGAACGAAAGCCGGAAATTTGTAATACTACCATAAGTTAGACAAAATGCCGAGCTGTAAAAGGTCATCTGCAGAATACCATGGAGCAGAACTAAAAGATAAAAACATAAACAGGATTAATAAGTCTACGCCCCTACCAACTTTCCTCTACTCAATTCCGTTTAACCAAACAAAAACAGAAATTTTTAACATCGGATAACAGCCCAGAAATATACTCATAAAAACTGATAGATTAAATTTTGTACCCCTGACAATTTACTGCCCGGTCAATTTATCCACCGGCCAGTCAAATCATTTCAAAGTCACCGGCATCGGATGTGGTAGCAGCGCTGAAATATTCCAATTTCAGCACTTCACCAGCGGTCCAGCGACGAGCAGACTGATACTGGAATAGATTCTGCAGAATTCCCAGCTCTTCTTCGTTCATGGAGGGCACCTTCTCTCGCAAACGATTTGTGGAATAATGTCGCAGACTCTGGATTATTGGCTTAATTTTTTGGTACATGTCCGGCCAACTGTCCGCTGTTGGGACACCCAGTGTCGCAAAAATCATGTCCACCTGCTCATCGTGATCTTTTCCAGGAAAGAGGGCATGACGTTCCTTAATTTCAGCAAATATAGTGCCGATGCTCCACATGTCAACCTACAAAGCCGAACTGTTTTGTGCAAAAGTCTCACGTTACAGTAATGCCAAACAATGCAACGCCTGCAGCTTTCTGAATTAAAGAACGGCCTTAAAGTACTCGTACTATAGTAATGCGACATTAGTATATTCCCTTGCTCTCGGGTTTGTAAAAGATACAACAGCGGTGACAATCATGAAAATTATCTGTTCTCTTACGCGCATCGTGGTAATCTTGCAAGCCAGTAAAACTTCCGGAGCGCGATACCAACGGGTACCAAAATTTTCTGCTCGGGGCAGAACAGGAAAAGTCATGAACTTGCTCAATCCGAAATCGGCAATTTTAGCACGCCATCCGTTGTTCGTATCTATGAGAATATTGCGCGGTTTCATGTCCCGGTGAGCGATCCCACGGCCGTGCAAGTGCTCAGTGCCGACCAAGATGTCCTTCATTATAGACTGCAACAAATTCATTTTCGTTAAAGCCAAATTCCAAAATGCTGATACTGATCTACCTATCTTCAAAAGAGATGATTCCTTCAAGGAACAATACTATTATTACCGACATGATGTTATTCTGGGTGGTTCTGAATATGATTATCTGCTCCAGCGCTAATACTAACGTCACAATTGCGGTTACATATACCTATGCAGCAGCCAACATCGGCGACGAAATAGCGGGAATCTGACAGAGATACAGGGAGTTTACTCAGAATAAATAGAAAGTACACATTAAGCGCATTACAAAACCTGCTCTTGTGAATAGCTATTAATTCCTACTGCCAAAGCTTAAATTCCTACTGTCAGCTTAAAGGTCAAAATTACCTTGATCAAATAGTTTGGTAGAACTCTGTTTTCCGCGCGGTGTTTTTTGATAAACTGCGACAAGTCTGTCTCCAAATACTCGAGAACCATAACGGTGGTTTTCGGCAGGAAGTACCAGCAGAGTATTCGAACAATGTTGTCGTGGGATCCGGCAGCGCGCAGTAATCCCACTGAAATTAAGATGATACCAGGTGACGCCGCGCAGTATGTAAGATTAAAACAAGAGTCATTTCTTTTGAGGTAGCTATCCCTAAATAAATTCAACCAACCATCAAACTTCTTAATACTACAAAAACGAGATTTAACTATTTATCATCACCACATCAATATATTTTTGTTAAATCGTGTATCAACACAACATTTACTAATCAATAAGCATAGCGAACGAACACTTCACAACCTTCACGTAGTGTTGCTTGAGAAAGGCTGTCATCCTCCGCGCTGTTCATGTATTTCAACGCAACCGTCTGCTTTGTTTTCAAGTCCACTCCCTTGTACACACTTCCGTATCCACCTAAACGGAAATAGACTGAGTTCAGCAATACTTTTGCACCACGGTAGTCGTTCACTACAACTATCGTGATGCTACTGGAAGTAACTCTGCGACAGAATTGTAATCAAGGTTAATTAGAAAATAACCCAAAATCGGATTGGACTGAATTGGACTAAGGCCAAAATATCCAATATGAATGAGTTCCTGCGTGAAAAGAACCCAAATCAAACCAGAACCCAACAAGTGCCACTGCATCTGGGAGCGATTACAACAATCGTCGACTGCCTATTTTAGAATTACAGGACCTACTGTAACTGGTTAAAACATCCGTAAACTGTGAAAGGTACAAAAACAACCAACCGTGTTTTTCAGGCTAAATTCGCAAATAACAAAAGCTTGCTAGTTTACACGGCTACAATCAGTTGAAAGGAACTTTACGTACATAGCTCATCGTCCGATCATGAGGTATAACAGATGCACTTGTACTGACCATCGTTCAATGTCGAAAAAGTTACATTTGATCCAAATAAATGTCTCGTAAACAGATGAACGCTTCGTAAAACTACCTTCTGCGATAAGCTCCTTGCGCTCAAACCGTCCAACATTCGGGCCCGGAGGATATCCCAGACTAACAGAATTCTTGTAGTCTTTCAACGGCATGCGACGAGAATGCTTTTCACGAACAATTTCTCCAGCGAGAGTGCACCCATGTTGTGCATCACCGAACTGTACTTCGTAAGGGTTTGGTTTCGGCCGCACGGAAGACCGCAGCGCGACTCTAGGGTCACCATTACCAGCCTGCATGTGCGTGGCAGACTTCGGCCGTAATCCACGCTGATTATGAGACTGCGCTTTCCTGCAATTTTTCCATTTTCAAGTTTTAACAAAGTTAGTCATGATTTACGAATGGGGATGCGAACCAATGAAGCAGTGGCATTACCTTTCCATTTTCATGAATACAATCAATTTAAGGGGCCATGTTCACTATTTCACTAAGATAACAAGATTTCAAGACCCAGTCCCCGCTGGAGAATTGTCAAAAAACTGTCGACTGAAAATGCAGCCTTTCGGGAAATGGTGCCTTGATTTGCATTTTGCACCATTTCCGCATTGATTCCACAGAACGTTGGTCCACTGTTCGTTTGCCGAGCCGAAAACTGGCTGTAGCACCGAAAGCTGACCGCTTGCGCTTCACCGATTGGCGGTTGGGCAATCGGTGAGTCACCATGACTAACAATAGACCGTGCAGCCATACACATGTCCTGTGACTGTAGCTTCTGTGCATTCTCCAATGGGTGCAATCTGATCAATCTTCAATTCTGTGCAATTCTGTTGGCAACTCTCCAAGATATTCGAAGAAAAGGTCTCGTCTCGAACTTATTCCAGTTACAGTACTTGTCAGTTATTATCGTTGCGTTTGTAATAACGATTTAGGAACAATAGACACACGTAAACTTGCAGATTTACTTAGGTTCAGTTTACTTCACTAGAGCATGGACTTTTCTTTAGCGCGTCAAAATGCCTTTAATTGAATAACAAAATCATCATAAATGTCGGTCAGGGGATTTAGCTCAGTGGTAGAGCATTCGACTGCAGATCGAGAGGTCACCGGTTCAATCCCGGTAGTCCCCTTTTTGCGTCTATTTTTTTTAATTTATTTTATGGCTATCATAAAAAATAAACGCTGTTCTTCGAACAATGTGATACTTGAAAAATATTTAAAATTAGATTAATCATTAGAATTCTCTTTCTCGAGCGGATAGTAACAATAGCTGAGAAAATGTGCAGTAGGTACATACTACATCTTATTTTTAATTAAAGCGTGTCTGTAACTCGGTAATATGTTACGTCTTAACGGTCTTATGAATGTAATTTTAAATTTAATGTTAAATAATACGATCATACGAGCATTAATTTATTTGCAACGGTGCCAAAAAAGATCTCGGGATCTTTTCGTTGGTGTCATGTACAAGTAGAGTACAGCAGTATGTAGGAGCAACGAGACTCTTCGCATTCGCACTACTCGTACACATTATTATACAAATGCAATTTATTTCAAGTATGTATTATAATTTATATACTTGTTATAATTATAGATATGCAAGTACAAACAGACAAACTCGCATTTGTTTGGGCATTCCGCTTTAGGATCCACTCTCTGTTCGTGAAATTAATACGACTTATCATAATATTATTTAGTAATACGTAGTTCATCAAGCTCAAGGTACTGTTTGTTCTCAGTGTTAAGTGACCTAATGTTCTTCCTGATTATTTCGTGCAGTTGTTCCCATGAAATCTAATCGTGAAAATTCAAATCGGTGCGACGCTTCCGTGGAAAAAGAATATGATTGTTCGCCAAATTACAGTTTAATTCGCAACATTCATGTCGGTTTCCCATCGCCAGCTGCAAGCTCGGCGGTCTCGTTGGTTCGCGATGATTATCGATATTTCCACTATTTGTGTGATTCCTTTGACGATCGAAATTGGGGCTGTGGATATCGTGTGCTGCAGACATTGTCTTCATGGATTGATCCTGAATCGTCACCGCTTAGTTTACGGGAAATGATCGTGGTTTTGAGTGAAATGGAAACTGGGATTTCGAAGTCCGCTCTTGATAACCATCATGTCGAAAATCCATGGATTGGGACGTTCGAGGGATTTCTTATCTTGGACCGCGTGTACGATGTGTGTTGGTAGTAAGTGGTGAAACATGTGGGCAGTTTAATTAACATGCTGCGTGCTTGCTTGCAATTTCCGTTCAGTGTATAACTGGTCTTACTTTCGCTGCTACAATTGTATTTGACGTTTATTGTGATAATGGTGTAGTCACTATAGTACAATTTTTGGAAAACCGGATCGTCATTTTTGATCTGCAGATACGGTAAATGGAAATTAGTAAGACTAAGCATGTGTGGAAATACGTAGGTTTCGTGTCGGATTGATTTCATCAAAAGTCCCAAAGAATTTGAGGAGCATACTCCACTTATTTACAAACATTTTGCGGAATCTGGAGCACCGATATTTATGGGTTTGTTTCACTGTGTAATCTGTATTATTATATTTATTCACTGCCATCGCTCTCGTGGTGCGTGTGTTTCATTTTTGGACATCTTTAATTCTGACGTTATGAAAGTTACGTTCGTTTTAGGAGGCGATCAAGACTGCTATGGAAAGTGTGTTCTCGGGATCTGCCTTGTTGACAAGGAACATCATTTGCTAATTTTAGTAAGTTGCGTTTAGTTTCAATTTAATTCGTTTGGTTTGAAACTTGAATAACATATTATACTTCGTATAGCTGTTTTGTTGTCTCGCGCTAATGATGCTTGATAAAATAGGCTTGATAAAATGGCTTGATAAAATTCGAGGCTTGATAAAATGTAAGCGGAAAGATCATACCATCCTCGGTACTATATCGTTTCGAAGATTTATAGATGCTTCAGTAGTTTGAGTTATTTTTAAATGATGGTTATATTTTCGGTTTTGATTCATGGCTTAATAGCTTGCACGAACGTAACATGTATTGTACCTGTTTTAGTTAATAATTTGAATTCATATGATTTTGAGTTTTGGTTTCATTTACTTTTTATAATGAAGTCTTTTTTGTTTTCCGAACCGTGAGGTCGCAATTTCCTTATGTACTTGTACTTGTACTCGTAGTGCTGCTTTTATTGATAGTGACTTGCAAATGTTGTTTCTAGAACTAGAATACTTCATTTTGCACAGTTGCGGTTTCAGTTACAGCAATTACAGTTATAATAACGCAAAGCACGAACAGTTAAGAGAATGGGAACATTACGTAAATTCCGGAACATTGCAAAAATCAATACACTTTTGTAATTTCTTAACCCACCAAAGTCAGCTACCAGAAGGAGTATGAATATCAATCTGAAAATTGGTGGTTCTTAATGAAATAATTCAATTAAGAAAAATTAATTTTTTGGGAATTTTCGTGACCATAGGTCAAGCTAGGCGATAGCCTGCCAAACTGACAGGGATGGGCATCCTGCCATTTGGCAGGTGAGCCGCCGGAATTTATAGGAAATGATGGGGTGTTAGCACTGAAGAGCACGACCACTTAAACGAAGCGCTTTGAAAAGCTCTACATTCGCCAGATACTGTTATGGTCATCAAAATGACCAGTGGTCAACAATTAATAAAATTGCAAAAAATGCATTTGTGAGCAGCCGTAGCCTCTCAAAGACGGAAAATCCACTTTGTCTACATAACGCACATGATAAAATCACGCTAGGTCAAACAAAAACAACAGAACGCATCATTATAACTAAATATGCGGTGTTTGTCGCTTATGTCGCCGCTATACTGCATGTTGGTTGTACTGCAGACTGCAATACGTAACGATGTTACTGTCGCTTTATATTTTGAGTTTTCTTTTGGTGAACATTTTAGTGATTAAAGGGTACAACTAGAAAATGTCTAAGCAGTCCAGAAGTTGTCCAAGCCGAAAACTACAGCGACAACTACTTCCATTGCATACTTACAGTATACGCGGTATGGCATATCGGCACCGGCTCTACCGGCATGGTCATTTCCGCTATCTACAGTTTTAGCTCAGCAACTCACCGAAGCTGCAAAGCGTCGGAACGTGCACGAGATTAGAAAAGGTGCTGTTTCACTTCAGCTTTACATAATTTGCGTTCCCATTCATTCAAATCTTACCATTACATCATGCCCCGAACTTGGTCAAGTGTATAAAGCATTGATTTCTTGTCCATATTTACGGTTTTATAGAACAATCGTCTGAATTATGATGAACCCGAACAGCAAACATCATCCGTGTAGCGATGTGTATTTGTACTTACGGTTTACTGTTTATTAAAAATAATTGCCCAAATTTTCCCATAAAAAGTAAGGATTTTTTTAATTTTTTTATTTTACTGACCACTGGTCACTTTAAAATAACCATTAAAACACTAAGCATTGTATTATTCTTTTTGGTCGATTTTTTAATTCCTTGTGCGGCTTTTTATCAAGTATCTGAGATTTTATATAGATTTTATAGTTTTATTGTTTAGGTAACATCATGCCCATCCCTGTCAAACATGGCAGGGAATTTTCTAATGACCCTATTTGTCCACTGTCCACTAATTTTTCAAACCGTTTGCCACTTCTGGAATGTGTGCCACAGAATCAGCTTGGGTGAATTATTTGTAAATTATTGGGTGCTGGGACGGCTGCAGAGGCAGCAAGACCTCCGCGAACCTCAAAAGTGTCATGTTGCTCATCTTTGACCAGTGGTCGTGTGCCCCAGACGTGCTTCATCTGATGACAGAATTTTTTATAACGACCACTAACATCCCTGCTGTGAAATAAAATTGCTGAAAGCGATCTTAATACATTGTGGATTGCTACAGAAAAAGTCCGTCACCCTGCCATTTGACAGGGATGGACGGGAACGGGTTAATATGATTATCTTTACTTTCCTACTCGTGCGGGCTGCGGTGGTAGTTACATGAATATTATCTGTGCCAGGATTTCGGCCGCTCTCCCAGTGAACCCAGCTATCTAACCGCCGCTATCTAACCCAGTGATCACAGGTTCTACTTCCAAATTTGCTGTTTTAAAAGGCAACAGAATGCCCTTAATGCGGGGAAGCCGAGAAGGTTACTAGACTGATTAGTTTTTGTCACCTGATGCCGCTAACTGTAATTCTGTAAGCCCAATGGTAACTCCACAGCCTGTTACCATGTATATATATCATAGGGTAGCATGGGCAGATTTGTTACAGTACCACGGGCTTATTAGTTTTTGCACTGCCTAAACCTGTTGCATTAAAAAGTTCTGATGACCGTTTTGACGATATCCCGACCGTTAAATACATGAAAGTTAGAACCAATCCGAGTTGAGTGACTATCATGTGGAAGTGCAAGTGCCGAAACCCTGGAACAGATGGATATATTATTATTATTATTATTACGGCACAAGAGCAGACAACCCCAAAGGGACTTCAAGTCTGGTCGAACAAAAAACATTTGAGCGCTAATGTAAGTATTTAAGACAGATCGACAGATTTGAGTAGGAATTTAAAGGCAGGTACAGAACTTGCATCAAGAATTTTAGGGTTAACAGCAATAATTTTATCAAGCAGACGCTTTAATCGAAATTCCATAGTCGCCTCTCCAATAACTCTCCTTGCCCGTGCAGCGTCGACTCTTGCCGGTTTTCGTAAATTGTAGTGCATGGTGTTGTCTTTCACTTTGATCATGTCCAGGAGGTAAGCGGGAAGCGAAAACTGACTCTTGTTCCAGATCTTGTACAGCCACACCGCATTGCTCTGACGCCATCGGTCGAATATGTGAGGGATACCCAACTTCTGATACAGTTCCGGAGTAACCGGCATCTTGTAATCAGTGATGGTTTTCAGAGCTTTACGTTGTAGTCCGGCTAGCTTGTTGCGCTCAGTCGAAGACTGGACTTGCGCATAATTACCAAATTAATATAATAATGGACTTGCGCATAATTACCAAATTAATTACTGTAATGATAGACCAAATATGGTTAAACTAAAGCATCCATGGTGTGCGTAGTGTTCAAGACTCTGTAAAGTTAAAAGTAATTCTGCATCGAATTTTAAACCGCGCCTGTAAAGGACTGTGTGATAATCTAGTTCCTTTTAAACCGAAATGCTTCTGTTCTCACAAAGTGCTAAAATGACAATTGTGGTGGTGTGGTTTAGTGTTGTTTTAACGGTAAAGATATCACTAGTCTTAATTAAGCCAGTTAAAGCCAGTATTCATCCGTGCTCGGCTTGCTATGATTGTTTATTTTATGCTCGTATCATCGTTTGCTGACTTGTGGGTCGCTGAAAAATACGTTTGGGAATTTTTGTACGTCAAACTGCATATGAGTTTTCGATTTATAATAATTAATCATAAGCGAAGTCTCGTACTGCAGGATCGTAGTTATAGACTTATAGGCTTTAATGATGAACTCGTGAGTCGTGCGCAAGCTGATGCGATACCTATAACCAGTGAGTGGGTGCTGTTGGTAAATCCAGTTTTTGTTAGTAAAAATTAAGGTTGACATGCTTTGCTTTTATGTATAAACGATAAAATGTGGTTTGGGTGAATTTAGGACCCCCATTTCGTGGGTATCTTGGATAACAAGGAGGAAGCATACCGCAAAGGATGTCTCACATGGACTCCCGTGAAAGAATTTTTGAGGGAGTCTATTTATAATTTATTAATGCCGCTGTCCCACGGTCAGATGAAATTTCGCCCTGCAAGATGAGAACTATATCGAAAAACATTGGCATTATTAACAGAAATATTGCTAAACGAGATGCTGAGATTTGAACATGATTGTGGAAAAAGACATTGTCAATTTTTGTAATGTAAACAAATTTTTGCCGATTGTATATGACCTGTTGTGTTTAATGCGATGAATGGAGGTTGGGAAAAGCTTTAAATTAAATGAACGGCATTTACAAACCAGAATGCGGGCTGCATTGTACTGAGGGTTATGCAGCCATGTCCAGTTTGTGAGAAATTGATATTTAATCGGTGCAGGAATATTTAGTTTTTCAAATACAGTATTTTCTTAGACAAGCACAACATTCAGTCATACCATGAATTCGGCTGACTTGTGAACCAGGATTTCAACATCCTATGACACAGGACAATGTTAAATCTATGCCCGACATTAATTTTGGCTTTTGACAACTGTTGATACACCTAGATGCAGAGTCAGAAACTGCATTCCCTTTATACAAAATTAAACTTTAAGATTTTGCTATTAGTTCGCGCCGTAATCCATCGAAAACGTGCCAGGAGTATTCGACAACCATTTTACTGACAGAATAAATAGTTTTCAGGAATAGGGAATCAGCTTCATTATTTTTGCTGGCAAAGCGCCCGCGAGCAACTTCCTGGTTCGGGATGAACTTTTCTTCCTCGCCTGGTTCGCGCCATGGAGCGTCAAGTGTGCTATAACTTTGGTTTGTGGGAGTACGAAGGTCGCTTTAGTTTCTTTCAGGAGAATTCACACGAGTATGGTTCATGCGCGTCTTCCTTTTTATTATTTTTCTACATCCGTCCATCCGCAGGTGGCCACCAAAGTATGGCATCGTTTTCCATAAAAAAATGCGGGTCGTATTTTTTCCACTGTGAGCATGTAGATTTGAGTGGAATTTAAAGTGGAATAAAGAATAATCGGTTACCAATCATGAATCGATAGCGAGTTGTTCAACTGCGATTAAGGTTTACAGACTTCAATATAACAAAGGGCATTTCCAAATTACAGAGGAAACATTATTTTAACTGTCACAGCATACGATCTGTAGTCCGTAAGTACAACAACAACTAGCCGCATAAAGCAATCGCAAAGTACCGGCTGTGTTTTTACATAAGGTTATTAAATTCGATCAGCCGATTAAGTGCGTCCAGTTTCTGGGAAAACTTACAAATCTGCTTTTGGGCAGATAAGAGTCACAAACATTCAGTGCAACGATCCCTTAGTTCGAATGATTTTTTACAAATTTCGGTGAGAATATTAGATTATCATGCATGCCAAATTGTCATACATGGTGATGTGGGTGAATAATTATCGAATTGCGGTATACATCTGGCTCGAAACCATCGGACGATATGCCGTTAATTTGCACTTCTCGTCAGATTTTCCGGGTACTCTGGACCAAGATTTGATGGCCTCGGAATAAATGCGGTCCCCATTATTCTAATTAGCCGGTGCTGGAGCCGAAGTGGCACATCTTGTGTGCGAACCCAATTTCCACTAGGCTTGGCATGGGCTGTCACTGCACACAAGAGCCAGGGTATGACCTTACGGGAAGCTGTCGTCGACCTGGTAGAATCAGAATTTGCTTTCGGAATCTCATATGAAGCTTTGCCGCGCGTAAAACAATTGACCGTCATGTTGTTACAGACTTACAACCCATCTGCCCATGTTTGCTAAAGAACGTCTATTCACGCTAAAAACAGCGCTGTTCTGGGTAGGCGTAATGAGGTAGAGCATTGGGTGCGCTCACTGCTGTAAGAGACATACACAATATTGTGACAATAAATTTTACGTCGTGCAAGATTTAATTACGCATGGCTTGTTTTGGAGAGCGTATTCCTAGTATCAATACGGTACAAGAGTGGACAACCCAACAGGAACTCTAAGTCTGGTCATTCACAATACAATTTTGTGCTAATATTAATGTAAATATATAAGGCAGATCAACAGATTTGAGTAGAAATTTAAAGACAGGTACGGGACTGGTCTCGGGGAGGGGGAGCTTATGGTTAGCAGCTAGAAATTCTGTCAAGAAAATGCATCAAGCGCATTTGCGTAGTCGACTGTCCGATTACTTTCTTTGCCCCTGCAACCTCGATCCGTGCCGGCTTTCGCAGGCTATAACGCAGCGTGTTATCCTATATCTGAACCATATGTCCAGGAGGTAGGCCGGAAGCGGGAATACTGTAATTTTATTAATAATCAACGCACAGATCAGGTGGAAGAAAAATAACACGTGATACTATTCACAAATCACAACAGCAAAATTTCATCTAAACTATCCACTCCGTCCATCGTACCAAGGATACATGCTGAATTTCCGCGCCGAATTTCCAGCGATAGTCGTTGACGCAGAAATTCGTGCGATCGACGCTCTCTTGTGTGCAGCTGCAGTTTTTTGCCCAACTCTTTCACATTGGGGATAGCCGCCGGGCCCCATCCCAGGGACCCATCGTCTCAAAGGCGATCGGGAAAAGATGTAGCGCCCTTGCAGATACGCATACAGTCGGGACTTCTTTTCTTCTGCTTGTACAGCAGCAGAACCTCCCGTAACCGACGTTAACGGGAGATGGGAAAGGGCCATTGTGTCGACGCATGTCACATTCCAGGCCAGACGCATCCTTTTTTTCCAGGCAAACAGCCAGTTTCGATTACAGTATACTCGTTATCATTTATCTGCAAATCTGATAAGTAGTGGAACTATTCTCTGGTTAATACTACGATTACATTGTTTCTTTGAGCTGGTTAATGCAGACTTCCTTGTAACCGGCCGTAGATGTACGATTGTTGTGACACACCGACAAACAGAAGCGAGATTCATTAATAGATACAATCATACAGCACATTTCTATGGGTGGAATAATCTGGGGGTAGTTTTGTTCTTCTTCGATCAGAAAAGTGGCCTGCACACCGCACAGTCGACTAGCTTCCGTCGAAAAAGGAAAAGCAAAAGGTAAAACGTTTATGTGAGAAACGGTAATCTACGCAATACATGTTGCTGCAGCAAAGCTGAACGATGCAACTACCGCGAGTCGGTCAGGTTATGGAAGAAAATCTGTTGCACGTAAAAGGAAAAAAATGCCGAGCGATGTATATCCGTTTTTATCGAAACACGCAACCGGATCCTCAAGTCATCGTCTGTGGTTCGTTTGTTGCCATCGCAAAGTGTGTTCAGTACCTCGGCGTTGAGGTCGATAACCACCTGAAGTGGAGTGAGCAGTTAAGAAAGGAGCAGCGGAAACGGAATTTTGGCACTGCCATGATTAAGCGAGCACAAGGAGGCCTAAGCATGTTACAGCGCAAAGGTCTTAGCTTTACGTTGCAGTCCGGCTAGCTTCGCCCTGGGTCAAAGACGCTGCAGACCATACCGGCAACTGGTGTGCGCTATGGCAACCGAAGCAGGGGTAATACTGAAGACCATTATTAATTACACAAGATGCCGGTTACTCCGGAACTTCATCAGCAATCGGGTATTTCTCACATATTCGACAGATGTTGTCAGACTCGACCGGTCAGAGCGATGCGATGTGGCTTTTAAAGATCTGGAACAAAGAACAATTCCCGCTAAGCTTGAACCACGCGGCACGTCATCCACAACAGATCAACGTGTACTGGACACGAAAAAGACAGTCTACAATACATGTTCGCCTCTTTCCCAGATTACGATGGTCATCGTTGCATACAAAACCCTTACGGCAGTGATCCCCGAATTCACGAATCTACAGTATGTTATCTGTACTGGTGAACCTCGCTCGACCACAAATTTCTCCGCCAGCGGTAGGCGCTAGAAATTCAGTGATGCAACGCCGCAGCCGTACTCGGAACAGTACGTGGATGGAGCGGCAGCCTTTAAAAAAATTTTGTTGCTGAGATTAACTGCATGTTTTTGTTTTATCTGTAATGTATACGTATACGCGTTTTATGAAATAAAAAGCAAAATTTAAGCTCCACAGAACGCGAAATTTTTATTTTCATGCGCACAAGATTTCCGTAAATATTCTGCACCGTAAACTTTCTGGTCCAACATTTTCTGGACCGTAATATTATCGGCCCGGAATGCATTAACCGTAAGATACTCGTACAGAACTACAGAGTACAGTCTGTATGTAGTTGAAGTCGTTGCCGATTTCTTTCACTAAGAGCGTAGCTAGCTTTCCCCATGGCCCAAGTGCTTCGAAAGCTAGAGGAGGGAAGATATTCTGGTATCTATCGATCAAAATTAATAGGAGTAAATTTTATCCTGCGCGGCAGCAGCTCCCGGCTCGCAGTAACTGACGTAGATTTCAGGTGAGACATGGCAACAACATCCGCTCATGATCACAAGTCAGGACACGTCCCAGGCCAGGCACATACAGCGTGTCCAGGCGAAGGTTATGCACCCATCTGGACGACGATCGGACGTGTGAGATGTTCCCCGGGGCTCCAGTTTAGCAGGAATGCCGGCTGACATAGCTTAAGTTATGTTTCACATTTTTAAAGACACTGTCACTCTCCATTTCCACAGTTACTGACTGTTACGTTCCCACGGATAAACTCTTGACGGGGAGAACCGTGTATCCGTTCTGTTCTTCGTGATCGAGCATCGCTTTCATGTTACAATTAGCATGAAAACCGTTTGGACTAGCTCACATCTGGTTGCTGAATGCAAGATATGGCGACTTAAAATGAAATAAATCTTCAGATGCATTTCGTGCACCAAAGGTTATTGATAGGTGAAACTTTGCTGTAAAAGGTCATGATTGTTATGAAGACGAGTCTGAACCAAAACCAGCTTCGTAACAAGTTCTGAAATGCTAAAATGAAATTGAAAGTTCTAAATGCCAAATTGTGATGTGGAACTTCTAACATTGATTTCACGAAATTTTCACAAAATTTCTACCGGATTTCCGTTTTTTCTTCTGCTGTCTTGCATTTGGCAGTTTGACATCACGCAAAACGTCTATTGCACATTTTGCACAAGAATCGCTAAAGGTTACCTCATTCTGTAAATTTTTTTGTAACGATTAAGGTTTTGCAGGTACGGCGCAAGGAAGGCTTGCCTTTTGTGCTATCGGTAAAGTAGAATGTTGATACTAAACTAAGATAACTGTTGAAGAACAAAACGATAAGTGGAATTTTACACTGAGTCGGTACGCTGCCGCTGCGGTAGCGTGAGAAACCGAGCACCTCGGTAGTACTAATTCTGTGAATCACCATCACAATGCATGACCGGCTCTCACCATCAGGTTAGCTCTTATTGGCTGATATCAAAGAATCATCATGGCGTCCGTTGGATCCTGTACGAATTTTGAACAATAAGTAACTGACGTAACAGAGCAGCATGAAGCATTTTAAGAACTTCCAATGGACAGTTGGACAGCACGTTTTGCACTGCGAGTTTAAAATTTAATAGCACGTCGACATAGTGCGGAACTGCTGATTGCACGTCCACTTTGTGCATTGTGTCGGTTGCAGCTACTAGCAAGTCCAATCAGCGGATTTATCAGTTTGAGTTACGGTTATTAAAAATTATTGTATGGTACTGCACTGTAAGACTTAGAATCAGCAGAAATTTGAGGATGGCGTGATTTGTTACTGTTTGCGGTAATTTGCCTCTCAGTATCGACTCACGACTCGTGGAATACTGCAGCAAAGGAAGAAATACTTTCGTATTTTTTAACTATTGTATCGCCGTTTTGACATCATGTCTGGACGTTTTGGGAATAAATATCCCGCTCACCGGTACGAGGGTTATGCTTCCCGCAGCTCATTGATTAAGAAGCATCGTCAGCCAAGGGAGAAGATTGATTACGTGCTGGATAGCGCAGGATGGTGCGTATTAAATTTGTCACTTTTTCTAAGTATATTTACTATTTAGATTTTGATGACTGTTTTACATCGGGATAAGGAAAATGAAATACATTTTATTGAATTGTAGCTTTTTAATATGACTGGGAAAACTTGCAGGTATCGAAAACGAATCCCTAAAGATGCCTCTTGTCTGTTCCGGGTCGTCTCCGAGCAAGTAAGACAAGCTTGGGAAATTTGGGCACCAGTTGTCAACGCCTTTACAAGCATGACGTATAGGCGGTGTAGTGTCGATCTGCACGAGTAGATACCGTATAATTACTGGTTAATTATGGAAGAAGTTATCAAGATATATAAATTTTAACAAATCCTGTTACAGTGTTACACATGGATTACCGTATACTTATTGCATTGCTTTGTATAAGTGATATGAAAATACGCTGTTCGGTCTAACTAGCTCGTTGCCTTTTAATCAGGTATTCCAGAATCAGGTTCATTTCGCAATGGTGCGAAAAGCCTGCATCAGGTTCATGAAAATGAACTCTCCGATATTTTCAAAGGTAATCAACGAATTAGTAGTTTATTCGATGACGTCTTTGGGATCTTGCCCATTTTTACCTAACGAGAATGTTCGGGATCGTTGCAACGTATGGTTTCATTATAAAGGTGTTTTGAGTAACCATATTACATCAATTTCAGTTGATCCCCAAGAATGAAACATGGGCGCAATATCTGGAGAAATTGCAGTCGGAAGAGGTTTGTTGACACTTCAATGCAAACGTACTCGTAGATGTGTAATTGATAACTGGTTTAGTGCAGGCGTATTCAGTACACAGTAACTAATGCAGTATACGTATGTTATTTTAATGCTGTGCCGTTGTATAAGTGAAAATTAAATAGAAAAATGTACCGTAATAACTTTTGCAGTCGTTGGTGCTAGCAAAACTTGGATTTTATATGATTTTATTTCACCCAAATGTCACTGTATACTGACTGCTGAGAAATGACATCGACGTAAAACTATAAAATCAGCAGCGGATTGTTTCTGTTTTGGTAGAAGGATACATCCACTTAATACAGTCAAAATATTTCGGTTCGTTTTTTTGTAGACGAGACATCCCCGCGCATGTTTTTTGTATCTAATTTTAATGTGGCAGATAAGCGTTATCAGCCGAACTACTGAATCTGACGCTCATTGTTGATATAAACATGCAGCGGCTTTAGAAATGTATCGTTTTTGCAGACAGCTGCGAATCATCCGGAAATGTTGGCCATGTCCATCTTGTACAAGTAAGTAAAAAGTGATAATGTACAATACGCACAATAATGCGGTCAGCCCTGTTGAACTTAATACTATAAAAATCTTTTTGCATTGATGTATCGATGGACTTGTTCAAAAAGAAGCTCGTATTTCCAATAACGTCGTTACGAATAATCAGCCATGGTGTTTTCACGAATCGGAAGCCGGTTACGTAATACTATGCAGCTTCTTTCTACTATTGGCGTTGTAACTGTTATTTACTGCTAGCTTGCCTTCAGAATATTGACAAGAATTTAATTTTGACCAGTACATTTTCACCAGTTTTTCGCTTTCTTGCACAAGAATTAGTCAGTTTTCTCTGTTTGAACGTAACAGACCTCGAGAAACAGCGAAAGGTCAAATTAGTGCTGTCATCATTGTTAACAGGCGGGATTTCATTGTCTACCATCATAGCCAGAAGGAACCAGAGAACAAAACCAACCAGGGTTTTGACAAGCATGTGAGTGTCTGTTTTTTCCGGTTTGTATCAGCTTATTTTACCAGGCAGTAATAATTTTTATTATAACCATTGGGCAACATGTGCTTGGTGTAATTGTGCTTTCTCCATCCCAGTGTCGGTATTAAAGAATTAACTTCCAACTCAAATAGTTTGTTTCCGGTAGGTTACTCTGTGTATGTACGGCGACAACCATTATGATAGCGTTTTACAAAAGGAGGAGCTAACAAAGGCGGGAATCGCTCAAGGTGAAGCGAAGGATACATTTAAAACATTTGATTGGGCCATTTGCCAGAGCTGATAACCATCAAAAGTGTTGTTTAGCTATTGTCTACGATATCCAGTACTGCACGGTGTTCAAACTGGGAAAGGCAGTGGACATTCTGACCAATCACATGCTAAAAGAGCCGCAGAACCATGAAGGATTTAAGCGGTCAGTACGTTCTTTTTGACCTACGAGTTTTTCAGTACAGTATTGTAACTGATTTCTAACAGATCTCCGTCCGACGGGCGCAGCGAATTGTCAAATGAAGATCTGGAGGTGCGCAGATTTGTTTCCATTTAGTTTTTCTTGTTAACAGTTGTTTAAAACCGATTTGTTGCAAAGTTATCGGTTTCGTTGTTGCCTGTTGATGTGCTCCCGTTGATTGTTATCAGGCAGTCTTGTACAGCACTTTTCGGGAAAAAGGGCCGCCATTTCCGTACAAGATTGCAAAATCGTTCAAGCCGCATATTTATCGCAACGTTGATTTTGATGTTTGGATCGAAGATCGAAAGCGTGAGTTCGTAGTCGATTTGACTTTCAGTTGAAACGCACTGTTTTCAGCTTGTGTTAAAACGTTTGTTGGTTGCTTTTAGGCACAATGAAGCAGGAACAGGAAAGGGCTTGTGAAGAGAAGGGTGCTTTGATCCCTGGCTCGCTGTGCTGGGTATTCAACAAGGTTAATTCTCCAAAAAAGCCGGTGTTGATTTGTTGTGTCCTCACTGCAGATAAATCGCACGCCCGACCGTCACGATAACTGGGGCAAGGAATGGGGAGTGGTCCAGAAAATAGACAGAGACCAGGTGGACAGCCAGACGGTTACAGGTTATTTCGTTTATGTGGTGGAGATTGGAGAAACAGAGTAAGAATTTTGATCGATTCGAATATGTTTGCAGCTGTTAGTTAGTGCTGCGGTAAATGCTATAACAGCCAGCTTACTGCTACCGTTTTACCAGCAGTAACCAATATTTCTGCATGCAATATTAGGTTACTATTGTTAATTGCTGAAATTTGAACACCTAATTATTTTGCTACAGGAAGTTCACAAAGGCGCAGCTGAAGTACAAAGAGGTGGAGGAAGAGTATACGCGTGACCCGTATGCGAAAAAAAGTTCGGCTCCGGATGCTTTCAGAGCCCGGGTTAATGCTGTCCCATTTTCTCATCGAGGGCGGCTTGGTACAGTGTATTATTCTTGCTGATATTATCGGATTTTGCACAGTAGATTTACCGATAATATTTGGAATTTTTCAGAATTCCGAAACCGGAATTATTATGATGCTCGTCCGGGTTATCATGACCAGAATCGTTACAAACATCCCGGTCCAGGAAGAGATTTCAGTGTCCGCTGTGCTGCGCCTGTTTTTCCGGCACCCTCACGATTTCCGCTTTCCAGGATGCAGTATCCGAATCGTCCACCACAATGGAATCCACCGGTTCCTAACAGCGTGAATATGGTGGCTTCTGAACGGTAGCAGAAAAACATTGCCCTTCGTTATCAAATTGTTATTTTTATGGAATGACAGTTAATCATTTGATTACAGATTGCCGATGTATGCTCAACCGCAGTTCGTCCCGACCGTCCCCCAAGGATTTGCAAATTTCCCGAGCCCTTACGTACGCCTTTGTCCATCAACATTGTTAATTTGTCGTTGATTGCATCCGGCCTTCGCACAAGCAACATCTCTTAAAAATTCCCATTATTTGTAGGTGAACGAAGGAGGTATTCCCATTCCCAACCATCTCGGCCAGAACATGGTGAATGACGGAAGCGTTGCCGTTTACAACAATCCCGGCCAGAACAATATGGCGAATGATGGAAATGTTGTCGTTTACAACAGTTTTAGTCATAATTTCGGTTAGCATATTTTGTGGATTTTGGTCCTGGTTACTGTGTCTAGGGTCAAGATTAAGCACTGCCATTTTGCAGGTCCTCACCATAACAATGTTATGATTGCGTATCCGTTAACTAGTACTGCCGATGGGATTATGGTGCCGGGGCAACCGGGCTTTATCGTCCATTATTACGGTCCTGTTCTCCCTCAGAATCCTCCCGTATCTTGAGAGCGTTAGCGGCATGGACGGCGTATGCGCCTATGCGGAATAGTTTTTGCCTATACAGGATAATAGACATGCGTGATTTAAAGGACCAAGCTGCGGCTATCATTTCAGTTTATATTATAGTTTGCATTTTACTGGTTTTGTGTCATTCCTTCTTTTTATTCTTGTTTTAGCCTAGTGTCCTTAATTATGTAGTTACACAGTTGATTAGTCAGTTCTCTGATAATGGACACTTGATGATATAAACACAGTTATCATGTACTTAACAGTACTTTTCGAATAACACTCTAGGAAGAGTTGGTTTTTGATTTTAAAAAGATTTTTATATAAGCACAATTCTGTAACGAACTATCGAAGGGGATTTCAAATAAGCAAACCCATAAACCTAGGCCCTATACAGCAGTAGCTTGGAAGTAATAAAGATTGCGTTTTTTTGAAAAATTATTCCTCAGAACTGCCAGCCGTTCATTGTCCAAGAGAATGCTCGAAATGGTGTAACAGTTTCGGGAAACAGTAACGCGTCCAGCTAGCAGTACAAGCGGACCGGAAATGCCATACAATGGTTTCAGCTAACTGGTAAAGGCGGTGCCGCTGTAATTTGGTAGAAGTATGTGCAAAGTATTAAACACGTACATACGGTACAGAACTACTGTAGATAGTAATGTATTTGACGTATAGAAGTGTGCAGATGTATACAGTTCCAGTACCAAGTAGTACTACCAACTACGTAATACGAACTAGAACGTCTTTATGCAAGTGGAATAGTCGCGTATTGAGCTAGGAGGATGAACACTAGGATAATTTTATTGATTCCTCTGCCGTGCACACACACGCCCGTGTTAGTGGACGGGATAGATTCAGTGGCAATAACAAGCATAAACGAAAAGATTATCCTATCAAGACTGCTTTGCTGCCAGATCAAAACGTTAGTTGTTTTGCCGGTTGCACTGTGTGCGCATCCACTTATTCTTGTTTGAATCCCATGCCTTTCCGTCAATCCATCCCGCTTTATCTGGAAAATAATTAACAGCTTCCGCTGTGGTTAGCAATCGCTTGTTACATCAGTCTGCTTTATTGACACAAGGTATGAACTATAGATGAACGATTTTTACGCCTGGTTCTATTTTTATGTAACATTACGATATTTTAAAAACCTGTATAATATTATGTACTTTATGTTTGATCTGCCACTTACGCATTATAGTGATAATAATTATGGATGCTCCAAGTCTGTAATGTAATCATCCACATAATCTTCGATTAGCTATTATACTACAAATTTGTCAATACAATAAAAAATTCATGTTACAGCTGTTGCATTGTTCGTCATTTCTTACAGCAAAGAGATCGAGCCTGCAGTATTGCAACACGATCCAGTTTCTTAGTTGTTACTCTATCTACTACTAACTTTGACACTATATCATCACTTGATAAGTCCAGCTGATTAGAAAAATCTAATTAATCGGCAGAAGTCATATGAAAAGTCAAGCGTTTATTAAATTACCAGTTCTGTAGTATTTTTTCTTGGTATTTAGGTTTGGGAAATTTCAATGTTAAGTTGCTTTTAACATTCAAATGTTAATACTTCAAATTCAAGTACCTTAAGGAAATTCTACATAGTTTGCATTAGCAATGACGCACATACACATTGCATAATAGAGCAATGCCAAAGCGTTTCCATATTTCAGCAACTTTTGTGTACACAATAACTGCGTTCGTATCGACCACAAAAATAAATCCATAAGTAATAGCACAGTACTGTTTTACTATTTATTTATTACTTGTGGAGTTCGAACGAAAAGTACTATATATGCTCAGTGTTGCTGATTCCAATTCTCTATTCATGATACAGTTGTGTACATACATGTTTGGGTCATCCGTTTTCGTAAAATTTAAATTACGATAAACGGTAAATTATTACTGACGATCGCGTTACGTACCGATTTCGCGATAATGATTGGATCAAACTTATGGTTTCAGACGATGCCACATCAGCTGTTTAGGAATAATTAGATAAAAAAAGAACAATTATAAGGAAATAATGTGCGTTATCAACAGCGTTTCCGTTACACGCCGTTTTGGTGTACAATTACTGAAAACACGAAGTGGCGTTTTCTTGTCTGCTTCGCAGTCAGCGAAAACATTCCGTCGCGGACTCGCTGTGCAAATTACGTATTATTCGTGTACATACTATAAATTTGTAATTACATTTGACTTTCCATAGACCTGACGAAAACAAGCCGTAAACTAAATAGTGTACAAAGACTAGTCTTTGTAATTATTCTAGTTTAACCGACTGCCAACTGGTGTCAGTCCGCTCCGGAAAATGTACCAGCGCAAGAGTAGTTCGTTTATAATATTTTATGCACGTGAGAATGAAGGCATGTGTGTGGTCTGGTCACTGGTCACGGTGACCGTACATAATATGTACTACATATCTATATGTTTCCAATCCCCGTAAATACCGACTAATGCGCCATTAAATTTTAGAACGATTTCCAGAATGTTTAACTTTTCTCGTCTTCTTTGCAATAATCTTTGAAGTCTTTCAAACTGCAGAAACTACACAATTAACGCCACTGAAATTAATTTTACCGCTACCTTTTAAAGTGATATCTCGCGAATATGTATCGATATAAGGCATTACTGTTCAGACGCATTAATCAATGTCATAATTACTGTTTCAATATCAAGGCATAATTCAACTGGTATGCGGTATTTTCAGTTCCAACCTTGTATAATGTGTACTCGTTCGAAGTATTGAAAGTGAAAGAAACGATCAAAAGATTTGTAAACAATTGTGCAGGGTATCTATAGTTATATTAACTGTAAGAAAATTAATGTCCAGTGTGCTTTGTGTGAATTTAACAAAATTAATAATAGTAACAAAAACGGAATGCAAGCAGCTAAAAACTTTCTTGCGCTTGTCGGCGGTGTCTCAGCCTCGCAGGGCTACACAGTATCAATGTACAATACACATCGTGCAGGATTACAGCATAAAGCGAATATTTTTCATGCTAGATGAAGACTGTGCCAGCTATCACGTTCAGTGAGTTTTACGACTACGCTTTGTGATTGTTCTGGATGAGATTTGCTTTTTTGTTACTTCTGATTATTTTCTTTTTAGATAATCGTTTTATTCCTTTCGCATAGAATTATAAGTTGAGTTTTGGTTTGTGGGATGATGTAAGTGAAATGGCGTCCAGTTTTCTGAGTGGATTTCATACTTGGAGCAGTGCCTAACGAGCTGCAGAATCGGTCGATATTTCCTAGTTTCTTGACTTGAAAGAATAAGACAGAGTTCCGGTCGATTCTATTTCTGGTAGTATTTATCATTTTTGCCAGACTGTCTTTGAGAGAGCTTCCTATGCAAGTAAGTTAGCGGTTCTCTTCGTTTGTCTTTTTTGTGTCGTGTTCTCGCTGACGTGTTGTCTTGTGAGACCCATAATTGTCAGTCTTGAGGAATTTCGTAAATACGGGACGATGCCAAAATATTCTACAAAATCTAATTAGAATTATTAACGTTTGCATTTTCCCACGGTTTACACGTGCCCGTGTTTCTGCACATATTGTTCAACGTGTCAATTGGGACAAAGTGGAGTGTACATTTGCCTGAAGATTGTTGCAAAATTTGCAGGTAATCTCCACGTTTCCCACAGCTGCGGTGTCCGGGCCCGCATTCCTGATTGTCAATGTGACAGAATGGCACTTGACAGCGACGAAGAGGCCGAGGCCAAAGTCCCGCTGCAATCAGCGAAATCGCCAAAAATTGTGATTAGCACGTCTAAGCCAGCCGACGACAGCGTATTTACCGCGGCTGGCACGACGCTTAATAACAGGCCCAATGGACTTAATAACGACAATGCTGAATTACGCGAATATTCCTCACCCTCCGCCGGATCACCGACTGGACCGAGCCGTAGTTATCAGAAGATGGAGCCGCGCGCCGAGGGCAGTCCGGCCGATTTGCCCAAGAAGCGTCTGCAGCGCCGCGAATCCCACGCCTTCGCCTTCAATTTCTCCGACTCATTCGCCCGTATTGTCCGGCAGATCTGCGGCAAGGAGGACCGCGAGACCACCGACGGGGATATTCAGATTGTGGACGAATCTCAGCCGCCGCTGTACCGCACCACACCCCGGCGTTGGATTATGCTGGCTGTGTTCTGTCTGTATTCCATGAGCAATGCCTTTCAATGGATTGAATACGGGATTATTAGCGATAAGATAGTATTCTACTACGGTGTCTCGCCGCTGTCGGTGGACTGGCTGTCCATGATTTACATGCTGACGTATATTCCGCTGGTGTTTCCGGCGACGTGGCTGCTGGATAAAAAAGGTTTGCGGGTGGTGGCTTTAATTGGATCATTGGGGAATTTCATCGGCAGCGCAATTAAGTGCTTCAGCGCTGTCCCCGACCGCTTCGTGGTGACTTTCGTCGGGCAGACCGTTGCGGCCATGTCGCAGATCTTCATTCTGGGACTTCCGGCGCGCCTGGCTGCCGTCTGGTTCAGCGCCAAGGAGGTGTCGGTGGCGACGGCTTTTGGAGTGTTTGGCAATCAGGTTAGAGGAATTTACAGTTTGTTTAAGGATTTCAGTTTATATTTCATCTTATTACAAGGAAAATAAATGGTGATAATGATCGATCCGGCTGTGCGGATTTGTCGTCAGGCTGGTTATTTTAATAACGCTAAATTTAGATCCGACAAATGCTCGTTAGGCTGGTATTCAGGCGGAAATTTGTACGGCGATTACTGGTTGAAGATTCTGTCATCGCAAGCGCAATCCTTGCTAACAGCTTAAAACTTAACAGGGTGTAAAGTTTATGCAGCGATTAGTTATGGTGTATTTTTCAAGCTAGCGCGAAATTGTTTAAGTTTTGGCATTCATCCGGTGCGTCATCATCTAGTTTCAGGTCGCAAGATTTCTTACAAAAAACAACAAAATTTATAGGAGTTAACGCTTTTAAATCGAGCTTTTTAATTTTCATCACAGTTTTATTCAAAATTGGTAGTTTAACAATATTTTAAATTGCTTGAGGGTTTTGTGCACAATTCTGCGTATTAAATACTGGTGTTGTGCGGTTATACCGCTATGGCTGCCTGTAGCCTGAAGATTCTAAAAACGGAAAATTCTACGGTGCTGTATTTGTTGCCAATTTTCCTAGCAAATGTTTACCGTATTTGAATTTGTCACATGGCATGTAGACAGAAATGATTTCTTTCTCAAGTGGTTAGGCGAATTAGTTCACGTGCTTTACTTCAAATAGCATACATTGATTTTCCAAATTTGCCTCTTTTCGGCCTTGTCACGAACTGCAGTTGTAATGCAGCAAGTCGATAAAATTGCGCATTGCTCAGCGATTCCCTAAGTGTTTAGATCGTGCCGTCGCAACTGTGTCATTTAAATATTTCTTCCCAGTTGATTGTGGTCAAGATCACTATCTTGACGATGCCGATCTGGTTAAGTCGATCGGGAACTGAGAAGAGTTGCAGCTAGTTTTTCCAGTCATCGTGTGTATTGACGCGTTTTTGCTCTAACTGGCAGCTGGGTGTGGCCTTGGGATTTCTACTTCCGCCGATGTTGGTCCCTACTGATCCAAATAATCCTTTTCATAATGCATCGGATCCGCACGATCTGTGTCTCCAGGAAAGAAACGTAACGATTATGCAGAATGATGCACGTTACCAAAATATCTCATCGGATTATTTAAACTGCGACACCTATGATCTCTACGGTCGGAATCTCGCAACCCTGTTCTATGGATCCACTGCGCTGAACGGATTTCTCTTTCTTGTTGTTCTGTTTGGTAAGTGTTTGTGTTTCATTTTTCGACTGGCTTATTCTGTTCGGTCGAGTGATTGGCGTTAATGTGGTGTTTCGTGCTCGTTAGTCTTCCAACATGCTCCACGTTACCCGCCCAGTCCGGCGCAGGCGGCTATTCTGCAGGAGGCTGCAGAAAGCACTTACTTGAATTGGATTAAAATTCTGATAAGAAATTGGAATTTCATCATCCTCGTTGTAAGTTATGGGATTAATGTCGGAGCGTTTTACGCCATCAGCACGTTGCTGAACCAGTGCATTCTGCATTTCTTCCCGGTAAGAATAAAATCTTCTGGCGAAACATTTCGACTACTTTCTTTATTTTACCTTGCCTTAAATTCTTTGTGTCGTTCAAATTTTTATTTTTCGTATTTTGCACAGGATGAGAACGAAAACGCCGGCCGCATAGGTATGACAATTGTCCTTGCTGGATTAGTGGGATCGTTTATCGGCGGGTTATGGTTATCCTGGAGCGGAAATTACAAGTACGTATTCTTGTAGTTGTCACATAGCGCTCCCCTGAGCGTAACTGTTTACACTGGCTAGGGCATAGCAGAGTGTTAGATGTCAGGATATTGAACTTGTAGTTAAAACTCTGTCCCAGATATTCAGTTGAGCACGAAATGGGAAAGAGTTTTTACATGGATTTTGCGTGATGTCTAATCCATCAAGTTACAATAGTTACTGCTGGGGGTACGCTACGGTGCAACGACTGCCCGCATCCGCCCGTAAGGAAAATGATAGAACGTGCAAGAAATTTTCAAGATCGACAGTATGATGCTGTTAGCCATACAAGGAGTTTTAATGTAGCTTTTCTTGAGGATAACTTGTGTCGAATAATTAGTCAAAACGAAAGGATCATTAAAAACTGTGTAGATTTCATTGTTTTTGTAGTTTCCCAAGTTTTTGACATTTTTCTAGCCCATCTGTTAATGGGATTAGTTTTTGCATCATATTTGCTTAGTGGCAATAATTGAGCGGGTTTATACGAGTTCGTATTAATATTCCCGGTAATCGAATATTGACTTTGTGGTTTATTATTTGTAGAGTCGTTCTTCGAAGCTAGATCTAATTGTACCGTACAGTTTGCTGATATTGATTGGCTATGAAAGAGGTCGAACTCTTGTTTGCTGAAACAGTGAAAAGATTGTTCGGCATTGTAAATATCACGGTAATCTGTCGTATTACTCCATAACAAATGATAGCATGAACCATATCAAGAGCACCATGAGCATGAGCTATCGCTGAAGTTTCGGTAATCATGAAATTGTGGTTTATGAAATGGTGGTCTGACATTAACCCTTGCCACCTCGAGTCATCTAATTGCAGACGATCAATAATCTTTCGACTTTGCAGGACAACGACATTCGTAATTTATCTGTTGTCTTTCCTGTGTATGATCGCCTTCGCCATTGTGCTGCCCTTTTCCATTTTACTCATCTTTATTGTGGCGGCTTGTCTGGGGTGAGTGTAAACTTCAAATTCCCTTGACCTGTCTGTAGTGAGTATAGTGATAGCCGAGATCTTCTGTGGCTGCTCATCCATTTAAGCAGACGCGATGTTGACTTTGTCCTGTCTCACGCACAGATTCTTTATGACGGGTTATCTACCCGTGGGCTTCGAATTTGCCGCCGAGATAACGTATCCTGCACCGGAAGGAACGTCATCCGGTCTTCTCAATTGCAGTGCTCAGCTGTTTGGTTTTCTCCTCACACAGTTGATGGGTGTCATATTGAATGAAACAAAGGATCCGGTCGGGTCCAACGGATTCATTGCGGGCTGGCTCTTCATCGGGACTGTCATGACATGTAAGAAGAGAGCAAAGATTTTCTTGTAGATGAGCCAACTTGTACGCCTTAATTGCGTAACTGGCACAATTGCTGATTGATGATGTTTTTTTCTCAATCGCTTTATGCAGTCTTCATCAAGCCCGATCTGCGACGCACCAATGTCACTAATATGATGACCGCTAACAAGTCAGCCGCATCCTTAAGCAGCACCGCCACCGGAAATACCATCAGTGTTCCCCAGATACGGATTGAGAGTATACAAATGGTGCCTAATGACAGTCATGTCAAGACCACTTCGAGGGATGCCCGCTAGTCGCTAGCTGCCGGGATAGATGATTTATTTAACCTCTGGGTTGTTATGGGCTACTCCTGCTACCTAAACGATCTGTATTAGAGCAACGAAGGTTCCTTTGGCGATATCAGATGTATTTGATATGTCCCGGTAATTTTGCTGGACAGTCTTGTGCTTGATAAGAAGGATCTGTGTCGCAGAGTCCGTATTATTGGTGTCACTAATATTTTTTGTTGAGGTTTTAACTTTGATTCAAATCCCAAAGTTTATAGGTTATCCAGTGTCAAGTGGAGTGTTATTTCTGCCAATGCGGCATTGTTGCACTTCCGTTTTTACCTTTGACGTTTTCCTGTCTAGTCTTCTGATTCAATAGTGCACTTTATGCATGTTTATGTGGCCCGATTGTAACACTTTGTGTTAATTCAGTGCAATATTTGCATGACATGCTGAACGATGATGTGATTTATAAAGACATAAATTGGACTGTAGAATTTGCAACGCGTAGGTGTTCTATTTTTAATCGCAGTTGTGTATATTTGGAATTTTGTGCCATGAGCATATATACTGGTGCGGTGACCATTAAAACGTAAAACCTTCATTACGTACTCCAGAACGAATTTAAAGTACGTGTTTTCGAGCTATCCTATGCAGACTTGCAGACACACACAACTTTTGCCTTTCGAAAATGTACAAAGTATTTAAAACCGTAGATTCATTCAGCATTATGGGACACAGACAGTTTATTTATGTTCGTGTCTCATCGACATATTTCTGTTTGTGCCTCATCGAGAGAATCCTGATTTTGATATCAGAATTAATAGATAGCAGGATTCTAACTATTTTCACAGAAATTCAGGATTTTTATTTGATTTATCTACTAACTTTTGTTACTAACCATCTAATCGAAATATGCAAGAATGCATGCAATATGCCAACAGTCGGAGCAAGGACGGTCCAAAATATACTCCAAATGCAAAATGTTACTAGTATTATTATTATTTCTTCACGGAGCAGGTAGTCAGTTTCTACGATAAAAAATAAACATAACACCCATTATAAAAATAAAATTGAATATAGTCTATAGATAACACTGTCATAATTCATGAAATCAATAACATCACAGATTCAATTCAAATTAAAAAAAAAACACGAGAAGCGAGGTCTGCGCTACAACAAATTTTTAAATAACCGAGCGACTCAAATAATGTTCTGCTTTCCAGGCGTTAGAAATGTATGCAAGGTTCCGAACCGTTCAAGTATTATTACGAACGAGTTTTCTCCGTTACACCACGCTTGACTATCGCATCAAAATATCTCCTGTAAGCCAATCCGATACACCGAAATAATCCCGCCAGGAAGAACTGCTGCAGCGGTTCCATGATGGAAATCACAGGCGACATTCCGGCACTGACACAGGTCAGCATGAACCCGTCAATGCCCACGTACGACAGGAACTTCCCACTCTGGGTATCATCTAACAGAATACGCGCAACCTGATCCGCCGAGTACAATCCGGCTGTCTGCGAGATGGCGCGATTGATCTGCGGCTTGGTTTTCTCTTCTTCCTTAAATCCCGGCGTATCCGTGTCAGGCGGATGCACCAGGGTGACGTGGATGTTGAAGGGTTTCAGCTCCATTTCCAGGGCCTCGGCGAGACCGCGCAGCGCAAACTTGGTCGCCGAATACGCACTGAACCCGTAAAGCCCCACCTGCCCGGCCTGTGAGGAGACGAAGACGATGCGCCCGGCGCGACGCTGCTTCATACTGGGCACCACGCACTTAGTGCAGTACACCGAGCCGAAATAGTTGATATCCATCAGGCGATGGAACTCCTCCAGTGGAATATCCTCGAAGATCTGTGCGCTGGATGTGCCAGCGCAGTTAATCAGCACGTCAATCGGCCCGTTGGCTTCCACGGCTTCACTGAAAGCGAGAGGGACGTTCTTGGCATCGGTGATGTCCAAAGACAAGGCTGCCACTTTCTGCGACGGCATCAGCGGCTCGAGCGCCAGAATCTGGTCTTTAGCTTCCTTCAGTTTGGCAGCGCCGCGTGCCACGATAGTGACATGGGCACCGAGGCGGAAGGCTTCCTTGGCCACGGAGAACCCGATTCCGTAAGATCCCCCAGTGATCAGGACATGCACGCCTCTGAGGTTCATTTGCTTCGGAGCGAGCAGTGGGGATATCATGTAGAGAAGAAACAGAAAGCTCACGATGCTGATAGCAATTAAAAGGATGGCCATTTTAATATCCAGACCAATCACGACATAACATGAAAAATAAATCTCAAAATCAAAGTTTAAAAATAAACAGAGATTTCGCAGTTTATTGGAATTTTTAAGTAACTACTTACGTATAAATGTAGTACTCTAGTTTCAACTTTCAAGTAGTTTGTAGCACTATCAAATAATCCATAACAGTTTGCTGCGCGACAACCACCCCGAGACGGCGTTGCCCAGGTTTCTTGTACCAGTGGATGTGGTTTTCAAAAAAGTTATGGAAAAGTAAAAACAAACTGTGAAAAAACTACGAATAGGTAGATAGTTTTCCATGGAGCCTGTACTGATAATTGTTACAGTTAAACTGAGTCTAGAAAGCAATCAGCTATTTGGAAACGAAACAGTTTATACGATTTCGAAGGAAAACGATCTCAAGGCGCTCAAGCTTAGGTAGGAAGTCAAATTTTAATGGGAACAATTCATGTTTAATGACGATTTTATATCGATTTTTTCGTCACATTTTTTCGAACAAATAATATCGCACGCATATCATGCAACACATCGCTCTGTTCATATACAATACAGTGAATACACCAAGATCTTCCAGCCACATTACTGGGCCCGTGGAGCTGAGGAATCATTCGTATGGACTTGTCGTACAAATAAAAGTTCTCAATAACAAATACAATATCCCCGCTTCCGTGTGATAGTGATTAATCTTCTGCTTCTTCGGCTGGGGCTATCCGATTCGTAAGGTGACTTTCAGTACCTGGATGGTCGTGAATATGAGACGGCTCTGTGGAATCTTCGGCCTCTTGATTCTTTTTCATTTTGGTTATAAGCTCTTTCGCCGGGTTGAAAACACCCATTGTCTGCTGATTGCAGGCGAAACAGCGCGTTGACTTCTTGTAATTAGTTAATGCGCAACTTTCGCAAAAATAGTGTTTGCACTTGGTTACGATGGGGTTTTTGAAGGTATCACGGCAAATCAAGCACTTAAAAGGTAGATCATCCTCGTCATCCGAAGCAATTTCGTATTTGCCAGCTTCGGCATCGTTCTGGCCGTATGTTTTGCGCTCGACTTCGCGCTCCAACTGCCAACCATGCTTGTAGTCCGAACGATCGTGTAAAAATATGCAACTATCGCCGAAACCACAGAATCCCGTTTCTTTGTAATCTTTGCAGATATCCGGTGCGTAATCCCAGCGAACGCTGGAGCGCACATTCGTGGGGGCTCGAATGGGACCCTTGCGTACCATTCCACTGCTGGCGTTTCCCTGTACAGCAAAAACACGAAATTTAGTTGTTTACAATTCCCGCGTCCGGTTTGTCTGATGTTTACCAAAGATAAAACGCCTACACCACAAAACACAGATGAGATGCGAAATTATCAGGACAAGAAAAACTGGGTGTTAAACTCAGTTAAAGTCATACCGAAAAAAGCTCAGATTTTCTGAAAATACTAGCAAGAACTTACTATTTACAGAAAGTTAAATAGATGAGGAACTGGGTATGAAAAGTATTATGCGAGTACTTGCTACAAGAGTAACTAATAACATCCTCAATCCATCAACAACAGTAAAAAATCAAAAGAAATATATATGAGAAAAATTCTGAAATTTCTTACCTGTGAAGTATCTTTCTTGGGAATGTACTGTGCATAATTGTTCATGCCTCGATAAATCTTATCGTCTTCCTTTCCCTTCAAGTCCGTATTCAAGTTCTGGGACTTCTCGAAAAGGGCTTGTGCGTCACGATCGTGTGGAGTCTCGGTTTCCAATGTGGCTGTCGCTCCCATATCTGACGGTCCTTTGCGCAAGTTGGAGCGGTCGGCGGAGTATGTGAATTCACGACGAAGCTCTTTCGATTTGTTGTCCTCCTCGTCGCTTTCTACAGCACCAACTTTGGTTCGCTCTACTCGGGCAGTCTTCTGTACAAAGGGATTGGACGAACGCTTTCTCTCATTGCGAACAATCTGGGTTTCGTCTTCGGAAGACTCCTCTTCGGAATCATCTTTCCGTTTGCTGCCTCGAGTAGGGTTTCTGCGAGCAAATGCCCGCTTAACAAACTGTGTTTCCTGGGATGCCATAATTCGAAATATACTGCCAGAAAAGCCAAATCGCAATAAAATAAGAGCAAAAACCAGGAACGGTTATTATGTCTCCCAGTCCTGAGCCCTTCAGATGAAATCGCGGTATCAATGCACTGTATTTATACAATCATAATATCATTATAGACAGAAGACACCACTGCAAAATACAGTAAGTAGAAGTAGTGAAAATACCGTATAAAGCCGTTTGGCCCATTTTTATCTTCTAGAAGAATTTTACGATCACATTATGTAACACAGATATTTAAACGAAGAGCAACATAAGAATTATAAGAAAAAAGTAAAACAAAACGAATAAAACAGCGGCATTAATTACAAAATTTAAATTTTCTTCCAAAGGGCTTTCAGAATCAATGTAAACATTATTAGAAGCTTTGTTCATGCGGAGTTCAATACAGTAATAAACTTGTGGTCTGTGAGTTTTGCATTAGTGAAGTGTGTGGTCGGTGCGCATTGCATTTAATTTGCACATACAAATACATGTAAGTACATGTATGTGCAAATGAGTGCAAATGAGCTGTACATGAACATATTTTATAGAAAGTTATTATTTATGGAATTGTGTGTTACTGCATTCATAATTACCATTTAAATCAAATTTTACTGAATTTTATGAATTAGATCTTATTCTGCAAATGAGCTGGGAATTCAGATATTATCCAATCGGAAATGTCATGCTCATGATGGCGTTAATAAAACAAAAATTTTTTATTCTGCAAATCGACGTAGCAGAGCAGATAGGTGCTTATGCTACAGTGAACATGTTCTACTAGAAATTCTGTATCATTAAGGCAAAACTAAAGCCGTCCAGCCGAGCAGGCATTGATTCACTTGTTCAATAATTATTAACGAAAATTTGCACCGAAGAAAGCTCGAAAAGTAAATGCAACTGAAAGCGGTAGTAAGCCTTCTTATACCGTACCAAGCATTTATAACAGGCTGCAACCGTGCAAATAAATACAACTACATATATAAATATATGTGATAATAAGCAATAACGGTTACTACTACTAAACTTAAACTTGCGGTAAGACTTTCATAAGATATCGGATTCGCACATTATCATAATTATATACTGCACAAGTACATACTGATATTTCCACTTTTATTGCACAGTGTGTTAAGTTTCCACTTTATGATCACATAATATTTATTATATGGTTCACCAAACCGTGGCATATATTATAATTACTTTACTACGGCAGAGCTAAAGCTATTAATGTAACACTTTCAGGCATAGTACTTACTTGCGCGGCGCGCCTATTTCTAAAATCAGTTAGGTTGAAAACTGGAAATCCTATTTGGGTCTATAATTGCGAGCGAAGATTCAGTAGCCTGCTGTAATATGGAACCAAGCAGTACGACGAGATGACAATTAAGCGTGTTTTATTAGTCATCTGTGGATGGATTGCACCATTTGTCCTCAGTCGGTCCATTTGTCGCTACACGTTTTTTTTTGAAAAATTACAAAACGGTCACTCATCGCCGCATCGCAAGCCATTCAATAGGATAAGTCATGTCTGACTTATGCATATATAAACATCCAAATTTAGGGCTATGGAAATCTTTGGCTGACACGAGCCGGAAATTTTTTTGTCGCACTTGCCGCAGTCCTTGAACGCTTTTTTAGCGGATTCCTGTTCATGTATGGTATGTGCCTTTTTGTGTCAAGTCAACTTTTCAGTAGATTGTCAAGAGGACTAAAATCGTGTCGGTATGCTCGACAGCCTAAATGTACACCACGCGGTACAAAATCACCGCCAAATTCCACGGTCCTGAATCGGAGCGCATGCAGCCTAATTCACTGTCAGACTTTTGAATAGGAGTGTTTGACTGCTATCTGCACAAAAATTTGTGAATTGTTCCTTCCGCAAATAAATTGCATTATGGCCATTGTAGTGTCCTTCACTGCTTTTTCGTCGTGATGGAAACTTGAATCCTGAACAGATCTAGAGACGTCGACAGCAGCTCAGATCTTCATTTGATCCATCGATCTGCCGGCTGCAGGCCCTAAAGGCAATGCAGTCGTAAATATGCATTTATTATTGGAAGGAACATAACCATTGATAATATGCATGTCAGATCTCCCGCTCGCTCATAGAATACCACTTTGTGTTTTTGTTCATGTTTTATCGCAGTGCGGATTTCGTGCTGATCTGTTTTTGTGTCATCTTGCTCACCGCTGCTACTTTTACGACTTTTTAAAACATGTTCTATTCATTCCAAAGTTTTGATTCATAGCAACTCCCGATGGAAAGCCAGTTGAACTGCTTTGATCGTTTTGTGCTGGAAAAGCACAGCACACGCCGGCGCGATTCTTTTTATTGACTTGGATGTGTTCTGAGCGAAAACGTATGGGGGCACTCGGAAAATACGGTTTATATTAAGTAATAACGTTGCGTACTTCAGTACTTTTATTTCGCTTTGTATTGTCGTAATGAATGCGCGAAGATTGACCTCCTATTGCGCATTGTTTATATATTTCTATGACTTTGTACTATATGGAGCAGTCGACGATTGCGTATATAGATTTACAGCTCAATAATCGGTTATCAATGCTGAATCTGATGATAAGAAGTTTACGGAATTAAGTGACCAACATCAATCAAAATATTATCCTTTAGGCCACGCGCGTACCGAACGCCGGGCTGCATGCACGAGACATAAATGTGTTTTCAAGTGGTTGACCGATGACTTTTAGAGCGAATGATAAGCGAAATGCGTTATATGCGATGATGTTTTACAAAGATGTTCTCGTATCTTCGTGTTTTCCGTTTGTCTCTCGTATGCCGATAAACCGCTTAGTGAATGGTGTTGTTTTATTGTCAGAGCATGTTGATGGTTTTGCATCGTTGATCCGTTGTTGGTTATTCTTCATAAACCATTGGTACGCCGAGGAAGGAATCACCTTTGATTATCTGTACAGATAGCGGAGAATATACATGCACTGGTCAACTCCGCCGATGTCGAGAATGCGCAGTTGAATATGGATCGAAAAGGATTACCTTTTCCCATTATTAATTATTATTATTTTCCCGAATGCAGTTTTATACCAACATGCAAAATGATCCTGTTCTGAATACAGTGCTGCATCGAATGCCAGATTAATTTGATGAAACCGCTTTAGTACTTCTGCCACAGCTTTGCAAAACTTGGAAATATGGAAGAGCACGAATGCGATGTGCCCAGCTTTTCCGACATTGCAAAAAAATTTACTGCTCCGGGACGTTTGTATTATACCCAGGGAGAAATGGCTCAGGTACGTACGTTTTGATCAGACTGGCAACAGTTTCAGTTTTCTCTCCAAAGATTTTCTGTGTCTAGTGTAGAACCTTAAAAGGGCTGCTGAATTAATTGCCGATTGAATTCACACTCAAACGTTGCTAAAGTGTAGAGTTAACCGTTAGGCATACGTAAATCTGACCAACATATACCGGGTGAGTTACATATACCGGCACATATATACGGCCTAAATAATTTTATATCAATTTTCAGCAGTTGCTGAAATTTAGCATCAGGATAACAGACAACGCATACAGCATGCATAATAATTATCTGTACAAGTTTAAAAGTCGCATTTATAAGCACATTTTTTAGCTAATGGTAAGTATATAATGTGCGGTATGCATGTACACTATATATAGTATGTATTGTACATGTACACTTACAAGCGGTGCATGACGATTCGTGTTAGAAAATAGTGATGTTTGATGCGTTTGGTCGCACTGCAGTGCCACCGTATTATTTCTGCGTTCACCAAAAACGTGCGCAATAAATTTATACGGAATTCTGAGATGATACGGCATATCTTAGGGTGTATCCCCGACGGTTTCTGCTTTTTTGAGAAGCGTACAAAATGCTTTAGATTACCTTCGACGTTCGAAATTGAGATATGATAGACAGGTGTTTGATAGGTGACATTAGCTGGATGTTGCCTTTCGGTTAATCTACTAGTGTAGGCTAGTCGAAGAAAATGACTGTGGTGGAATTGCTGCACATGTGCTGCACGTTGTTGCACATTGTTCATCATGTGCTGTATTTCAGTGATCTCAGCAATTCATTGAGCAAAAATTACGAGTACTTAATTAATTTTCATGGCGAAGAACGGAGCCTTAACCAATGCGAGTGCTGTAATTCAGTTTGATTTCCGGCGAAATGTCCACTATCACTTTTTTTGCTTATCTGGTTTTGCAGTGTATTGCGTTTAAACTTTACCTACTGTACCGCTTTGATACCATGGAGTTAGCAAAGCCAGTTATTCAGATTTCAGCGCAGCATGCTGTTAAATTTCGCTATTAGCATAGCTCTGTAATAAAGCTATGAAAATGCGTTTGTGTCATCGGATGCGCACCTGCGCTATGTCAACGATCGATGGCTCTTTAAATATAATTTATGAGTATGCACGTGCATTTATATACAGATATTGCCACAATAGCACATGTTTCACTGGTTTCAGCATTATAAAAATTCTTCAGAACCAATTTATATCGGCAAACTTATTTCGGTTCTCAAAGAAGCTATGTAGATCTTACAGAATGCGCCCTGTATTTACCCACGTTTAACTTTCGCCAATCACTTTTCTCATGATTTTATCATGTTTATCACTTCGGTCCTGATTTTGGTTTTAATTATATAAGCGCAGTGAAAATAATTATTGATGTATACGCAGAACTGATTTGTTAAACCAATTTTCTATCAACAGACTAGGGTTGTATATATATTATGTATAATTATGGATTTAGATTTATTTAGGCTGATTTCGTTGTTGAATTCAGTAGCTTTTGTAGTTGTAATGAATACCGTGAAATCAAGCACATTTTGTGCAAGCCGATAAACTTTTTGCTTGGTGTAAAATATGCTCATCAATGGACACTGGTTATTTTACTTACTGCAAGCAGGGGCCAACATGTGCACGTACAATTAGAGCTTTTATAGTACTTTATGGTAGCCAGATCAGCACATCTGGGCGGTGCTGCTGATCTCACTTGAATGTTGATACAAAAACAGATTGTTAAAATTTACCTTTAGTTAAACGGAATTGTGGTAAGCATTTTAATTCTCTAAAAAGTTTTTTGGAAACGCTTGATCATGTGCTTGAAACCGCAACCTGTCAGCGATACAATTTTTATGTTTTCATGTTTATGCCGGCCGGTTCTCGAACCATAAAGATGTTTGCAGATATGTTAACGATATTAAATGCGAGAGCAGCTTTTGTTTGATCTGGAAAAAAATAGTACCTCTTACGCGTTCTTATCCCGTTCTTACGCTAATAATATTCTTACTCGTTCTAATCCCGTCACACGAATTTCTCCGCCAGCGATTGTCGCTGGAGATTCAGCGTGGGTAAGGTACGCAGCTTCGGTCATGGGCACCGTGGAAAAAGCGCTAATGCTTAACGAGCTGTTGTTAATGTAATGACTGTAATGTTTCCTGTTCTAAAGTTAAATTAAAACCCGTATGTGTGTTGGTTTGAAATAAAGTTGATACATACAACTACGTACTCGGGTGAGAAAGAAATATCTGGTGTTATTCTAACTTAAATTACTGCGATAAATGCGCTGCAAATAATACCTACAATCAATGATCTAATTTACAAAAATCAGGTACGATTGTAAATTTTGGTCTATATCGACTTTGTACAAGTATACAAATCCCACAGAAGTGTGAGACCTTCCAGCTGCATTTATCGAAAACACAGTCAGATTTGGTCATAGATACTCGTACATTTGACTTCTAGACTATAGGATATCAAATTTCTTTCAGCTGGAGCTCTCTTGTAGATTTCAGATTTAAATGCGTACAGTCGCCGGCAGATCTTGCACCAGTACACCTTGTATAGTTCGCAGATGAAACCTTGGCGGTTCAAGCTTGATTCCGAAAGCTAAAATAGTATTTCGAAAAAAAGATTTCTATTAAAAAAACTGCATATACAGTGGACACCATAAATGTGGTTACACTAGACAATCGGTCCGAGGACCGATATTTTAACGGCAAGACCAACAGCAGACCAAAATAAGTCGGTCATGTCCATTGCGCGTAGACTCGTATGCTAAACTCAGGCACTTGGAACTTGCACATTTCTCAACGAAAATCATCAAGCGATATCTCAAAAGAATAAGAAAAAAATTCTAAGAATTTTGATGCGAAACAAATTGGTTTTTATTACATCTAAGAGAAAATCGAGGCTCCTGAAGTTTCCCGTAGACATAGCATAGGATTTGAATCCACGGTTTGGTTTGTTTTCACGCATATGCTTTGTCTACGGGAAACTTCAGGAACCTCGATTTTCTCTTAGATGAAACAAAAACGAATTTGTATGGTATCAAAATTCTTAAAATTTTTTTCTCATTCTTTTGAGATATCGTTTGATAGTTTTCGTTGGGAAGTGTGCAAGGTGCAAGTGTAAATATCAGCAGGCCGATGGCCAGCACGGAATTGGCTGTCTGAGTACAGATAAGTATCTGGTTGCGCGCGGTTTAAGTGTAACCACATTTATGGTGTCCATTGTATAAAACAGCTTGTTATGTTTGACCCATTTTAAAAGCAACAATTGATCGCTCCCCATAATGTTTTCATTTTAATAAATTTTTTGTACATGAACAACTAGCACTGTTACTTTCAAATTTATGTAGGATTAAGAAGAAATTATTTTACTTACGAAATTACTATTCATATGGTATATCTATAACTGCCGTTTAACATTAAGTGTGGGGTGATGACTGATGGACTAATTCACCTTCGAGGTTCGATCCACCCTACAAGGTTTTTTTCATTTAATACAAATCGCTTATCATCAGTGGCTTGCAAATGCTACGATTTTGGAAGTCAATAAAATCCCACTGACCCATTGAACAAAAACATGATCAAAAATCGATATGGATTGCTTTGATGTTTCTCTTTCGGCTTTTGAGTTTCTGCTTGTAGATACAGATGCGCATGTTTATTTTCGTGCGATTAAATCACGTAGGTCCGCTTTGCGTTAATTCATGTCGATTATTTTCTTATTGCCAAAATTACCCGACCAGTCGCAAGTATATACCTCGTACATATGTAAAACGAAAAAAATTGTACATTATGTTTAACCGGCTTCTCAAAGTATTGCTGACCCCGGCGGTAATATGGTACCAGTCTAAAACACATTTAAGTATACATATTATACTTGTGAAAAATATCCTATTTATCAGAAACGGATGCACTGAATGAATTATACGAATGGTATTTTGTAGAGCGCTTTCTGCTCTGTACTTTCATAACGATGATCGTAGTTAAGTTTGTGAAGTCATTGTTTTCGAATAACAAGAAGAGCACTGCAGCCCTTGGAAGACTGCAAATGGCGAAAACCGCATTCGTAAATCATCCAGTATGATTAGGAAGATCGATGCAATAGCCACTCGTACACCGTCTTCGGAAATGAAAGTTGACATCGCCCCATATATCCATTGAGTTCCGCGGCCTAACAGAAGAAATGGCGCAGACCACATGCACTCAATATTCTACTGATCTGCACTTTTCCACATACCGGTTTTCGATTGTGTGCAGGCATTATGGCAGAATCTGTAGCGATCGTGTGGCACAATCCCACACTTATTCCCCACATTAATACCCCTTCATTAGCCGTTTCCACCACTTGCAAGATCCCGCTGCTTCATTTGTCTGTCTTCTCCGACGCAACGGGATGATGGTGAAGCCCACTTTGCAGCCTGCGGGGACATAAACATATCCGGTCATTTATGCGCTGGACAGTCTGGTCGAATGCAAATTTACAGGCGTGTAATGTATTCTGGTCAGCGTCTTGTGCATGTCGCTGTTTAATACCGGCTGGCCCATGGGTTTTCTTCAGCATTCGGCATATATAATTGTTATACCCACTTGTGAACTGTGATGTGTGTGGAGTTACGCACTTTTCAGATGCCGGTTTTTTGTTGGGTTGCGCTTGTTTTTTCATACCTGAGTGTGTTCTTTCCACGCTGTTTCGCGGAATTATGCCACTAGACAGCAGAGAGAAAAAATCTCTTTTTGCAAAGTTGTTGACTCATCTGTTGGAACCATCAACATCCTTACTGAAAATCGTCGAAGCCGTAATTAATGAGTCAACTGTAAACTGTATTGTGTCATACAACAAAGCGAGTTAAGCCAAGGGATCAGTTACCAGTAGCAGCAGCACTTTGCGACTCCACCAAATTTTGTAGTAGAGTGAACTTCACAAGTGGGTTTAGTTCTGCGTTAAATCTCCCGAATACTGCCGACAGTGTCTCATCG